TTTTCCTATGTGTCTACAGGTATTTATACAGCACTCGCATTATACATCGAGGCTGAGTCACTCGTTTTCCTATGTGTCTACAGCCCTCGTAAATTTTCACCTCGGACAATACTTCATCAGCCTGCCTGACAGCAACCTCACGGCCATTGCATTGCTGGACTGCCTCATGATCATACGGAATACTTCCCGGAGGCTGAGAACCATAGGGCCTCGTGGCGCCGCCGTGTGGTTGGCACATATCATCGCAGATGGTCATCTCTGTTGATTGATGGCTCCTTGGCAGTTATCTGTTGCAAGCCCGATGGCGATACAGAGATGGTAACTGATGGTGTGGCCTGCTGATGGTCGCGGGCATCTCATTCATGCTCATCAACGTGCGTGCCGGGCTCGGCTGGGCGCAACGCGCATCATGGGACAAATTGCTGTCCGAATTTGCCATTGCAGGTCGCATAACGCAGGCGGACGACCAGACGTTCTCTATGTACCCATTCATGGTGAGCGTGCAGCGAGGAAAGCGATTAGAAGAAGCCATCTTCGGTGCTCAACGCGGGCCATGCAGAGCCTTAAACGACTGCGACCACTTTTCATGGTTGAATGTATTTGTCGTTGCATGGCCACGAGCATCTGCCCCATGATGTAATGTCGCTATGTAGTATTATACTCAGGACATCATGCATCATGTTTCGGTGCGCGATACGTGAAGATGGCCTTTGAACAGGATAGCGAAGTCCTGAGCATGGGACGTCCAACGCACGCAATCACAGTTTCTTACAGACAAGTGCCAGTGTATCGAATCCAAGAATTGCTCCGTGGGAATACAAGAATCGGTATGCTAATGATCTCCATCTTCGAAGATGATGCCATTGTGCTGCTTCTTATTTGTAATGCCGTGACGTTGCTGGAAATGACATTATCAGGCCGGCTGTCTGCATATTGATGCCCTTGGCGGCCTCATTGGCGGCCCTTGCCCTTTGTCGCATCCTGACTTGCTCTTTGGTCCAGAGGCTACCACAGGACTCTTGCCGTCTGGATCTGATTTCGGCTGTGGCTGTCCATGCTTGATTGTAATGATTGAACTGCACTACATGGTCCTGAAATGTATCCGGAGCCCATAAGGTTTAATCCTGATCATTTCAGGTATGACCAGAATCACACATCTCAACGGGTTCCGAAAGGTTAATCTTTTGGACTGGGCATGCGGTGAGTGTTGTCCTGTAGTACTCATCAGCCACTGTATCAATTTCAGTCGTTGCCCTGATGTGATGCTAGCAGTATCCACACCGTTGGTTGTCACCTTGTCGTCTTTGACATTTTAAAACAGGTCAATGAGCTGGGACAAGAGTATACACCTTCCTTGGAATTCACCTCAGATAATATAGTATACGCGGTGTCAACCATATTCCTTACTTTTCTAAGTTCATCATCAGCAAAAAGGCCTTAGCCATATAGCGCCCACCCGCCACTATGTAGCGCCCATTGCCTCGGTAGCACCCGTTCATGCTATGGAGGGCGCTGTAGATCTATGTCATCTGCTTTCCATGCTACACAACACTACATACCCTTAAGTGGCTGGCACTTATATGTTACTTACCCAACAAAGACACACTAGGGATTCTACTGAGATTCGAGAGTCAGTATGCCAGAAGAGCAAATAGTGTATCTATTATTCCGAATGTCTATGTACAAGGTACTGTTGACTTTCCTGGCCAGCCCGCTGCATGGCCAGGAGTTCAGGAGTCACCTGCTCTCTAGAAGATGGCTCCACGGGGCCAAACTGATGGCCCGTCCCATTGTAGCCATGCCCTATTATATACACGTGCGCTACTACTCTCTCACATCAGTGGCGCAGGTCGCACTGGGGCCTCTCACATCTGTGCTCCATGCCCAGATTCCAACAGGTACTACTCACATGAGGATGAAATCATTACATGTTGAAGGTATGTATTCATGGTGACTTGATCACCATGTCTGATGCACCTTCGAACAAATGTCCTAGAAGGTCAAAAATTGTACATACCCTTGTGACATGCAAGTCTTAAGGAACGGGATGATGTTCTTTAAACAATTAGCAATCATTCTCGGAGTTTCCCGGTCTAAGCACAGCGAGAGCACAGCAAAGACGAGTCCGTTGTCCAGGGACCTCGTTAGAGTCGTTTAGACATAGTAAACTACCGAGGTATGTACATCTTCTCGGTCCGTTATTTATTGACTAATGCCACGGTCGGACTCTATCGTACAATGCCCACTCATTGCTAGGGCACGTCGCTCTGACCGTCTGACCGGCCACTTCTCCCTGCTTGCGACAAGAGCGTACCTGAGTGCCGCGCACACTCTCCTTCCAACACGCCCCCTCGATCGCTGTCATCAAGCTGTCAGAATAGGCGAATGTGGCCGTCAGTATACGCCACCCTGGCCTTCGCACCCTTGTCATCCGGCTTCCCTTCCTCATCATCCGAGTCGTCCTTGCCATCATCTGACTTGGTCGGGCAGTCCTTCCGTACGTGCCCTATTCCTCCGCACTTGAAGCACTTACACTTCTCGCCCCCCCTGCAGCTGCCTTCCACTTCCCTTTCCCAGCCTTAGCTATCATGGCCACTGCATCCCGGTCATCCTCCATATCTTTCTGGTGGGTCTCCTCATTCAGAAGTCTCGCTGTAACGTTTGCGACAGTGAGCTGTTTGGGTGGGATCGAGTCGAGCGCGACTACGAGCTGGTCGTAGTGTTCTCCAAGGCCCATGGTGAGTCCCAACACCATGTTCTCTTCTTCTACTTTTACCCTGGCGTATTCCAGATCTGCGGCCATTTTCTTCACCCGCCTGATCCATGCTAACATCACCTCGTCGAGGCCCTTCACTGCCCTGTAGAAGCATCACTGCATCGCCAGTCGGGTCACAAACCCGTACGCTCAGTGCACCTGCACCAGAGTCGCCCAGCACTCCATAGGGTCACGACTCACCAGGTGCACCAGCTGCCCTGCCGATACCCACAGCACCATTTCCGCCCACGCTTTCGCCATCTTGGTCGTCAAGCGCTTGGTCTTTTCTGCCTCCAGCCACACTGCTGCCTCCATCTCCGTCGCATCCGTCGGTGGCGATGTTTCAATTGTCATCACCTCCCACAGCTCCTTTCTGATCAGCTCTGCTTCCATCCAGATCACCCACTCACTGTAGTTGCCCTCACCCAAGAGAGGGAACTTCGTGGTCTCGGTTGTCTTGGACATGTCAGGTTGATGCTCAGTTGCACAGGGAGAATGTGAGCAGATGCAGCAGAGGCCAAAGAATAAGGTATGGAGGTAGTTTATCTCGGAGTTTCCCGGTCTAAGCACAGCAAAGATGAGTCCGTTGTCCAGGGACCTCGTTAGAGTCGTTTAGACATAGTAAACTACTGAGGTATGTACATCTTCTCAGTCCATTATTTATTGACTAATGCCATGGTCGGACTCTATCGTACGATGCCCACTAGTTGCTAGGGCATGTCGCTCTGACCGTCTGACCAGCCACTTCTCTCCGCTTGCGACAAGAGCGTACCTGAGTGCCGCGCGCACTCTCCTTCCAACAATCATAAAGCAGTGGATGGCAACTGCTGAGCTGTCAACTGGCACCAGCATGCCTAACGAGGAGTCCGGGCCAAGACAGTGGAGAAGGGTGACTATGTTTTTGAGCACTAAGCCCTCGAGCTGCTTGCAATGGTTTGGCGAAGATCTCTAGTGTTTCTGACCTGTAGTAATTGACCAACTTGTCGCAAATTGTAACAATGAGTGAAATGTGTGTCTCTGTAATGGCACGTTACAATGCGCCACAGCCGATAACTGTGGGAACACGCTTACATATGCTTCGGCCATTCCCGTAGCACTTAGAAAAAGTTTTCTGACTCTTCTCACTCCTCTTCGTCGTGCCAACGCCAGTGAATGGGCTGTGCTATCCTCACTCTCTCTCACTCACATCTCTCAGTTCTTGGTTGTTTGGGTCTTCTCACCTCTCACCTCCTATCAGTTACAGTTTGCCTCGACTACCAAAAGATTGCTAGTCTCGACGAGCCTGCCTTCCGCCGGCTCACCTGTTCACATCGTATTTCTTCTAGTTCTGCTCTACGGGATCTGAGGACTGGCCTCCAGGACAATCAGACAATCAGTCTGAAAGCGCCGCCAGTGAGTGTACGTCCAACAGTGTGATAGGTTCCGTAGCGCCAGAGGTTCTGGCCAAGCATGGGTACACATATATCATTGACTGGTGGTCGCTCAGTATCTGCGCGTATGAGCTCATATTCTGGCGAAGACCATTTTCAGGCAAGACGAATGGCGACCTCGCACATACAGCATTACTAAGGATTCACTCTGGTTCCCCGATGATGCGAAGAGCAAGCTGAAGTACTACAGGTAAGAGTGATGTTCTCAAAGGTGAGCAGACTTCTGGCATTCCTTGTCTTTATTCACTCACATGCGATCTCTTCAGCGGTCTGGAGGTTCTGAAGAGTCTACTTCATTGCACATGCTCGTCGACCATCTATTTACTGCACCAGTAGATGCTCAACCTCATCGGCTTCCACAAGGCTCTAAAGAAGTTCGAGGAAGTTATGCATGTCCATATTTTTCTTTCCTCCACCTCCTCTGTGATTCTGATGAAACAGATCTATACCCGATGCACAGATTCCCACACAGCAAGCAAATACCATCGAGGAGATCGAGCTGAGTGCATTCGCTTCAGATGCTTGGTGTGATGCTATGCTGCATGAGATGGAGAAGCTGTCTGTTGCTCAGTTTGGTATGTTGAGCTGTCCTACAGTGTATGCGGCCATCTGATAAGTGCTGTTCTGTATGGCAGCACATGGTGATGAGAAGGAGGCACAAGCACATTTGCATGGTAGATCACAGCTTATGACTCACTGGAGGAGGAGAGACAGATATCACCATTCATGCCTGATGTACGTGCACAGCATGTGACATGTTTCATCTGAACTTGCAACACTGACAGCCTTTGGCCTCAGTCAAAGAAAGCGAATGTGGATGCATCACATGAACTTGAGGAGGTGCTGCTTGAGGACAACCTGCTCAAGGCATGGCAATGGAAGGTGCAAGAGATCAACAACCTGAGCGCGGAGATGCAACAGATGGAGGAAGAGTGAGTGTCCTGTATCCGTGAATTGCAAGTTGTTCAGACTGAGCACCACTTTACAGGTTCACATCATACGACTACTGGAAGATGCAACGGTGGTCATACTACCTTCAGAATCAAATCTTCTCAACTGTCACTGTGACATCGTCTCATGAAGCACTATCCCCCATCATCCGCATGAAATGTTTCGATGTGCATTGTAAGTTATTCATTCTTGTCACGCTTCGTAAGTCAAACTGACATTGTACCAGATGCTCCACAAGCTCCGGCGGCTGCAGGCTTGTCAGCAGACATTCATGCAAAGGTGGCAGCGGAGTTGGCAGCACATGCTGGTGAAACAGATAGTGACATTTTGGGCACTGGCAATCGGTGGACCATCATGTTAATGATACAGTGTTCTGTCAAAACAATGCATTTTCGTTGAACAAGGTATAAAATTCCATCACATATTGAGACAATTAGTAATATGTAGTTTGGAAGGTATCTACACGGAGCTCTATTCACAATGTGCCCTATCAATCAATGGGGCTATGGTGCCTATCGTAGAGCAATATACTGACGCTAAGCTGCTATGGGGTGCTATGTGGGTGGTGCAGGCAGCTACCATGTCTACCGTAAAGGGTAACTTACCAATAGAGCTACCATGACTATAGAAACTACATCGTGCGATGTAGCATGAATTTTTTTTGCTGATGATGGTCGCATCCAGATACCCGAAAACATTTGAAAGTAGAATTCTTCGCATTCGGCTGAGTCTGTTGCAATACTTCAAGACAGCAGTCGATCATGAGGATCAAAACGTGACTGTGTTAGTAGTACATGGTTTGTCAATACTGCTGAATAACATGGTCCTCGCCTGACATATTAGTATTCAAATTCCCAGTTATTATGTGGCAGTCAATCCCACCTATTTCATCCACATAATACATGAAGACATATCCCATCTGACACTAGTTATCTTACATAGTAGCTAGCTCAATTTCCTACACGATAAGAACTGTCTCTGCAGATGATGACAATACGTCACACTGTGAATGACTTCTCATCACGATTTTGGCATAATTCGACTTCAGGAAGAGTCAAAATGAGAGGTTGGTATCAAGAGACCATACAACCCTGCCAGAAAACATGAGATTTTTATATTCTTCCTAAATCCTTGATGCTTACAGTATTGTTATGAAGGTTTCCGCTGCCTGATCAAGAAGAAGGATTAGTATACTCATCAGGATAAGACACTTCGACAACATACATCGCCGATAATGCTTTGTAAGAAGGCAATCATTCAAAGCCCTACACCGTGGAATTGATGTGACAAGATCTCTCCGTGAGTCTGAGATCTTACTTACCAAATAGTACCTGAAAGCATCGGAGTGAACACGTAGATCATTGATGACAAACATATAACTTACAACGAATATGATAGCACCATCACGCTTGAGATTAGTTATGATCTCGTGGTCATATCAGCGGGGTCAGTTTAAGGCATTCACGACCAGCAACATGAAGACGAAGACATCGTACAATAGCTAGCATGAAATTCAGTGGACGATTCCTGGATATGGAATGCACATGCATATCATTGCTCCCCATGTGCCAGCTATGTAGACATCTTTGTCTTGAATGTAGCATGTACGGGGCTTGTCTGAATAAAGTATCTTCACTGCACAATGGAAGGTAGCAGTCAGAGTGCCACAGGAGGTGCAAGAGAGTCCAATGCTGTCACTCACTGGCAGGCTGCCGCATCATTAAAGTATTGAAAGCGACACTCATACCATAGCATATTCCGAAGCCAAGGATGAGTGCTACCTTTATAAACTGCCTGTCATCCCAAACTTTCATCACGCGCAATAGTAAAATGACTGCGGCTAAGACTCAATATGTGATCAGAATGGAGCTCATATGTGGACGTACTTTGCGATAAGCCAATGCTAATCATCACATATGCACCGCCAAAAATGACAAAGCCCTCGCACCTGCGCTGCATATATAAAAGGTCGAAAGGAGTGGGCGTCACTCACATCTGTGCAAAAGTGCACACTTGGTTCATGTATGTTATATGGAGAATGGCTGCCACTCACAGGATGAGACAAATCAGGCCCAAAGCCACTCATCACTGATAAGATGCACCATGAGTGAGAGTCTCAGCTCGGGTTGAGAGTGTAACGCTCACCATAGGCAAAATAAATCATTGCCCCATGCACACCATAGTAATTGATGGTTACGAGTGCTTGCATGCTTGTCCAATGCTGTCCCCATACCAGTCTAACCTCTCGTCGACATTCAATAGATGATCCCACATTAGTGATGTGACTGCAACAGCTAACAAATGCAACAGTGCATCACCATATGCCCCGAGGTTGTCATATAGTATTGTACTCACCCGACAGATACCGCATTGCTAACAATGCCTGTTGATCAGCCACAGAGAATAGAGTCAGCACGCTCTGCATGAATGACAGGGACGCAGTGATGGAACTGTAGCACAGGAAGTAATGAAGTTGCTAGATTGTGCTGAGTCGTGATTGACTGACAAGTAAAGAATGTGAAGTACTCTGTATATCGTGCTTCACAGCTCGAGGCGTGGAAGAGAGCCACAAGCGATAAGGACCTGGGAGCATTCAGTTTGGATATACTACAGAAGATCAATCGCTTCACAGCCCCAGCGTCTTCAATCTTTCATCCAATGTACAGAGTTCTCAAGAGAATCGAGATCTGGCGCCGCACGCGGTTTCAGGGATTGGACCCGTTTGAACTGCCACAGAGATGCTATAGGGCTGAACCGCAGTGAGAAGACCTATTGGTGCCAGAATCAGTGTCTTCATTGTTGTCAACAGGCGCAGATTCGTATGTTAGACTGTCTTCACCAACAATCTGACAGCCGATGTATTGGTTCATCGTGAGAAGGCCTCCCTGTTTGATGTACAACACAGTTGAAACCTGATTAATGATTGAACAACTTTGGTCATGCGCCTGTTGATGGTGGCCATGTACCGTAGCCTTTTGTGACCAGAGTTCATTTGACCTTTGATTAGAGAACAGTGAACACCACAAAAGTGGTCAAAGGACGAATTGCGGTACAGTGGTTGGTCAGGAGTCAGAGTGCAGTGACATCGAGTATCGAGCGGCAGTAGTATGTTGTCGACATGTTCTCTATTATGCTGCTGTAATACCCACATTGGCGTCTTCAGGCTACAAATGCCCAGCACATTTGAATTTTTACCCACTTCCTGACTGCAGAAGGCAGTGCATTTGAGTTTGACCAGCAACCTCTGCGATAAAGTGGAAGAACGACGGGTTTTTGGAATTACACGTTCATCATCAGCAAAGAATATCACAACTTCTGCCCCTTATAACACATGACATTCTAAACAGTACTATGAAAAACGAAAAACAGAAGGACAAATGGCCTGAACAATATACTCGGAAGACACGAAGAGGTCATATGAGGGGTCGATAGCTGGTATGCCACCATTCCTTGAATTAGGGCTGCAACGAGGATATCACTCTGGCCCAAGCTGCTCCTCCTCCACATGAACAGCGTATCCTAGTAATGGGTGTCAAGCCATGTTCATAGGGTCATTGTCACCGTTGAAGACTTTCAACATATCACGCTCCCCTTTGTCAGATCCTGTCAGTGTCTCAATACGTTGCAGGCCAGACACCGGCAATTTGATGCTAACCAGAGCAGTGCCATGCCGCTCATGAACTGCCCTCATATTGTCAGCGTCAACATTGGAATCGACGCAGCTGCAGAAAAAAGTCCATCATAGATTGAACTTTCACATCTGTGAGTTTTGCAGAGCTGTCCGCGAGAACATATATCATTGGAACAAGACGTCCAACGAACTGACGTCATCAATTAACAAGAACTCACCAGTACGGAACATGTCTAAAGCACTATTGAAGTTATTCTTGTCTACATCCGTGAGAATAAGTTCTTCTGAAGGTGAATCTGTTCATAGGCACGTAGAATTATGAAGAACTCTGGTGATTTAATAAGCGCACAAAATAAGGTGTTAGAAAGAAGAGGTTGAAACAAACTCCTACCTTGTATGCACTATGCCAACCCTGTGTTCACGCAGTTTATCAATGCGCCTCTGCATCTTGACATGACAACATGCGATGATGATCGGGATGATGTCGACGATGCTGCTAGCTCCTGCCATGGCATCGGTGACTTCCCACACCGCATCGATGTCCTCGCAGGTGGAACAACGGTTCTTCACCAGCATGAGAGTTATAGTGGTATTCTTGTCAAGCGCAACAGCCATGTCGTCTCCAAGCTGCCCAATGGTCAGCCACAGGGCAATTATATCGAGAATATGTAGATCAAATTCGCAACGTTGGCTTAGCGAGCATTGTATCTGCTCGTTTCAGTATTTGCAATGAAACTTAGGGCCATCGAGCAGCTGTATGATCTGCCGTTGCGCAGAAAGAATCTTCTGATCCTTCGAAGTCTGAATCGCACCCGACTCACTTACTGGTAGCTGATTGCATTGAAATTTTATCCAGAGAATATCAATGTATGGTCGTGAACTGCGACAATGTTTGACGGGCTGTGACAGCAGCAGACGAGCAAGAATGCAGCGCTACGCAGCGCCAGTGTGCCACAAAGTCTCTCAGTGTGACGTGTGATAAAGCATTATGACACATGCCATGACCCGTGACTTTTTTCGAGCGTCGATTTTCTCCTCTGGCACATTCACCAACGACAACAACGGCACACCTCAGAGAGCCTGGAAGACTTTCATTGCTGTCTTCAACGATTCCTGTCATCTCGCTATCATATTAGATGCTCACCTGGGTTTCTGCTATCTCCAAGACTATCTGAAGTCCAACGGCACCTATGACACTTATGGACATGTCTGCCAGTGGTTTTTGCTTTTGCTTCACTCTCTCTGTGCTCACTCGCTACCAGCATCTATCGCTGTTGCTCTCACCGACACAGGAGCAGGCTGGTTACCATGTCATCGGGCCTATCTATACTGGTGTAAGTCCTTCGGACCTCCGCATTGAAATGCACGACATATCGAGTCAACTTTGTTGGCTGTGAAACATAGGTTGGTGAAATCGTTGAACAAGGGCTCAGAATCGTTGGGCCTCCCAGCGTGGTAGGTTCGTCGTAGGCAGAATCCTCCCATTTTGACGTCTATGTTGCGCTCGTATGCACACGTTTCATGTATTACTCTGCAACGCGTCACAATTGCGTGCAACTCACAAGGTTCATCGAGTGGCATCTCTCATCTGTCTACCCTCGAAGTGACTCTGTTTGTGCTGTGTATCTTTCCTTGCCCTTTACGGTCAGGTTCATCAAGGATGCCTTCCATGTACATGCAACACATTTCCACACATGCTATTTTATTGATTGGTTTACATGATTCCCTTTTCCGAGTGAACTTGGTGCCGCACAACTGCAGCTTGTGCACATTTATAGGTCTGGCATTCTTCTGTCCATATCATCCAGTCTGGTGGTCAAAGGTCCTCGGAGTTTTTCAGAGAACACATTGGTACGTGGTTAATATGTCAATCTGTATTGCTATCGGTGTATTCGTTATAATTGGGCTGGACTCTCACTTGCCGTAGGTGCCCTGCATGACCTGAAGTGTCTGTATAGCACATACCTAGACAGTCGGTGATGATGGCTGGAATATTTTCTGGCGTACGCTATCTGCGACCTCTGCTGCGCCCGCTGTGTTGTTGCCTATTTATACCATGCATGCTCCAACCATTCTTCCGGCAAGCTCAAGTGTATCATGCTACAATCTGGTGTCTACCCTAGAAGGCACAGCGTGTACTCTGTTCACGGAATTCGTCATGATGTTGCCTGTGGACATGTCATCTCTCCAATGCGCTCTATATGCTGATGTGTTTGCCCCCTATATGTTCTTCTGCCTGGTCATCAATGCAAGGACATTACCCTTCAATAGATAGCGGTTGCACTGTGCCCACCTGCTAGTATTTGAGAAAGCAGACTCGGATGGCTTAGACTCAGGTGACCAAATGTAAGTAGCACTGCAGGTCACAAGCTGTGCAGATCGTTGTATGAGCTTGATCTGTATTTTAGCTTAGGATAGAAACTTATGAGCATCACTGGTGGAGCACAGAGTCGTGAAGGATATTTTCAGTCATATCATTTAAGATCAGACAGAGATATGTGAGTACTACGTCCATTAACTCCTGGCTCGATTTGTCTGTACAGGATGTGGACCAGTGCCCTGACTTCACCGACAAACGCGACGTGCTCCTGTTGGTGAGACTAGGAAGCAAAGCAGTGCATGCTCCTGGGTGTGAAATATGTCAGATACTTTTCTCCTGAGAGCATGGGAGGAGCTCACATTCCTCAAAAGCCACTGAGACTAGCCGTAGGGGAAGGCTTACACGCTTCTGAGAAGAATGCACAACCAGGAAAATATAGAAGGATGGGTCGAAGGTAGTTCTGAAATTTTTCTGTAGGCAGTTTGAATGTCGCTGAACTCACTTACACAGCTGTGTGAAAGCTATCGCTCTGTTGGCCTCTCATTACGACTGACACGTTCGACAATGAAAGATGCAACTTCTGGATCAATCTTCTGGCATATGCTCAGATTCTATTCGAACATTGATTTATGCTAAGTCACGTATCTACATGAAGCCTCTCTTGTAAATGAATTGAAAGGTTGATGGTAATCGCAAGCTTCCCCTTCCTTGTGGTTTATATATTCATTCGTCCTTGTGAGCAAAAATACCATCATCGGAGTTGCACTGCACGATGCAGAATGTGAGCATTTTCCGTTCATGGCATCGCTTCAACAGCATGATGGCAGACTCTTCGTAATGCCTGCGTGGTTGCACCATTGTGCCTCCCAGGAATCATGGGCTGCTTACAGCTGAGCATCAAGCCTTATGTGTGGACTTTCTAGATACCAATGTTGATGTTCGAGAGCATACTGCTCTTACTTTCCCTGTTCAGATCCATACAACTAGTTTTCAAGAAAAGCCTCCCAGTATCGTCGTCGCTTTACTGCGAGACTCCGTCATCTAGCCTGATGCCTCTTCAGATAGTCCACTCTGCAAGGTCGGCTTTCAGTTGTTTCCACCTATGGCTATTGGTCAAATACGAGCTCAGCATCCTATACATAACTGTCAAGCATGATCCATCGAGCGCGTGATGACTGCCGCACCATTGTCAGCGGAGGCCACCTCCCGGTTTTTGACAGTCCTGCCCAATATCCAGGTTGGATGATTATATTCAGTCACACTGCCATATCGACGACACAGACTGCTTTCTTACGTAGGCGTTCAGATGCAGTGATGGAGACATATGCAGTTACAGTGGTAGGGTGCTTCGCTTCTAGACTTGCACCGCTCTGTGCTCAACTTCATGCTTACGTTTGCAAGTCTCACGCCTCCCTGAAAGTCGGGACACTGAGGCAGAGGGTGGCGGATCATCTGTGCCACTCTTTTGAAGGTGGCAAAGCCATACAGAACTCTCGCTGTCTACGGTGGGCTGTGGCTAGTGCTTGTCTAACGAGATGCGCATTCGACATGTAATCTCGAGATAAAGCCTGTTACACAAAATTAGTTTGACAGTCATTATGCACTCGTTTAAGGGATATGCACCTAGCTTTGATCCATCGATCAGGCATTACGGAAGCTGAAAGTGCAGATAGCGCCCTGCTGCACGGTGAGCACAATGTCAGCTACGTGCTCATAGAACTGCAGGAGGGACGTACCAGTGTAATCAAACATTTAGCAAACTCGTGATATGGTGAGGAGGCCATAAATGTCACACGTGACAAGGTGCATTCTGCACAATGTAGAAGCCTTCCCTCTGCCTGAGGCGTGCATACGGAGGCAACTATGAGTAGACTATTCGACTGTCGACCGGAGAAAGATGCAAAAAATTGTGTACACACCTGTTGATGGCATCGTTATGTTCATCAGCAGGTCGCACACAGTTCGAACAATAACACTTTCATATAAAAGTTCCGGTCATGTTGTCAAGGAACAGATGATACGTCGGTACGTCGAGGTCTCCATATGAGTTCCAAACACGACAAGGCAGTGGACAGAACATTAATACCTCAAGGAAGAACAGCGGCACACGCCCTCGAGGCCCCGCACAGCTGCTGCAAACAAGTCAGCATCACAGTGTAGCAGTCACCAAGCTGTATGCGAAGATGAATGCGCCACCATCAACGGAGCATAAGTCATCGAATAGGGTGTCAGCATGAGGGTTCAATGCGCTGCGGAGGACCTACATACCTTACTGTCACAGATTTTCACGTCTTTCAATCTGCACATGACTAGAACATCACATGACATCAGCGCTAGGCTGTTAAGAAAGGAACGAACTGGTACGCAAAGTACTGATAGTCCTAGGTGCCCCGAAGGTCCAGGACTAGTCACGTGACATATCACGTGATATCCACACATGTGACAAGTAGCGCTGGTATTAGGTAAGCCTAACTTATACAGTAATATCATCCCACCTAGAAGCAATGGTCGGACTCCGGAAGAATCCAATAAAGGAGGCACACGCCACCGGAGATATGTCCTTAAGGGGATATTAGTTCACATACATGAGGTAGATAGATACCACGCCACCGAAGATGTAGCCATTACAGGCAATACCATTCCCATGATCTTACTAAGTAGCTCGGAGGTTCAGCATGCATGACACACATAGTCTGACAGGTAGTGGTAACCAATCAGACAATGTCCATTAGCTAGCGGTTCTGAGATATCAGGGTACCAAGGGTCCCTCCGCTCATGTATATAAGCCAGAGCTCTGAGACGCATAAGTCCCCCAGACTTATTCTCATCTCTGCTACGCCTATCCATATAGTGTCACCAGCACCCACTTGCAAGGCACTGCTTTACTTTGATCATCTTTGTGTCCATTCTTACGTCGACAACAGTCAGTAAGTGTTTGATCATAAGGTCATAGGCTTAGTCAGTGCTCTGCGTCCTAAGTTTGTGATAGAAGAACAAGTCTGCTTATCTTACCTGCCTCAAGTGCCTGCCCAGTGTACTCGCCGCAGTGTTGCATCTTCGCATGTCCACCCGCACGTTAGCGGTGTCATATCTTCACCTGACGCTCTGTCAGTCGCCAACTCTACCAGCGTAAGCCACACCAAGGCATTGCGCAGCATCGACAGTGTCATTCATCGTCCTCGAGCGAGAACTCCAGAAGAGTTCTACGAGCAGCGGCCTATAAGACTCCTGCCAAGGCCAGGACACATTTCTATGGGAGGTCGGCCCCCTCGCGGCACAAGTTCAGTCTTTATCATCCAGACTCCCTCAGTCAGGCGACCGAGACTACCTGCAGAACCATCTGGTCCAGATCTCAATCAAGGGACATACGTCGAGACCGCTACTGGGTCTCATTTCATCTATCCTCTCGCCGTCTCCATCATCTCAACTCAACACGTCGAAGGTACCCTTCGACAGATTCATATCCTACTCACCAAACGATACCGTCATCAGCTTGACGACCACGACATCTTCGACCTCGAGCATCTCATACTCAAGCTCGAATTCCTCTGCACTGACATCGCAGAATTCAAGCTTTCCTTCGTTCACCAACACGTGGTTCGTGACTTCTGCAACTACGTTCAGGAGAGGAAGCATCAGGGCGGAGAAGCTCGCTGAATAATCAGAGATATTATCCAGAAATATCGTCTAGGAATACAGGTCACAGGGCGACCCTTGCTGTAGATACGAATAGTTACTTTGTATATGTCTTCATCCAGCGAATCAGACAATCTTGAAGACTTCGAGCATCTCAATCCAATCAGTCATACTTTTGACTATCTTTGGGACTCAATTTCACGAGTTCTCTGGGACATAGCAGGTGAAGCATTTGCTACATACGAGGACACGTTTCACATCGACTACCATGACATATATCATATATACGCTCTTCAAATCTATCCAGAATTTGATTGGAGGAACGTTGCGGTTCATATCTGCTATATCCCTATTGGAACGGAAGAACCTGAAGATCGTCTCACCGAAGCTTACAATAGCTTCATCGATTGGCTCGAAGAAGTCGAGCGTATTTGCGAAATTCATCATAATCATCAGTGGCCCGCAGTCAGGGACAAAACTAGGTTTTTGTGGCAACCCTTTGTCAAGGTCATATACCAAAACCTTTATTTGCTACGAAACCAGCACTCAGGATGAGTAATTGCCCGATCGGCCACGATCGCAAATAGACATATCGTCGAGTTTGAAGAGCATCTTCATGAAGTAGAGGAAGAATTGTAAGATGGCGACCCCCACTGCACATGATCCCAGTTTCTCTCGTGCTACATCTCCGGAGCTTCCCGCACGACTTAATATTGTATTGCAACCCCCGAATCCTATCATTCGTCAAGCCCTTGCCGACACGGCGCCCTCAAATGCGAATATACCCGAAAACGTGAAGAATTGGGTAGTCGATCTGGTCACAAATGTGGTGAAAGAAATGCGTCAACAAACGGTGGCGCATTATGAAAATCTTATCCAGCGTCAAGCGCACACAATGGAACGTAACACCACGGAGTTTCACAATCGTACGGTCTTCTTAGACCAACATCGTCAACAATCCGAGTCTCGAATCGCAGACTTGGAGAAAACCTCGTCAGCTTTACTTGAGGAAAACAAGACCACTAACGAAGCGTTTGTGGCATTTGATGATGAAGTCAAGGATCTCCAAACAAGGATAGAAGACCTAAAGAAATCACATGATCGACTTTGCACATGGGCACCCACACAGGGAAGGAAGGCAGGGCAAAGCGGTAACAATGTCGACGACACGGACGATGACGATGAGCCGTCGTTTGGTCACAAGGGTAAAGGCGTAAAAATTGACCAGCCAGAAAAATATGGTGGCAATAAGGACGGAGTCAATCTCGATGATTGGCTCGAACAAGTCATGCTCTGGTTGAAATATACTGGACATACCAAAGACGAGTCCAAGATTATGTCTACCCTCTTGCTCCTGAAAGGAGGAGCACGCGAAAACATGTGACATTGGATTACCAAAATAAACGAAAACAACAAGGCACCAGGAACTTGGGCGGAGTTCATAGCTGAACTTCGCACGGCATATGAATCATTGGACAAGGATGACAAGAAGCGAACGGAGCTAGAAGCCTTCGTCAAGAAGGACCATCGAGACTTCCGAAAGTTCGCAGAAGACTTCCGTCCAAAGGCAACCGGTACAGGCTTCTCAGATCAAGACTTGATCGAAAAGATCAAAAAATATATTCCGGAGAAAACGTGACTACTCATGCTGGCAGACACGACTAAGGACAACTGGCCCAAAAAGTGGACCGAGTTCCTTACATTCGCACTCCAGATATTTATGTCACTACAACGAGAAGGCCACCATGCCAAGGCCGAAACCAAGGACCTGAATGCCATGGAGGTTGACGCAGTCGGAAAGAAGGGAAAGAGTAAATCGGGCAAAGCGCGTAGCGTACAAGACGACAAGTTGGTTTGTGCCAACTGTAAGAAGAACAAACCTATGTTCTTCAAATCGTCGAAATGCTTCGGCAAGTATTGCACCGATTGTTTCAAATTGGACCATGTCAAGAGACAGATTGAGAAGGAGAAGGAGACAGCTGCGAAGAAGAAGGACGGGAAGAAAAAGGACGATGACAAGAAGAAGTCAAAGTTGTCCAAGACGTGACAGGTGGTATCTGATTCCACTTCATCAGACACAGAGAGCGAAAGCTCTGACACTGAAGAAGAGAAGAAGCCAAAGAAGAAGAGCTCTTCCTCTAAGACTAAGGGGAAGGGTAAGGAGACAGCTGCGCATATTAGCAACCGCAGCATCCACTCGGAAAGCGAGCCTGATGCATCCGAGTCAGATGAAGATTTTGCCGCGATCCTCTCAAGGCTCAGGCGCCTGAGGGCAAATGGATCCAGTTCATCAAGGAAGGCGGGAGAGGGCTCTTCAAGGAAGGATCAGAAGGGTTTTCTCAAACAGGATCTGTAGGCAGCTCGTCAGAGTCCCCAGAACATTATATAAGACCTGTACATTTAGCACCCAAATCAGACACCTCTGTAGATCGTCGCAACGCAGAGGATGATAATGTAACAATAAAGAATTTGTCTCCAAATTTATCATCATTCTATTTACCAGTTACATTATGGGTGTATGGCAAAAAATCGAGCGCCGAAGCTCTAGTCGACTCAGGAGCATATTCCATGTACATCAGCAAGCAATTCGTAAAAAACAATCGAATCGCAACCCCCAAGCTTAATACGATGTACAAGGTGTACAATGCTGACGGATCCCAGAACAAACATGGTGAAATAACTGACTATGTAAAAGCATACCTCAAAGTTGGAGATCATGGTTCCACCCACCGTCTGCTAGTCACGGACATTGGGAAATTAGACATGATCATTGGGATGTCATACTTACGTCAGCATAATCCAGAAATCAACTGGCAAGCTGGAGAATGGAAATACTCAAGATGCCCGAGTACATGTCACCACCAGAGGCTTCATAAAAAAACAACAAGCCATTGTGAGAGAGGAAGCTGAAGAAATCTCGCAACGAGCACAACAAGTGGCAGATGAGGAGCCAACTGCATTCAGAATGTTCAATGGACACAACATCGATGCAGTAAATCCTATAATCTCGTGGGTCGAAATGGATGACCCCGAAGCCGAACAAATAGCCCGCATGATACTTTCTATAGCAGATTGCGGCTATGCTGAACCAGAAGAAGACCTGAAAGAAGCGGCACCCCAGTCAAACACTGGCAGCCCAGAAGATCAGGTTATTAATGAAGTAGAATTTTGGGAAAAATTAGTACCAGATTATCTACATTCATTCGGTGATGTCTTCTCCAAGAAAGCATCTGAAAGGATGCCAATTCGAAAGCCTTACGATCATGCAATCGAGTTTGAAGAAGAACATGAATTACCACGACCAAGCAAACTATATCCTATGAATCCTGAGGAAAGAAATTCCCTAGATTCATGGATCGACGACAACCTAGCAAAAGGCTACATTCGAAAGTCGAAATCACCTATTGCTGCCCCGGTATTCTTTGTCAAAAAGAAGGACAGCACGCTAAGATTAGTACAAGATTACCGAAAACTTAATGCTATAACCAAGAAGAATCGCTTCCCTATTCCACGAATAAGCGAGCTTATCGATCAGCTCAGTAACGCGTCAATATTCACCAAGCTGGATCTCAGATGGGGATACAACAATGTTCGCATCCGCAAGGGTGATGAATGGAAAACAGCTTTTGTGACGCATCGCGGTTTATATGAGGCCACGGTTATGTTTTTCGGTTTCTGTAACGCACCAGCCACCTTCCAGCACATGATGAATGAGATTTTAGATGATCTTATTTGGGAAGGCCATGTGATCGTCTACCTCGATGATATTCTAATCTTCACTGACGATCTGAAACAACATCGGAAGATTACCAAAGAGGTAATTAAAAGATTACGGGACAACGACCTTTTTGCCAAACCAGAAAAGTGCTTTTTCGAACAACCCTCGATTGAGTACTTAGGGATGATTATCTCTAAAGGCGAGGTCCATATGGATCCTCAAAAGGTCGCAGGTGTACTCGACTGGCCAGAACCCAAAAAGGTTAAGCAAGTACAAGCTTTTCTTGGGTTTGCTAATTTCTATCGTCGATTCATTGAAGGATTTGCCAAAAAGTCTCGACCACTCAATATCCTTACATGAAAGGATCAGAAATGGGTGTGGGGCGAAGAACAACAACAGGCATTTAACGCTCTCAAACATGCCTTTACTTCAGCTCCAATTCTGGCATTACCGGATGATACTCATCCATTCCGGTTAGAAACGGATTCCAGTAATTTTGCCACTGGTGCATGCCTTAAACAACTCAACGACGATGGGTTGTGGCATCCAATAGCATTCTATTCGAAAGGCCTCAATGAGGCTGAGCGGAACTATGAAATCTATGACAAAGAGATGCTCGCAATTATTCGAGCATTGGAAGAATACTGACAACATCTCGAAGGTCATCCGCTCCCAGTAGAAATTTGGTCCGATCACCAGAATTTAACCTATTTCAAATCAGCACAAAAGCTGACGAGGCGGCAAGCTCGATGGTCGCTATATCTTACACGGTTCAACATCCAACTACATCACAAACCAGAGAAATCAATGCATCGCGCTGATCCTCTGTCCAGGAGGCCAGATCATGAAGAGGGGGTAAATCTCGATAATTCTGACAAAACTCTGCTCAAACCGGAATATTTCGTGATTAAAGCTATTCAACATACCCACCTTGCAGTCGTACAGATCATTATTTGGTGGACAAGATCAAGGAATCACTACAAGATGACAATGTGAACAACTCATATCAAGATCTACTCAAGAAGGGACAACGAGAGTTCTCGAAAGGACTCGAAGATTGGAACTTCAAAAGTGGGATATTACTATACTGAGGCAAAGTCTATGTGCCAAAAGCAGATAATAAGGAATCACTTAGATGAGAAATTGTCCAGCGTCATCATGAAGCTGCCAGTGCAGGTCATCCTGGAAGATGGAAGACATATGAGATGTTATCTCGTAACTACTGGTGGCCAGGAATGTCCACTTACGTCAAAAAGTATGTTGGTTCTTGCGACCTTTGTCAACGCAACAAAAACATCAATCAGCCAAAATACGGAGAATTACAGCCAAATGAGGTTCCAACAGAACCTTGGGAAATTGTCTCTGTCGATTTAATCACTCAATTACCAGAATCCCATGGATTCAACGCAATCATGGTAGTTGTCGATCGTTTGACCAAACGAGCACATTTCTTTGCAATTACCAATGAGTTCTCAGCATCAGACCTTGCTCGTACTTTCTATGAGAGGGTATGGACACAGCATGGTCTTCCGAGACAGATTATCTCAGATAGAGGTACTCAGTTTGCAAGCGCATTATTCCAGGAAGCATGCAAACTCCTTGGGATACAATCAACAATGTCTTCGGCGTATCATCCGGAGACCGATGGTCAAACTGAAAGAACAAATCAGTCGCTGGAGCAATATCTCCGTATCTATACTGACAGACGCGTGGAAGATTGGAGTATACTACTACCAACTGCCGAATTCGCCTATAATAATCAGGCTTCTGAAGCCACTAAGAATTCACCATTCTTTGTTGAATACGGTAGACATCCACATGCAGAACCAACAATAATGGACCCCATAAAGCATCATACGCTAGATTCCATAATGCAGGCATGAGTAGAAGTGCAAGAGCAAGCGAAAGCAGCCATTCTATTGGCAGCTGAACGCATGAAGTGATACTATGATCAATCCGTACGACCCGCACCTTTCAAGGTTGGAGATCAAGTATTACTCTCCACTAAAGATTGGCAAACATCGGGAGCCAAATTGGCACAACGGTGAGGTGGACCCTTCGAAATCGTAGAAAAACTAGGACCAGTCACATACAGACTCAAAATGCCACGACAATACGGCGTTCATCCAGTTTTTCATGCGTCCAAGCTCACGCTCTACCATGAAGATGAAATACCAGGCCGCACACTCAGACCTCGTCCTCCTATCAAAAAGAAGACTGGCGAAGAATGGGAAGTCGAGTATATAGTCGACTCTCGTGTCATTCGTGGCAAACTTCAATATTTGATGCATTGGAAGGGTTATTCTAAAGCCGAAGAAACTTGGAAACCCGCTGCAAATTTGAAGAAATCTCTGCGTCTCATCAAGGAATTTCACAGAAAATATCCTGACGCACCTCAACCAATATCTCTTATTGATACAACTCCGATCGATGGCGTTTTTTCACCCAGGAGAACAGGTCAAGTCTATGACCCCGCCACTGATACCATTCAGATATATGATCAGGATAGAGATGATTGGGATCATTCTAGAGATCTTCAAATAACATTAGACAATCCAAATGCACACGCACCAAAATATGCCCATGAAGACGATGCTGGAATGGATTTAGCCGCATCAGAACCAACAACCATCCGAGCACACTCACGAGGATTAGTATCCACAGGACTTCACTTTACAACACCTCGAGGAACCTATGGTCGAATTGTGCCACGAAGTGGATTAGCTGTTAAAGGCATCGACGTAGGCACTGGTGTAATCGACAGAGGATACACAGGCAAAATCAAGATTTTGCTAATAAATAATACAAATGATGACTTCACAGTCAATCTGGGTGATCGAGTCGCTCAACTTATCATTGAACGTATTATTACCCCTGTCATTTCACTGGTTGATTACCTCAAACCCTCAGCCCGAGGACACCGTGGATTTGGTTCAACAGGCGATAATTACTTCCAGAAACCATGCAAAAAGCCAGATTCAGGATGAACTGTCTAGAAGGGGGGGTACTGTCACAGATTTTCACGTCTTTCAATCTGCATGTGACTAGAACATCACATGACATCAGTGCTAGGCTGTCCAGAAAGGAACGAACCGGTACACGAAGTACTGACAGTCCTAGGCACCCCGAAGGTCCAGGACTAGTCACGTGACATATCACGTGATATCTACACATGTGACAAGTAGCGCTGGTATTAGGTAAGCCTAACTTATACAGTAATATCATCCCACCTAGAAGCAACGGTCGGACTCTGGAAGAATCTAATAAAGGAGGCACACGCCACCGGAGATATGTCCTTAAGGGGATATTAGTTCACATACATGAGGTAGATAGATACCACACCACCGGAGATGTAGCCATTACAGGCAATACCATTCCCATGGTCTTACTAAGTAGCTCGGAGGTTCAGCATGCATGACACACGTAGTCTGACAGGTAGTGGTAACCAATCAGACAATGTCCATTAGCTAGTGGTTCTGGGGTATCAGGGTACCAAGGGTCCCTCCGCTCATGTATATAAGCCAGAGCTCTGAGACGCATAAGTCCCCCAGACTTATTCTCATCTCTGCTACGCCTATCCATATAGTGTTATCAGTGCTCACTTGCAAGTCGCTGCTTTACTTTGATCATCTTTGTGTCCATCCTTACGTCGACAACAGTCAGTAAGTGTTTGATCATAAGGTCATAGGCTTAGTCGGCGCTCTGCGTCCTAAGTTTGTGATACTTACTGGGCCATCTAACTGACCTGATCAAGCAATAAGCTGTCAATGCACGGCAGATTTTGAGACGACAAAAATATTACCAACTTCATCATGTCAGATGGCATGGATATGCAGAACTTTGCAAATCACTACTCGCATAGTTCATCAGAACGAGACGAGACTTGTAATGAGCATAGGAACAATTTACACACTGGTGGGATGCGTACCATTCGTGTTATCCATTGCGCCCCAGCCTGAATTGGGATTGCACATGCCAGCTAGCCAGCGATTGCTCGGCACTATCCGATCCTCCACCGTGCCACTACTCCATGTACCACTCCAAGCATCCGCGGCTGATGTGCATAGCTCCGGGAACGGTGAGTGATGAGAACGTGATCAGTCTAATCGCCTCGACGTTCACTGCAATAGGGTGCTCACTTCATCAACACTTCGTCGAACAGATTAAGATGGAATCATCTGCATTCGATCACGTCCCTTCAAGCTCTATGTAATCGCTCTGACCATCGCTGTCCTCGAGTCGATATTCACGGGATGTGCACTGACCAAAGGCGTTCCTCGAGGAGATCTTCGTCCTTCTACACTTTCATTTGCGGCGGAGGCCTAGAGATAGCTCAGGATCTGCATCGATCCCAAGAGATAGGCTATGCATGAGGATCACAAGCCAGAAGGATAGCATTATGAATGACTGCATACCGATACTTTGACACACTTGAGATTCGCACATCGAGGCTCTTGAGATGAGCACAATATATCGCGCACTTCGAGAGGTATTCGCACATGATGATCGCTGAAGTATCGAGCTGGATTGATGGCTCCCAGAACGAGTCTCAGGAGTATAGTCGATGGTAGTCTTGTAGCTCAGAAGACGGACGGCAACAAAGGATTGTTATAAAATAGCCATTGCGATACAGCCAAGAAGATAATCCAAGTCCTCTTAGTAAAAACATGCAAGAACGACGGATCGAGCAGAACCAGACACGGCAGACATGATGTGATTTATCAGTGTGAAAAATAGTGTGGGAATGTCGGCTGATGTCTTACATTTGTGACAAAGATTTGCCAATATAGTATTTAAATGGCAAATAATGCACATTCGCAGCCAAAGTGAAACATTTTCAACATGAAGTGCCGTGGTTGCAAATATTTGCTGCATGTGTAAGAAATCAGTCGACATTTACACACAATTTTCCATGTTGGTAAATCGCATTATGTCTGCCGTGAGAGGAGAGCGAATGAAGCAGGTCAGACGGAAAGGGATGGCGTGCCGTTGTCACGCCCACGTAACTCGTGTGATATTGATGCCACGACGCCACCGTGTTTCACGTCGACGATGACAGCTCTGCGTATTACTGCTCGCAATTGCCCAGCTTCTAGCTCGATGTCACATTTTTCTGCAATTTCTCCTTCATCCCGTTCAATACGGTGCTGGCACCACGCGTCGACTGTGACGCGTGCCGCTGTGACAGAACAGGACAAGCGCCGTGACTAGACGCGCGTGGCATGCCCGTTCAGTTCGGGCACATCCGGGTTTTCCCTTCGCGCCAAACTCTTTTTCCCCCACCACTTTTCTCGTCCCTCTGCTTGACGATATCAACATCGTTCGACGGCGACATCTACTTCTTCAAACGCTGCTGTAAAATCTAGCTCTGAATGGTCTCGCTTCCATGGCTACTGCTAGAGGCTTTGAGCGCACCTGGTGCCCAACTCGCATCGTGTGCCCGCCTTGCTCAATCTTCTCCCTGATTTCTTTTATTTTTTTGGTAAGTAACGGTGTAAGCTTTCGTCGACATGAAAAATAGAGGTAGTTCTGAGTACTTCCAATACTGGCTATCGAGATGTTCTCGCGCTCATACTCTGCCGACACCATCGCGACCCGGGAACGTGGCTTTGCGCGGGTCTTTGCACTGAAACGCGCTGCAGGATTCGTTCTTTCACTCAAAACAAGCTCTGCAGTATGCATTCTTGCTTGCTATGAGAGTAGAGCGAGGCGTGCTGTGCTTTCAAGTGCAATAGATCCGTCATACTTGAACGCTTCCACGTTTCTCCATGTGAGCATCGTCTTCTAAAATGTCTTAATTCGCTCTGCATATGCGCTATCTTATGTTGCTACTCAAGAAATGCTCGGCGAATGTATAGTCAGAATCCTTCCCTCTCAGTCAACCTTGGTTGCGTCTAGCCTATTCCTGCTACGTTACTGCGAACGCTGCTGCTCATCAATCCTCTGCTCTCTACGTTGTCGTGTCTGTATCGCAACTTATTACTCTCGGACGTTGCTTCGAGGACCCATGCTGCAAGTCTTTCACCGAGTGACAGAGCGCGATTACGCGTACCTATTGTTCGCGAAGGCCTCTCCTGGACATCAGTGTTTCTCGTCGACCCTTGCACCAAAACTCCCATATTCCTGCTGGAGGGCACACGTCCCTGACGACAACCCCCGCGCGACCTTGTTCTCCATTCGGAGGGCATGTAAGGCTCCGTCTGTCTTCATTGTCTGCGCTGTAGCTGGTAAATCGTACGGATCTCACAAGCTATGCTGTGCTGTTCCCATCGTCATTCCTAATTCTCACTAAAGCTTTCATTGCGCTCAGAAGATACATGAGCTCTGTCGATCTGCGTAATTGTGTGGTGTACTGCTTCTGTGTGCAGGATTTCTGTGCTCGCGTCGCTATGCGAATCAAGGTATCGATCAGACTATTGATTCGTCCTCGCTAAAAGAGCATGGTATGTTTCGCATGTTTGATTGGCTCAAAGTTCTGGATTCGCAAACAGATTACGCTGGGATCGGAATCTACCGTGCCGTACTTTCCAGTGCAGCAGACCCATCATAGACGGAGATGTCCTCTTCATTTACGTGGCTGGCTCGTATGTTCACACCTCACACAATCTGCTCAATGCTTCGCACTCTCTATGCCACCATCAAGGCCGGTGATAGATGTCCTTTGTCCTTTTGCATGTCCTGTTCTGACCTGCCTCTTGTTTGCTCGGATTTGTTGACATGGATGCGGTCATGCTCTCTCCAGCTCGTATGTATCATATTCGACCTGTTTTTCGTATGGCCGCGTAAACGGGGCGCTCACAATTCTACGAGATGAACACCAAAGTAAAGGCCTACGCGCGGTATGGTATATTCCGTCGAATGGTCGTTATAGCTGTTGCGGTAAGCTAACCCGTTGCACCTGCGATGCAATTTATTGACTATGGTGTATAATATGTATGTCCTTTCCGAAAATGACTCGGAAGATGCACAAGTAATTGTGGGAGCTTTCTATGTCTGCCAGTCTGTTGCAATGGATGTATGTAGAGTCGAGCGCACTTTTGAGTACGGGTCTGAAATGCCAAATAAATGCTAAATACGGACATTCAGCGACGGTTTTGATAAAACACGGTATTCGATATTTATAACGTCAAAAACCTCCACGCTGACGCTGACGTTCAATTCGACAGCGGTTAACAAGCAGCGTCGCGTTATCGGAGTCGACGTCTGCGTGCAAAAGCCGGATATGCTGTTCCTCATCCACTATGATAGCCGTGCAGTCGACGAAAATACCAATCCAAAATCTGTGATACATAGAGTACGACGCTAAACTACAAAGCTTTCGTAACAAATCATATGAACGTGATCCCCGCACTTTGATCTAGAGCCTATTGTCATTCTTGATGATGTCGGCAGCTAGGAAGCATCTGTCATTCAGAGTCAAAAGATCTTATTGCAGAAGACCAACCTATTTCGGCGATACCATACGCCACGGCTAGATAGTTCAGTCGTCAGCTTAGGTTGTCGGGCCAGACTGTTACCATACCTTGGGTATGAGCCGATACTTCCAGTGGGATGATCGAAAGATCGACAACACGCACATTCTTCGTTCCGTACACCTGCACCCATATTCCAAGTCAGATGTAGCATCATCACGATCAACCGCACACTTACTTTCAACATTGGGTCAACAACCCCGCCTTTCTCCTTCGGCAGCATAGACAGGCTCCCAACCGTATCTGTAAAAATGGTAAGCTCGTGCAAACAGCAGCTTGCGTAATATACGTACGCCACGCCGTCCAGAAATGCTTGCGCAGGTGATCTTCAAGTAGGATCCATTGGCATAAGGTGCAGCATGGTGAGCATGTCACAAAGAGACTCACCGCGAAGCTCATCATCATCTGTAACATTGGATCCTGGCATCACTTCTGCGACCACGATGTTCTTGAACGGTTCTGTTTGTGCAATCTTTCGAGCGTACTTGAAAGAATCCAACATTATCTCGAGGTCAGCTTCTTCCTCGTAGTAATGGGGATCGATGGTCGGATGCGTCTTTGGATCAGCCGAGTTAATGTGCTGTTTGCGTCGTATAAGGGGAAATGCGAAAATAGATGGGAATTACGGCAATACATACGATCGTTCCACGAGAGAATGGGTGGCTGACAACAGGGAGCAGTGAAAGGCGAGGTTTTCCAGAAGCTGAAAACATGTAGGTCGAGCCTCATTACCCCGACCAGCATACACGGACAGCTTACTGTCTGGGACCAGCGAGAATGGAAATACCAGGTACTCCACATCGGGCACCTTGGCATCCTTCATGAGCTCTAGTTGCATTTCATACTGCTCCCCGAGCCCAGGGGGATATTGATCGGCTTCCTTGACTATCTGTGCGGTCTGCATGTCGATGATGGAGTCTGCTCTCTCAGAAACAGTCTGCACGGGCAAGTAGGTGATACCGGTCCACACAAGCGACAGCGGGCCCTCGACGTGGGGGCTGTAGGGGCGCACATCTGCATGAGAACAGTTTGGTATCTTTGGTTGAGTGACTCACTAGGCTCCCTTCAGCTTGGATTGGAAGGCAGGGTCGCGCATAAGATCGCTGGTGGCGATGTCGATATCGTCACGCATCTCTAGTACTTAGTGCTCAGCTTGGGCGACGAGCGTTTCTGTGGCGGCTTGCTCACCAAATACAAGCCCAGTGATAGTCAAATGCTCCTGTACATTAGTTCCAACTGCGGGAAGATGTTGTATGACAGGGATACCAAGAGGTTCCAAAATCTCGCGATCACCGATGCCGCTCAGCTCGAGTATGTTTGGAGACTTGATTGCACTGAACGAGAACTAATCATCGGTGGGCGCCCTAGAGGGAGTGATTCACTTACCCCGCGGAAAGAATGACTTCCTTCGAGGCATGCACTTGATGCAATGATCCTCCATGTTCGAATTCAACGGCACTGGCAACAATCTCTTCGCCATCCTTTGTCAAGAGTAACCTAGTCACATATGCTTCGCTCAACACCTTCAGATTGGGACGTTCTTCAAGGACAGGGAAGAGATATTGCTGAACAGAAAACTTGAATGAGAACAAGTCAATATGCGTTAAGAGCCATCCAGACGCACTGAAGCGGAGTAGGCTCTCGTTCCACTGGCAGGATCTATGCTGGAGACAATCTTTGCGGTTCCGAGAAGCTATGGAAAGGCGGATCAAATATCCGTTCTGCCGAAGCTCAATGTTACGTACATCTCCGCTAAGCTAATAATAAAGTAATCAGTAACAACAATGTACAGCAACGCTGCCAACGAACCATGTCCGATATTGTCGTTACTCCATGATGCTCTAAGCTCTGACTATGGTTCAGTCTGTGCAGCTCGAGTACGATCATCTTGTGTACCTTCTGAAACTCAAACTCTGCCCCAGAGCTCGTACGAGCGAACGAGAGAGGGATCGGTCCTGCATTGAAGACGTTGAGTAGATAAGCTGGCTATCATAAACACGAACCCACCGTCTTTGCCCATCGAGTGGAACTCATACAAGTCTCGGTAACCCTTGTGACACCTAGCAGTCTCTGGAATGACGAATCTGAAAGAACACATCAATTACGGGCCTTCGCAAAGCGAGGAGAGCTTACTTCTCCGACTTCTTAGAATACTCATAGAACCGATCGAAGTTCCATCCCGGGTTCCCCAACTTCTCAATCGCTACATACTCTTCAGCATCATGTTGCATAGTATGATACACCGCATACCATCGAAGTCTTCGCGCTGCGGCCTAGTCCATCCCAGCAGATTGATAGCGGAGCTTCCACCCAAGCCCTTTCCTCTTGATGGTAACACACGGTCAGACTCGTTGGTCAATGGATCCGGCCATGGAACGTACCGACTCCAAGAGATACTGTTATTCCCAGCGTGTTTCTGCGGTACAATCGGGAAGCACCAGTCATATTCTGGGTTCGCGAGCTGCTTCACCCAGCCATCGAGCTTTTCTGTTTCGAGATAGATTCACAACCATAGTCTACGGCGTGGCGAGCTACGCACGGATAAGTGGATCTTCGATATGGGCCTTTCCTGCTTCGAGCACTGCTACAGAGACTTCAGGGTTCTCCGTGAGGCGATTCGCAAGCACGAGTCCAGCGGTCTGCCAGATGCGCATCAACGAGAAGCATCACAGACACTGATCGAGCAGACGAGGCTTACCCCGCCACCTGCGCAGATTAATGAGCGGAATGACGAGAAGATGATGTTTCGCGGAACGCACCAACAATGACGAAGTCAAAGCCATTGTTAGCGACGTCGGAAAGAGTGGCGAGTTTTTGTTCCATCCTCGCGCTTTTGCGAAAGTTGACTCTCATGAAGTGCGTCCATCTTTTGTAGGGAGGAGTGGATCCCAGACCGAAGTAGGCTAGCTGAAGTCGACTTCCCGTCCGATTTGCGATATTTTGACATGAGAATGCAGCAAAAGCCGTTGGCCGCGGGCGACAGGTAGCCGTCATTGATCGTCGACGCACCGCACGTCTGTCAGGGTTACACAAGTTCCGAAAACACTGCCAAGCCTTCTAGACTGATGAAGGTGAAACAGTGCACTGAAGCAAACTCAAAAATTGGGGCGTCCCGGAAGTGATAGCTTCTGTACCTTTCATGATACTCGGATTCCATGAACTGGCACGAGTGTTGACTAAGAGCAATCATTCACGCACATGCCAAGTGCTGGTTCAACCTCTTTTTAGCATGTGGAACACGTCGTCGCGGCCGTTGAACAGAGTGTCATCGACTTCAATTATGAACGGTCCCAATCGGCTGTGTCGCATGAGTGTGAAAGCGCACCTCATTGGCAGGATCTATGATCAACACTGGCAGTTCCCTAAGCGCACCTCATTGGCAGAATATCAGCACCAGACGCCTATGCGGAAAGCATGGTGCTTCTTGCGGATCTGTGAGAGCCGCACAGAGAAGGGAAAGCTGAAGCGCAGTGGGAAGGTCGGGCGATCCGAAGAATCGTGGCTAGTACGTGAAAGCAAACCGGACGGATATTGATTTGAACGAGACCGGAGCGGTTTCTTTCAACGCGCTCCGGCGCTTCGAAAGCCACATAAGCCGGGCCGCCAACGCGAACTGGTCGGAGTTCTACTTTCTATGATACATGTCCAAGCTGTTACTGTCGTGTCGGACTCCAGGAGCAGCGTGATCAGACTACATGACCCATCAGCGAATTCATCAGGCCGAACACTAGCCAGTCTCGAGAATCTACAGTGTCGAACGACTGCAAAAGTGGACAAACTGTTCGGTAAGTCGTCTGGATCGTAGGATCGATGAACTTCTCCTTCACGAATTCAACTTCCACGATTACCATAATTGAGGGAATTGCCATCCGTAACTGTCTTACGAAGATCCGAGTGCGCCACGGTGGTTTATATGAAATGTGGTGTTGCAGAATACACTGTACATGGGTATGTCTGCCGTCGAGAACCGTAAGTTATATCCTTTACTTTCGCCTCGTTGATATATGACTTTCAGCGGTCGCTATCAGACTTCAATTGACGTAACATTGAAGCGTTTGATCATGGAGCTCGAACATTGAGGGGACAGTAGCCCGCTTCCTCCCTACTCTAACGTCTCCTCTAGACAACTGTTCTCCCGTAGCGACCTGCTGACTACTCAACCTCGCGGATAGTGGCGTTGAACACTTTGCAATATCTTTGCGCACTGTTCGATTTCGTTCATAGTTCTACCCTGTTACTAATGATCTGCGTAGCAAGTAGAAGGCAGGGCCGTCCGATCGATGAGTTCATAGGAGTGCACGATGGAATCTAGATTTCATCTATAGGTTCATGTATACCAGCAACATTTCATGCCTTTAGAAAATCTGTCTAAAGGTGAGCAGATAATGAATAAAATTTCTGGCTCGCAGGCCACGATGGTTGCACGAGTACTCTTCGTGTATCAGGCTGACCGCGCTCGACTGTGAGTACAGGGGCTGCTGTGAGCCACCTTCCATTGTCTTACCGCGTTGCATCCTGCGCATGATCAATGTTGTTCTGACGCGTGGCTGCGCCTAACCGGCCCTCTTCGGCTTCAATTCAATTGCAGCCAATCCACATAGCGCGGCATCTCCCCGGGCTGATCCGTACGAAGCTCCTTTTCCGCATGCCAGTATTGTGGTCTTTGCATGTCAGCTTTGGCACACAGTCTCGCTTCAATCTTTGCTGGCGGCATCAAACCATGGAGGCTCAATCGAACCATACCAAACAAACCAGTTGAAATGAACATACTTGCGCTAGCCTTCACGGAACTTTCAAGCTCCCGGCCTCTGACGCAAGGCTCCGATATGACTCCGGCCACTCTTATCCGAAGGTGTTCCTTCCATGCACTAAAGTGGAACAGCCGACCCCACGATGCCTTCCATATAGCGCTCAATACGTAAATAAGCCCACGAATTCCCCTCATTGCTTGTCGTCCGTTCCATTATAGGTGGCCACAACTGCCAAGTTCGGTTGATCTCCGCTGACTAGATGCATCTATTCTTTGGATATGGGACATGGAAGTCCCGATTGCACGGAAGGTGTCTTGTGCTTGGTCACTGTGCTATTGTCCGGTTGGCAGGGTGCCCTTCTATCTGCTCCCTTTCGTCTTGAACAAGTGGCTCAATGCCTATCGCTTCATCTCCCCTGAGTGGAGGTTAGCGAGCAATGAGGCACAGGTTACTATGTTATGGGCGTTCCGCAGAAGCGTGGCACTGCCTCGCAGCCCGTCACCTGTCCCCAACTTCCATGACTCTGTTCGGGCTTTGTCGCCATGGCTATTTAGTCCTCCGGGACTTCACCATCTCCGACTTTGCTCTGCCAGGCAGTGCCTTCTCCAACCCAACTTCCTTGAACCATGTCGATTTCGTGTGCAGAGGCTGCAGCCTTGGCCAAATACATGTACGTGAATGTCACAATCGATAGGGTCGGTCTGACTTTGATTTGGCAGAGATGGACCTACTTTGGTCGGAATATTCTTGAATGTCATGTACGATTATCTCCTTGCAGATTGTTTGCGATGCCCTTGAGATTCAATCCCAGGTTGTATGGAGTAATGGTCACTCAGACGTTCTTCTACTTCTCTAACTATCCGGCGTACGTCGTTCAGAAGTGCTGGGTGCGGTGATCGGCTGACTGATCTGCCTCGCAGAGACGCGAGATGGGTCAAGTGTTATGTGAGAGGGGGGGACGGTGGCGACAGCGTAGAACCATCGCTGATAACTGATAGGTTGCAATCCTCTTCTTCGCGGATACGTTAAACACTATATTCAACATAGCGTTCATCTACAATGTACTTGTGAACAATTTTGGTGCGTCTACATCGACTACAAAGCCAGACGGAGGAACGTCTCAATCTTACTATATGCCCATGATGTAGGAAACGCCACGAGCGTAACTGTTGCAAACTGGCGTAAGTCTCCGATTTTTTCACGGTAAGCGCTTAGCTAAATTATATCGCAGTGTTCGAGACAGGTGAGATTCTGAATAGAAAAATGATGAAGTTGACGCCAATCGCCACTGACATGCTCTTTACAGAGGAGTCGATGGTTGTATGTACTTGATCATGACATTTCAAGGAGAAGATGTAAATCATTTCGCCTTTTGCAGGGCATTATCGCAATGCAGGCTCAGATATTCTACATCTGGCGTATTCACAAACTCACGGGCCTACGATGGCTCGTTTGCATACTGATTGTGACCTCTGTGGTTGGCTGCCGTGAGTTCACAGAATCGTGTAATTGTCGTGATAAGACTCACGCTCGCATGCTATGTAGTCGGAGGAATTGCCTCATCTATCGTTGTGGCATTCAGGCCCATCTTCACTCAATTTGGGCGGTATAAGGTACGGTCTTACCTTTCTAGCAAGAGGTTTCTTCTAAAAAATATTACAGGAAGCTGTCATAGTCTGGCTCGGTGCAGCTGCCATTACGGACATAATGATTACATCCACACTTGTATGGTATCTGGTCAGTTTCCCAACTGCTGATTTTGAGCGGACAGTGTTTACATATCGTTCGCGCGACAGCGAAAGAAACGCTCGGCTTTCCCTCGCACCAACACCATCGTGTCGAGAATAATCCAACGTGAGTGTTATGGTAGTCGCGGTGCAGATCCGACGTTGACGTCCCCATGCAGTGACCGTGTCCAACGGTCTGTTGACTGCGAGTTTTGCAGTTGCAGATGTGATCGCGTTTGTATGTCAGGTACGTTGCGGATGTGTCTTCTACCTTGGCTAACTAACGTGCTGCTCAGGCGGGAGGCTTACATCTGGGTGCGCTTGACCTCGTATGGTTGACCAGCGAAGTCACTGACAGGGACGACCAGCCTTCAACTATCCCTTGTGCAAGCTGTACGTGTGCAGCGTTTTGAAAACTCATCTCGTGACGTGAGACTCATTTCATTTGTTATAGTTACGGAAACTCCGTGATGGCCAGCTTGAATTCGCGAGCGATTCTGATCCACAGTAGCGACAACGTCGTTGTATCGACGTTCCGAGCGGCACCGCGAGTACGTGGTTCACTGTAATCAGGTCGAAAACTCTTGTCAACAAACAGCTGCAGAACTCACAAGACCCCAAAAATGTCTCGCCGAGTCAGGCTGCGCAGGTGGGCGGCGATCGAGAATAGTTCCCACCATTCACTTATGTTGATCTCTTTGAAGGTTACAGTAAACGTCGAGGTGCACCAGATGACCGATATATCGGAACAGACATCGAAACAGGATTGGCCAGAAACAAGGTCAATAGACATGAAGAACGGAAATGCCGTCTGAAGCAGCTGGAGTCTTCATTTCGGTAATGTCATTGCATATGGCCTTTATTGTTAAGTGACCTATGGTAGTCCATGTCAAGGCGTCCGGCTACTCCCACACCGCTGCCGCGGCCATGCACGTATATCATTTTATGCGAAATAATGTAATCGATCGACATCTCATGTATAATGATTTTTAATTGAAGCGGATGGGACACGTTGCGAGCCTCTCAATACTGAAACATAAGATGCTTGATTGACATCGCGTGAAGGGAAAAAACAAATATTGAAGATAACGCATCAGCCGAGAAGGCTGAATGCATGGACAAGATGGGACAGTCGTTCCCGCTAGGGTAGGACCTCAGCCTTCGATTTGCTATCATTCTCCTTGAACGTATTCATCTCCAACATCGTCGCAGTTGATGCATTTGGAAGACCTTCACCACTACCGGCTTGGACCGTCCCTATGATGGTCTGATATATGTCGATGTGCCTCTATGAAGGCAATGTCAACGAAATATCCAGCCAGATTCTGCAGACTGACCATCGGAACGCTTTGCACCTGTCCTGTTGGGTCCCTTGCAGTGAAACGCATCGTAATAGCGTCATCTATTACCGTTCCCGGAAGACTCCTCAGTCGCTCACGAGCGTTCAATCTTTCGAAGATGTTAACACGAACTGATGATCTCAAAGAATCGACGACGCACGTCGCAAGGAAGGAGTTGGCATATACTGCGTAAGGTCAATGAAGAAGCTGGTCACGCAGAAGTGATATCGAGGCTTATACGCACGCTTGCTTTGGATTTCGACCAGCCCGGTGAAGAGGAGACTGTTCTTATAGAATAGAAACTGAGGCAACTGTCAACGAATGCTCGTGTAGCGATAGTCAAAAATGATGCACCGTCATCAGAATTGCTATCGAAACGAGCCTGTAGCTCGATTTAGAGTAAGAAATCACAAGTCAGCATGAAGCAAATCGCGCACATCGTCAAACTACCCGTGTTGATCACGTATGCTTGCAGAGACTTGATGAGGTGATCCGTTCTGTAACCACAATGTAACGACTTATGTAGACACCCAGTTCCCCCGTACACACCTTCTCGTTCCACTACGACCTTGTTGTAGATAGTACATGAGAAACGATGCAATAATGAAGTCGACCACCGCTGCGAGGCTAAGACCGGATGTCAAAGTAACCTATGAATCGTACTGGTCAGAGATTTCGAATGCGTTAAGTAACGCCTACTGCTGCCTACCAGTGGTCCGATAGATTCTCGAAACCTAGACCAATGCTCAATCTTCCATCTGAGATGAATGTGTGTAAAACAATCGCATGACGCGCGGAGGGCGTACACGCACGTGAAGCTGGATGTTGCTGGGAACAATTCATATATTGTAAGTTGGGAGGTGACCACATTGATTTGCAAGGCCATACCACAACCTAGGCCTGTGGTAAATTAGTGAAGAGAATTAAAAACTCAATTGAACGAAAACCTTCAGTACTTACAGACTCGACAAAACAAGAACACAGCCTAAACCATTAGTAAATTCACGCTCGATGCATCTGTTGCTACATAATTCACCGGTATAGCGGTTATAAGATGATTCCGGCCGCTCACTGTAAGATCGATGAGTGGCATTTTATCGCTCGCCTTATAGAAATTACTCGCAAATCCAGATGCGATGAATAAAGAAACTGTTATGTTCCGTCAGCACATTCCTCATCCATCGAACTGGGTAAATGCTCGTACCTCTGTACAACGGCTGCTATAATCACCTATGAAGCGAGCACATTTATTTCAGCCAGATGACGTTACATAACCAGCGAAAGAAAGATACCGCTGTTATAACAGTAGCCTAACCCAGTCAGATGAAATACGCATCGCTCGGATCGACCGTAAAGCTCACCCCGACGCTCCTGGATAACACTGATTCATTTTGATCGAGAAGAAAGTGTTTGAAATAGCGCGACATACCACACTATCAACTCCACTCGAGCTAAGTTGCCGAAGTCGGTGATCACATATTCGTAGATCATGTCTAGACAAAACGCAGTGTGTATTGTTTCTAGGAACCTGGAAAGAAGTTTGACCGCCATAGCTCTCAGATCACGATACAGTGCTCACCAGACAACCAAGACCGTTCTCTTTGTCATAGAGCTGTCGAACGGGTAGTTCCACCAGTACACGTACGACTGAGTAGTCGTGATCCCATACAGCCTGCAACAGAGTAGTCAACAAAGAGGCATCGGGTCAGGAGATGTGTTTCGTCAATGAGCTCACATCACGGCCACAAACATCTCTACAAGCAGTGCTCCTGCTATTGTCTCAATTTCCGTCGCCATGTCTGCAGTAGACTCAAATGAGAGGGTAGAAGTTCGTATGGAGACGAATGCTCAACACATGGATATACCAAGTCACTTCTGCGCATTACTCAAAGCTAGGCCCGATAGGCGCAACGGCCGATGCCTCGTGTAGCTGGCGTTCATGTGAGAAAAGCGCATGCAAATGGACGAGTATGCATACCATCCAGCTCACGAAATCCATGATACAATTTACTCTGAAGGACAGAATAAGCAGAAAGCGGCAACTATCGGGATGGTCCCTTACGTTCGATGCCGGCGGCCGACCTCGTCATCAGTTCTGCGTCGCCTGGGTACGGGCGCCTTGTCCCTTGCAGCAATGCAACCAAGTGACGTTCCAGGGTCCAGAAGAACGCAATGTTGGCATGAAAGTGGAGGCGGTGTCTCGATGTGGTGCGATGTGCTAAGGTTTCAGAATGCACTAGACCCACGGAGCAGATCACAGCGAAGCCATACCAAGAGTGAAGAGCGGCACTACACCAAAGAGAGACAAAAGCGGTTCAGCATATAAACGTGAATCGGTGATACGACGAGATGAACAAAGGAAAACTAGGATTTCGACTTACAGGAAAAGATAGCCTGTCAAGTTGAAGAATAGAAGTCGCAATTGGCTAAGATCATAATCGCGGAATTATTCATGCGAACCACATGCTGCGCAGGCTCCTGCATGGCACGCCTCAGATTTTAACTGATTCGGGACACATCTTCCCGAGGTGCACGTTTCGCTGGATCTTTGCGAGGAACCTCAGAAGAAACTCATATAACCTGAAACCATGACGACGAGATCGCAAGAACTTCAATCCGTGATCGAGGCGCGGACGGTGCGCATGCGACGAAGAGATCGAATTATCCGATCGCATGACTTTAAGAGTAGAATGCTGGCTGCAGAGATACCCATCGTTTCGACCGGGAAATCAAAGATCGCCGAAGAGCTACACGCAGTTCAACACAATGCCTTGACAAAGGGACCAGGTTGAGATCAACATTGCCATTTGCTGACGAGGACGTGGAGAATACCGGTCAGCTCGGACAGGCCTTGACAACCTCCATGCTATGCTGTTGCACTAGAACACTGCTGAGGCTCGCGTGTTAGGGCGGCGGAAAGCAAGAGCCAGAATGCTTACCCATGGGATGAAAGTCCAACGATACGAGCACGTTCTCAGCGAAATGACCTGCATCTGAATGCAACGATGTGAGTAGCGATACCTATACATAAGGCCAAAGGGACGCAAAGTAAAGCTTATACCTGAATCGCACTTGCTGGAGATACGCAAGCATCAAACACCGTTGCATGCCACATAAAAACGGGTATTGAGCTACCAGTATGCTGGCAGCGGCCTAGAACCCTTGATATTATGCCGCGAACGTCCCTCCGTACAGTATCAAGAGTAAGAATAAGCATAATTGCATACGGTAATCCTCCGGACACTAAAGGCGAGGGGTGAGGGTACGAGAGCTAGCCGCACCCCTGAGAGCCTGGATAACCTGGCTATTCATGGAATTGATGCTCTAACAGATGCACGATAGGCTGAAGCAGAGGAACGAAGAGAAATCCACCTCCACCTTGGTAAGTACGCCGGCTGACAGTGGCCTAGGGAACCATGGCAAGTAAGAGTCCAGCCCAAGTATAGCGAATACGCCGATAGTAGTCTAAATGCGCATATTGGGCATGTACAACTGTGTTCTTTTGAAGGCATCCGAGGACTTTAGATCATCGGAGTGCGCAATACGGACAAGAGAATCCTAGACTTGAGTAAATGTGGGCATGCTGCAGTTGTGCTACACTGTTGCACTGGGAAGAGGGAAAGATGTAGACCAATCGCTAACCTGGCATTCCAAAGATATGTGTTGCGTGTATATGAAAGACACCTTTGACGAACGAAACCATAAAGGGCGGGAAAAGAGACACGAAGCAGACGGAATCACTTCCAGGGTAGACAGAAGAGAGACGTCGGTCGACAGACCCTGTGAGTCGCACGCAGTTGTGACGCGTTGCATAGTAGCGCAGGAAACATATACATACGAGCCAGCCACACAGACCTCGGATGTGAGAATTCCATCTACAACGACTACCGCGCTGGGAGGTGCGACGATTCTGAGCCCTGGTTCAATGATTTCGCCAACCTACCTGTTCAGAGCCAATGAAGTTGACACGATATGTCGTGCATTCAACGCGGAGGTACGAAGGACTTGAATACACCAGTATAGATAGCCCCGATGATACGGTAACCAGCCTGGTCCGGTGGCGGAAGGAGTAACAGCAATAGATGCTAACAGCGAGCGAGCACAGGGAGCTTAAAGCGAAAAATGAAATCCAGTGCTAGACATGTCCACAGGCCACAGGTGTCATAGGTGTCGTTGTGTCTGAGGTAGTCTTGACCACAGCAGAGGTGAGCATCGCGACAGGACTCGGTTGAAGGCAGCCACGAAAGTCTTCCAGATTATCCAAAGTGCAAAGGTAGAGACAGGAATGGATGAGCTAGCGTTAAGCATGTCCGACGAGGAGACAGACCGGCATCGCTGTTGTCGTCGTTGGCGAATGTGCCGTCGAGCAGCGAGGAAAGTTTTGCTGCAAAAATCGACGCTCCAAGGGAAACGAAAAAGTCACAGGTCACGGCGCGTGTCATCACGCTTCATCACGCGTGGCGCTGGTGGCGCATTCTTGCTCATCCGAGTGCTGTGGCCCGTCGAATGCTGCCGCAACTGACGGCCATACATTGATATTTCTTTGTCGATCTTATCTCAGTGTCGCTCTGAAATTATGTCACTAAAAATATCTCACCGCTGTTCGGCAACCGCTCGGACGGGTGTGGGAGGGACGGCTTGGATTGCTCGGGTAAGTCGCATCGCCCACTATCAGTAGCTGAGTATCGCAAAAACATAGGTAGTATGAATTGAAGGCCGACAGATGCCTTTGGTATTAATCTCCGGTATGCACGGCAGTATGACTTCGCGAACCCGCGGCGCAAAGATCCGTACGCGGGACAAGATTGTAGGGTATCAACTGGTGATCGGCCATTAGCAACCGCTGTTGATATTGCGAGCGGTGCCCTAAGCAGCTGGACGGTTCACTCTGAACATGAGCGATAGGCACCATGGTAACTCGGGAAGCGTTGAACGTCATGCCTACTATATACGTGAGCAGCCCAACTCGTGTTGTCGCTCTGAAACCCGGAGCCGTTCATTGACAGCAGAAGTTCGCAGCGGCAGCCCCTCTCTACAGCGACGGACATGAGTCTGGAACATTGAGCCCCGTTGATAGGGCCTCAGCCGATCATGGAGGAGGGCCAGAGCCGAAAGTCAAAGGTACGGGTGTCAGATCGTCTTCCTTTGATCCGCGTTCACAGGATACACTGTCGCTGCCGTGGAATTTACCGCAAGGTGCTCATTAGATGACACTTTCACGTCATGCGCACCGCTGAGGACCGTGTACTCCGTAGTACTCCGTATCATCGAATTAGCGCTCGGCAGATATATTCTCATAGTTTCATGTGATACCCGCACCAGCAGTGGTATCCAGGTCCCCCCTCATGATCAACCATGGTCTACTTCCCCCTTGAAGAAGCACAGATCGTCTCTCTGTTCGTGCAAAGCGTCACTTATGGAATCCATGTCGTAACCTTTACACTCTGTGCATGGTCTATGCTCCACCGCAGAACTGAACATGGTGCTAATCCCGTCAACTGGGCGATGCTCTCTGTTGCGACAACTCTATTTGTCATAGGAACTGTGGATCTCGCATTGAACTTGTACATTAATATCCACGCTTTCATCTTCTATACCGGACATGGTGGCCCTACTGCTGACTTCGCCAACTTATCCAATTGGAGCCATGTTGTTCGCGTGAGCACTCGATTTTGTTATCATCCTGCCTTCTCAATATCTTCCTTACGGTAGAGCGTTACGACACAATTGCAAATACTGATTGCTGACGCTACTCTTGTACGTATGGCACATGTTTTCCTGCACGGATCTTCCTGAGCTCATACGAATACTATACTGATGCCAATCATATAATCAGATCCACCGCTGTTGGATCGTTCGCAATCACCAACGACGCGTGATTGCCTTACCGGTCCTCATTTGGTTCGCAGACGTGGCTGCGGCTATTGCATATCTGTACTACACAGCGCGATCATCAAGCGATCCGAGTCTGGTGCGATCTCGGAAATCGTTCCTTTCTGCGTTCATCATTCTCAGCGACATCGTCAACATCGTGACTACTGGTATGCAGGTCCTCTTCTATACTACCCTCACTTTGTTATTAAATGTTAAATGTGTATGGGACTGCAGCTCTGATCGTGATCCAAATATGGTGGATTCACAAGCAGTCGACTCAACACCTTTGTTCATCGTCTCGAGACAGTGGGCGTCTAAGCCTTGCGAGGATCAATAGGATCTTCATCGACTCTGCCATCCTCTACACTGGTATTGGTATCATAGGTTTTATTGTGGAGGTCTCACAAAGCAACGCAGTCTATGCTGTCCTCAGTCTAGTACGTGAGTCTCGGTCGTGCGATAGGATTTCGTCTAACTTCCTTTACTATTCAAGTCGGTAGAGATCGCGGGAATACAGTTCAATCTCATCATGCTCCGCATCTCCAGTGGTAATGCCACAGAGCGCACAGAAGCAGCGATGGAGACGCCGACATTGAAGTTCCGAAGCAAAACGACGACACAGGATCAGCGAGACACTGTATCTGCAGCAGAAACAACCCCCGAATTTTTGATATCCGAGAAGCTCAGTGGAGATGTATCCACATCAGGCGCTGCGATTAGCGTCGACGAAGCCGGAGCATAGGTTGTATAGATATCATTTTGATCCGAGGGAAGATACCTTAGAAAATACCTTTAAACGGCCATCTGTGCGCTTCATGCGTTTGGACACTTCCGAATTTCAAATGAATGCAGTGCGCACTGCCCCTCTGCTGCAGCCGTGACCACATACCACTTCGGAATATTTTGTGCTTTGCATTCGCTCTCCATCGAACGCGAGCGGTGCGTGACACGCGCGATCACACGGTTAGCGGTTCGTCTAAGGCTCGATAGGTACACTCGGTTCGATTCGAAAGCGCTTCCAAGTGCTTACTGTCTCTCCTGTCGACGACGACGCTCTCTTGGCTGGACGCTACCTCCTTCGTTCTCGTACAAACATACTTTCTCACTGTGCTGAGCGATTATACTGGGAATACCGCTACCTCAGACGTCAAGGCCTATCCGAGTTCTCATGCCACGTTGACCTCAACAAGCTCCTCTTGCATGTCGGCCTCTCCCTTTGATTGTCGTTTCTTATACTCAGCTCTATCAACGCGAAGACCATTGTCGGTGTTGTCGCCATCTCAGCTGCCCTTGCTTGTCGCTGGACTCCAATGAACCTGCACTGAGCGTCGTGGAAGGGTCGGCATTCTTCTTGACTGCTAAGATGGATGAACAGTGGACACTCGTTGCTCACTCCCTGGCAACGTTGACTAAGACACACGCAGTCGGTCAGAAGCACTGTCCTCAAAAGGATTGTTCTTGTTTGCCAAGTACGTTTGAGCTCTCTCTCGTCATGGCTCTTCTTCTTTTCTCTGCGTGCCGTGTAAGCTAATTCTTCTTCTTCTTCAGGTTACTGCCAGCGTTCGCTGCTTATTAGCTCTCATCCGAACTCTGTCGCTGCCTCGATGCGCACAAAATGTACCTTCACCTTACTTTCCTCTAACGGAGCTGATCAACAACATGCTGCGTTTGCCAATGCAGATAGCCGCATGCTTTGGAACATCTCGGCTGCCCCTGTTCCCGCGCATCCTGCGTCTACGTTCGGCAAAATACGTCTCTGTGTGCGTGCTACTCGCCTGTTGATGCTCTGAAACGTGCAGATAGAACTGGGAATAGACTGATCGCCCGTTGTCAATTCCTTGAGAGTTCGAAGGACTCCACACCACTTCCCTCATGTGAATGCTAGAGCTCTGTGGTACGGCAGGCTTCCGTTAGCAGCCAGTTTCGACTCACAGGTAAGCGATGATCCTCCTGCGATCTTCTTCACCTTCTCGAACATGAGGCTGTCAGAACGAGATGCATCTCAATATTGACGAAGCACGTTCTCCGATCTGGGAGATAGCCACGATCTGCGGTCATTTGTCGCAACGGCATTCTGACTGCTGGTACGACTCTTTTGGAGCATCTTCTTCTTGTGCAGGTCTCACGTAGAACCGCTTATGCTAAATAATACCAGACACTGCCAAGACACACCATTACGGATCTTGTTCTTGCAACGATAAAGGCTGTACCATATTGACGATCGCTCTGTTGATAGACTTTATGTCCCTTTGCGGTTCTTCGTGCCTATTGCGAAATCTAGCAAGTATTTACGTTCTATTTATCACAAGGTCCCGCGAGTGGACAAAGCCTTCCGTCAGGAAATATGAGAGAAGGAACGAAACACTGCCCGTTTTCAGTCTTCCAGTCCGCGGTTTCAGGCACGATCATTGATGAACGGGCACTGATTCTGGACTCGGGATACTCATTTCAAGGCCGAAGCTCCCGAATCATCAGACGGCAGACAAGACTGATAGATGATGAAGCAGTTCGTTGTGGAACGTTGAACGTTTCCATACATCGCCTATCATGCTTCGTGGTCCATTTCTCAGACATAAGCGGCAAGGCACTAATGTCAGCGGCCAATCAGTCACGACAGAAACGGAGTGGGTGAGAAGTTTAGCGTTCAATAAATGAAATGAATTATGAGCCACGTTTGCAGCGACCGGTTTAACCGAGGATTGGGGTAACATCCTCCTCGCTGCATCATCTAATCACATCTTCTTTTTCGTGTTTTCGAATAGGCTGCATGTGCGCGTCTATGTATCTCCTTGAAATGCACGAAATACCTTAGGACCGTGGCAGCTTCATCCCAACGAGCGCTCCTAACTTCCATCCGCTAAGTTGACGATGTCGGACTACAGCGAAGCTTGGCTGACTGGGCCTTCCGACACACAGTTCTACGCTCGAACCTACGAGGCAGCAGACCCCAAAGCGGTCCTTGTGTTTGTGCATGGGGCCGCAGAGCATGTCGGCCGCTTTGCTCATAATCATCTCCTCTACGCAAAACGAGGCATCATGGTGTTCGCGTACGACCGGCGTGGGTCAGGTCGAACGGCTCTTGACCAGGAGCACAGGAGCGCTGATTCGATGTACGGCAAGACAGACTGGAAGAGTGAACTCAAGGACATGGAATGGGCTATTCGGCATGTGCAGAGTACATTCTCTTCTCTTCCCGTTTTTCTCATGGGTGATTCATTGGTAAGAGCAGTACGACTAATATGCGCAGTTGTACTAAGACGCGGAGCAGGGCGGTGGACTAATACTGGGATTCGTTGCCCGTGAGGACGCTCCAAGGGACGTTCTATCGATGTTGTCAGGCGTCATCATTGCTAGCCCGACCTTGCTCATGGTTGATCAGCCGCCGAGGCTGATGCGCTGGATTATAAGTCTCCTTTGTATCGTATCTCCCAACGTGCAATTTCCTTTCAGGAACAATGCTCAGGTTCGGCCATGACTTATTAAGCTCTGCTGAGATGCTCACCGACGAAAAACAGAACTTGTCACGCAACCCGGAAACGAACGAAGCATACATCCGAGATCCTCTCATCAGAACAGCTGGATCTGTCAAGATTGTTCGCGACTTGGTGACTGAGGTAGCATTCATCTGTTCTTCTTGCCGGCTCTCGCTGACTTCGAATGCTCAAGGGAGAGGCGTTGCTCGAGAAGAACTATCAATATTGGCCTGAGGACATGCCCGTGAATTGCCTCTTACGCATTCATATATTGTTATGCACTAATCCTTTCTCTGCAGGTCCTCTTTATACACGGTACAGGAGACAAAGTATGATCCGTTCGGCTGCTCATGAAGATAACCTCACCAACCCAGTCCATCTCGTTGCCAGATTACCATGCACCAGAAGACTGTTGCCTTTTATGACAGTCTGTCGACCAAGGACAAGCAGGTGATCTTATATGAGGTGAACTAGCTTCTTCGGCACCTTGATATAGCTATGGTTGCTAATGCATATGCCAGGGAGCTTTCCACGAATTGCATAACGAACCAGATGGAGTTGCTGAGAAGATGGTGGATGATTGCGTGAAGTTCATGGAGGCGCATCTGGGACATCGGTTATGATGGCCGTCTCGATCGTTTGACAGTGCGACGGCGCTGTCTTATCTGAGCTTTCCATATGTGGCTTACAGGATTGAGGGTACGCACAGTACAGGAGAACTGATTTATTATTCATGGCATGTTTTACGCGCGGAGCATGGCACAGTGACTTACCAAAGCATGAACACATAGTTTCTCATCAGCCGGTGGCCGGCTGCAGTGACAAAGGTGTCCTCACCGATGGGATCATGTTTGGATGCTCCCTTACAGTGATGGTGCGAAAGGCTGCGCGCCTGGGAGCTTCGACGACGATTCGGAGCCGTTCAGTTTAGGTGAGCACCGTTAAAATGCGCTGAACCCATGAACTTACCGTGGATGTTGATAGACGCCAAGAACCCCGGCTGGCAGCTTTGAGATGCAACAAGCCGGGCCCTAAGCCTCCCCAGTCCACCTTGTCAGGCCTGGCTTACAGCTTGAGGCTGAGCATGACACATCCTAGCTTGTCAATCTCTAAATGGCTATGACGACCCACCTTATGTGAGGCGGGGAGGATGGACCACATTGTGGTGTATCTTCGCACTAATGCACATGCTGCCCCTGATTGTCTATACACATGCGCACTTATCATGATTAAACAGGTATCGTCTGACATGCTAGATGCTCCCGGTGCTAATAGCCAGTCCGCAGCATGGCACACTGAATGAAAGCAGGCGAAGTCACAGGTGCCAGAATTGTCCCAGAAGGTGGCCACTTGCATCTGAGGGCGGCTGTCTCGCAGTGCTTATTAAGTTGAGCCCGTAAGTGCCTTCAGCGACGATAGCTGTTGTCCCACCACCCCCGGGCCCCACATTCAAGTTCAGACGCAACGCCATGTCACCAGTAAAGATTGTGAGTACGCGTGATCCCCACTGCTGCTATTTCTCTTCATCATTTCGTATAGCCGGCATATGCGAAGATCCTTGTTATTGGAGGGGGCCCGTCTGGCAGTTATGCTGCTACTGTTCTCCAACGCGAAGGTCATCAAGTGGTGCTCCTAGAGGCTGCAAAGTTCCCTCGGTAAGTTAGAGCATCCGAACATTGTTGCACCCCTTGACGCTCACTACAGCTACCATATCGGGGAGTCTATGCTTCCCTCCATGAGAAACTATCTTCGATTCATCGACTTTGAGGAAGCATTTGTCAAACATGGTTTCCTTATCAAGGTAAACTTCAATATGCCACTACGGATGGTAGTTCATCTCATATTCATCTGGTCAGCCCGGCGCATGCTTCAAGCTTGTAAAGGGTTTACGAGACACATGTTAGTTGTTCACTCCATGTCGATGATGCCGCAACTTAAGGTATCTTCCGCAGACACGGATTTTCTGGCCTTAGGTCGCGACCACTCTACGTTCAACGTTGTGCATACCATGGCACACTTGTCAATGTTCGAGGCAACTCTCTAAATTTATTATAGATACGCTCGGAAATGGACGATCTCCTTCTTCGTCACGCCGAAGAGTCAGGTGTGCAAGTCTTCGAAGAAACTCGAGTCGAAAGCATAGACTTCGAGGGAGATCCTGCCACTTCACGCCCGGTTGCCGCACATTGGCGGACGAAGCGCGGCGAGACTGGCGTGTCAACATTTGATTGGCTCATAGATGCATCCGGTCGCGCAGGGATCATGTCAACGAAATACCTCGATAACCGTGTTATGCGTGAAAGTTTGCGTAATGTTGCCGTTTGGGGTTATTGGAAAGACGTGCAGAAAAAGCACGTTGGCACGGAACGGGAGAACGCCCCATGGTTTGAGGCGCTCACAGGTAGAGCTACTACTCATCTTGATCTCTGTAATGCGAGCTGAAGATAATTGCAGAAGAGACTGGTTGGGCGTGGACAATACCACTACACGATGGCACAACATCTATTGGTGTCGTGGCGCATAAAGATGTCTCTAACGCGAAGAAATCTCAAGTCAAAGATGACGGCGAGAAGTTAACGCTCGAGGAGCATTACTTGGATCAATTGCAGTACCTACCGGGCGTCAAAGAGTTGATCGCGGACAAGGGTCAGCTCATTCCTAACAGCACACGCAACGCTTCGGACTATAGCTACTTCACTTCGCGATGCTCCGGTGATCATTTTCGTACCGTCGGAGATGCTGCCAGTAAGTGCCTACTTTGTGCGGTCTGACGATTCTCACGGACACCGCGTAGATTTCGTGGACCCTTTCTTTTCCTCCGGAGTTCACATTGCCATGACTGGGGCTTTGTCAGCAGCTTTGACAATTTGCTCGTCAAACAAAGGCGAGGTCACGGAAGAGTTCGCCCAGCAGTGGCATGATGAGAAGGTTGGGATGGCGCACACGAGGTAGGAGTTCATTTTTATATCTTCTTTCTGATATCTTATTCTGATTTTTTTTTGCAATCACCAGGTTTCTCTTCGTGGTCCTGAGTGCTTACCAACAAATGCACCTTCAGAAGAATTTTATTCTCACGAATGTGAACGAGGACAACTTCGATAGCGCTTTCGACATGTTCCGCCCTGGTAAGGTTTTGTTAATTATAAATGCCAGCTCGTTGAACTTCTTGAATCAGTGATCTATGGTCTTGCGGACAGCTCTGCAAAACTCACAGATGCGAAAGTTCAATCTATGATGGACTTTTTCCAGAGCTGCCTCGACCCCAATGTTGACACCGAGAATATGAGGGCAGTCCGCAAGCGGTACGGCGCTGATCTGGTTAGCATCGAATCGCCGGTGCTTGGCCCGCAACGCATCGAGACACTCACAGGATCTGACAAAGAGGGAGAGCGGGTAATGAAGAAACTTGATGCGCTGAAAGTTTTCAACGATGACAATGACCCTATGAACATGGCGCGACACCCGCTACTAGGATACGCTGCTCATATGGAGAAGGGGCAGCTTGGGCTGAGACCGATTTCCTCGTTGCGGCCCTGATTTGGAATGGCGGCAGACCAGCTATCCCATATGACACCTTCATATTTTCCGAGTGTATTACGGGCCTTTTGGTACCTCTTATCAGTCTCGTACTGTTCACAATGCCATATGTTGTAAGGGCCAGAAGCTACGATGTTCTTCGCTAAATTTGCTTGTGCAGTGGTCCGTCATTTTTCCATTTTATCGCAGAGGGTACTCGTCAAACTCAAACGCACTGCCTTCTGCACTCAGGAAGCCGATAAGAGCTCAGATGAGCCTCCTTTCAGCCTCAAGACGCCAATGCGGGTATATGATAGCATCTCTGTGTCAGATCAACCGCTCCAATCCCTGAGGCCGCGTGCGGCGCCGGATCTCCCGAGAACCCGTACATTGCATAGCCAATAAATAACGTGCCCCGTTCAATGAGTTATCATACTGCAACCGCCACAGCGAGCGTTCGACGGAAAATACCATATTTGAAAAGGTCAATCCAAAGCAATCTCATGTATCAACGCTTCTGCCTTGGCTGAACGAGGCGTTGTAACGCAATTGAATGGTTTCGGGCGGCTGAATCGGCTGTCAGCAGCACTCAGGAAAACAGAATGCGGAAAGGCGTACCTCACTGTTCCCGTAGTGAACTCTGCCGGTGGTTCATCGACTACACCGTTTATTCGAAGTTTCACGATGTCGAACGTCGCTATGATCTTCACCAATATCAAGTATATGCACGTGTCTGCTGGGTGTTGCCCTGGAGGATACGTCAGTAATCAATGTCGAATATATGCGTTTGAACGTTCGTAGCACACCTGGGCAAATACTGAAAGGGGGGTTTCTCAATCTGGCGTCCTTCTTCATACATCGTGAGCACTCACCGTCTCCCAAAGCCCCACAGAACCTCGCGAGGATCCGGCTCAGGTTTCGTGTTCCCAGAGGACAAGAATCTATCGGGATTGAACGTGAAGGGATCTGCATAAACCTCAGGATCGTGGAGCATTTTCTCGCAAGGCAATTTGTCAGGCACTAACTCTACGTTGGTTGTGAGCGTGGTCTGTCACCATATATTTGTTACGACAATGGTCCCTTTTGGGAGGAAGTAGCCGGCGTGCACGTCATCCTTGGTCAGACGATGGGGCATACCTACGATGAATTGAGTATCTCATTTGTCGGTGGAAGTAGAGATCAATACGAACCTAACGGCACGGGAGGGTGCCATCGATATACCTCCGAAACTAAAGCATTCACGTAAGGCAGTCCATCACGGTCTTCCACACGCGGTATTCTGTCGGTACCAATCACAGTGTCGATCTCTTGCTGAGCTTTCTTCAGGACGTTGGGGTATTGCAGCATCGCTACAAAGAAGGTGCTGACTGCTGAGAGGGTCTGCGGTGGGTGCATAGTATTAGATGACTGGCACAGATAATCGATGAAGGCTGTCTAACCGTGTCCTCGCCTCCTGGAACCCAGCAAGCGCGCGATAATTAACAGCTGTGAGCTGAGATATCATGGTTTCTCGCCAGCACAGATCGATGCAGCAGCCATCTTGACCAGGAGTTCGCGGTCGGGACTTACATCTCCTTGAAGATATGCGAATGCAAAGCTGGGAGCAGCCTTTCCGGAAGCCTAGTAGAAAAGCATTAATCACGCATGTTCAATAGTCTAACTCATTCCTGACCATCTGTTCTTTGGCGAAAGCAAAGGGTTCCTCAGCCAACGTCTCAAGATGCCGTCGCCACGGCGTCACCGATTTCTTCCAATTCGCCCCTGGCATCCACGCCGGAACATACCTCACTGTATAGAATATAGTTGCGATCATGCACGTCATGGGACCGGTCACGTACGCAGAGGGATCGAGTCTACTAAGAATGCTCCAAGTGACGTTGCTAGAGAGAAGTCTTCAATAACTGGCTTGACCATTTGGACAAACCGGTCGTTCTCTTCTTGAGGCCGATAGCCGTACGCCATGCTGAGAATGACGCCTGTGACAGTCCTATGGACATCACGGTCAGAATATACGAACCAATAGTATAAATCCACCCACTTGAGAACCTGTTCCACGATATCGTTAGGATAACGTATCAAACGGGGCAGAATTCGTGATATCTGGTACTCCATGAGAGGAATGAATCTTTCCAAAGTTGTGCGGCTTCCAAGGACGGGAGCGAAAAGACGGCGGGACTCGCGATGGCGGGGACCATAAGGCAAAAATGGCATGATGTTATCCCATCCTACCATCCTGCCCAAGAAGGTGAACACAGGACGATCGGAGTAGAACGCGCCCTTCTTCTCGAGCATCTCCCGTGCTGCTCGTGCAGAATTCAGGATCACGATAGGCTGTCCCAAATAGTTCATGTACACCATGTCTCCTGTGAAGCCAACGTGCTCAGTGCGTGCACGTACATGTCTGAGCTTCTTACATACCCCACAGATCTCCCCATTGCGCGAACATCTTCCATGGTTGGGATTTGGGCACGTCGAAGACATTACCGATCAATGGCCACCCACGAGGACCAGGAGGCAAAGCTCGGTTATGTTTTCGTTCATAGAGACCCAGCGTGACTAGCAGGGCGATAGCAACAGCTGCAAAATCCAAGAACGTCGCGAAAGTCATATTGCAGGACGTGCTACGTTGCAGAGAAAACGAAGAAGAGGAAGCTCGTGTATCAGTGGTGCCAACTGTCCGTCTCGACCCTTATAATGCCTGTCGAGCCGTTCGAATGGCGGATGGCGCTCTGCATTGCTTGTACTCCGTCAAAGATGATCCGATCTGAGAAGGTTTCAACACAGCTCTCGTCTCTGGTGCACGCGACATGGGCGCGCTCAATTCTACGCTAATCCGTCCCTTTATAGCAGCCGATCATGACTTAGCCGGAAGAGCACGCATCGGGACCCGATATGACAAGATAGCAGCATAATCGAACAGGTCCGACTAGCTCATTGAAGCTTTTGATGAAATGTGGAGCGAGACACCCGAAAACGCATTATTTACGCTGATATATAGTCCCGGCGGGAGATGAGACTGGACCTTGAGGTGATATGCGTTTGTGCTGACCATGGATGAATCGCCGCCCACTGAGCCGGAATGCCCTTCCAGACATATGTGTGCTCGTCTCAGATGATGCATCGAGTTTGTGCCGATATGATCAAGTCCTGGAACGCTCCCTCTCTGCAAGGCACGGTGCAGACAACAGTATGGACGTCTCCATTGTCCTATTCGACATGACGGCAATGTCATCGCACCATTCGGAGGTCTAGTACACCTCGGTTACTCCGATGCCATGTGCATCAAAACGAGACAACAATTCGTCCTGATCTTGGCAGGAATATTATACCTCGTTCAGGTGATCGAATTTCACGAAGGCGTGATGCTATGCTGAAGAGGATCGCATGTAGAAGGCGCGACCTCGAAACCCGAGGGATCTGCATGATGCGGAGCTGGATCAAGAGTGACAAGACAAAGGTGGAGAGAAGGTGTACGCTTGAGAGTCTTTCCTTTGCATAGGATACGTAATCGACGTGAACCAGGTGGTAGGACGTACACCGTCGCTCGCATGCCATTGATGCCAGGACATTGGACTTTACAGAAGCGAATTTCAGCGTTGCAACGCTGATGACGGAAGTCAACGTGTAGGTTGCGCATCATACCAGACGAGACTTGTCAGGGGATAAGGCTAATCTTGCGGCCGCCGTTTTGCCAAGCTATCATTCGCCGATCAGGCCTTCAAAGACTGCAACAGAGACTTGATCATTGTTATGCGGATTTCAAACAGGCAGAACCGGAAACCCACCATCACACGAAATTATATGCGAGGTAAGCCGTCGCAGGTTGTGGCTACTGGCTAGAGCGAGTAGACGCTCGAACCCGAAGCTTTGAAGGTTACGAACGGTGGCGGTGAGCCGCGGTGAGCACTCGTCGTGTGCAAAACTGTTCGGAGACGTCCTGAACGCGGGTCGCGGAATATCTACGCACTGGCCGCAGAATGATTCATCCAACATGCATGCGAACAAGGCACTTGTGGCTCTATCGAAGGCTCCACACATATTTATTCCATGTAGTGCAGAATGTGAAGGAACTTCTGCAAAAACATCATTCCTATGTAGTATGCAGTAATATTAAGATTATTGCTATAGGCAGATGCACACTCTCTGCAGGCCACAACCGACAATCCGGACAATATATCCCAGTGGTTCGGATTCAGGATCGACATGAGCGCTTGTGCTGAGAATCCCGCATCGCTCGCTTATGTAAGCGCAGCCTCCGCGCCCGGGTACAGCGTACACCGGCTTCGTCGCACGAACGGCCGAAAGAGTCGAGTGTCCCGACGGTCGAGCGTTGATATAAGGGCTGGATGGGGGGAGGAAGTGAGCCTTCCTTTCCCTCGGTCCTGCCCGCTGTCGTGCTGCTAGTTGCTTGCTGCGTCCGGGTTTGTTTCATTGTTCGCTGGCTGTGTATTATCTGGTGGCGACGATGTTCTGTGCGAGCCTCATGACGGGCTGACTGCTTCGTGATTCGTGAAGTTCATCTCCTCGGTTTTTGATATGCTTGCTTTTGTTGGGAGAGGTGCGCAACTGTTCGCCTGCGTGCGGGAGCGGGCCCCTAGGACGCATGGCCAGGAAGGGTATAGGCTGTCGCGCGAAGTTAGTCAAGCGTTGAAAACATAGCGGTCGCTTGAAGGCCCTGCATGGCGATGCGTAGTTGTGCGTGTGGGTTGATATGGTCGTTGTATCAAGTGCGTTATTCTTGTCTCTGCATGCTAAGAATAGGGCTTACAGTGTCAATGATAGGGTCTACCGGACATGACGCCGGATCCATGACCACGTACGCTCGGTCATCTGGTCGCGGGTCGTGATTTCGCGCCCTCCCATTCGCGCGGAGGTCCCGTTTGTTCACATTGACATCGCCGAACCTAGTTCGTCAGCCACGAATAGGTGGTCAGCGGGTCCAAGGATGACGCTAGCGAGCGACCCTTATTCCCGCAGATATATAGGGCGTGCGGGATACGCGCGACGATCCTGCCTTCTCTTGTATGTGCAACGCTTTTGCTCCTGTGCTGGACGGTGCGGTGCCCTGGGGCGGACGATGCTCCCCATCTTCGCGGGGATCCTTGCTTTCACGCGTAGCTGACACCCACTCTATGCTCGTGACTCAATCTGACGACTATACGATGACACTGCTGGAGCCCGACGAGCGACACGGCGTCCCGCCCATTCCGACAGCGACGGACGTTGGGGAAGAACATGCGCACGCCACGTACATTCCAGACGTCCCTCAAGCCCCTGGTCACCGAATGCTTGGTCTGCTACGCTAGCATGCGGGGTTCTAGTCTTCACGCTTGTACTCTTGTCAACTGTTCTGCCAGCCGGTGATCACGATCATTCCCCGCATCGCACCAGCAGGGGTCCGCTGCGGCGCCCCATGTCCGTAGGCGCCCACTTTATCAAGGTTCACTTCGTAATTGTGGATGTGTTCGAGGCTATCTAGCGGCTTTGCCGCGGAGCTGCTCGCTGCCCCGCACACATGTCAACCCGGACGATTCCCCAACGGCGTTGCGCGCCAGTGCCACCCAAGCCCGCTAGTGCAGGGGACGCGTGCGCGTCGGCATCAGCTGACAGCGTGCGGACAAGCCTGGGTCGCGCACCTGCCCTGGTGACTGCTCATGCCCTCTGCCTGGTATTGGGCCGCTTTCGACGTACAGGGACTAGGTGCCGCATAATCGCTTCCGTCACCATCCGCCCGGTTCAAGACGCGCGTCGTCGATGTTCGACAAATGCGATGGCGTGGTGCGATATATGCACCCGTGCCAGTTCACACGGCGAAAACGTGAACCGCACCGGCGGAGTTTTCTTGGGATTTTGCCCAATCCGATGAAGCTTTCTATTGATCATGTCATGATTGGGCGTGCAGACAAGGTGCCGTCGTTGGGTCACCCCGTCCATGCGGTGCGGTGCGGTGCGCTGAAGTCGCCGTCGCTCGGCGTTGTGTCTGGTTGGGCCAGGTCTTGTCTCGCACAATCGCAAGTCAGCTGGCCGACGCGGTTTGGCATGGCTGTGTGTCGGGCTCCAGGCGCACTGGCTGGCTGCAATTCGACGCTCGCCACCGCTCGATGATTGATCGGGACCTCGTTGGGGCCTCCTGTACTAATTGGCCTGGACAACATTTAGCCAACCCCAGACGTGACTGCGGGGTACATCAATGCGGTCACAAGGAACTAGAACGCGGGCTTTCCATCCCTTATTCGTACTGGCTCGCTTATGTAAGCGTCGATATTCAACTCCTCCATAGCATAGCTTCCGCTCTGCTTTGCCTAAGGGATTCCTCCGCGGAAAGGGGGGCGCTACGGCTCTGGATCTTTTCATCTTTCTTTGAAAAAGCCGAATTTCCTATGAAAGCCGGCACAGGATCTAAAAGGCAGCTCCTTCGCCTCATCACTCCCCATCTCGCACCTCTGCTCCTGGCACCTCTCTACACCACAGTTCTCTGCCAGCGTCGCTCCATTGCACAATGTCTTCGCGCTCCCACTCCCTCTTTGAGAAGGCAGAAAAGGCTGAGTGCGGCGAGATCGAGAGTATTGAGAACGTTGAGAGCGACGAGATCCCCGAGGTCAATGCTCTCCCCCCGCCCGCAGCGTTCCATCATCATCACACGGGTCAGCTCAGGAAGCTTGGAAACCCAGGGCCTCTGTATGTTTTTTTCAACGCAGATTCTTCTGTCGAGCGAGCTTCTGACGAGTTTTCTCTATCCGTGTGCAGCGGCTTGTTTGCCTTCGCCAGCACCACGCTCATGCTGTCGCTGTTCAACGTGTCTGTGCGGAACATTCACACGACGAACGCGATCCTCGCCATGACGCTGTTCGTTGGCGGCCTCGCGCAGTTCACCGCGGGCATGTGGGAGTTCGCGTGTGGAAACACCTTTGGCGCGAGTGGTGAGTCTTCCCCCCCTATTGATCATGTGGTCTTCTTACGCTGATATTGTACGCGCAGCCTTCTCTATCTACGGTGGATTCTGGATGTCGTATGCGACACTGTTCATCCCCGGCTCTGGCATCGCTGCCGCTTACGCGGACAACCCGGAGGACTACGCTACGGCCCTGGGCATATACTTGATGGTCTGGTTCATCATTACCTTCCTTTTCGTGTAAGTTCCCCCACCCCTGGATCGTGGCGCTATCTTGCATGGACTAACACACCTCGCTATAGTGTCGCCTCCACGCGCCGGAACGTCGGCCTTTGCGGCGTGTTCTTCTTCGTGATGTTGACGTTTATGCTGCTTGGCATCTGTAAGTGGCTTTTTCAGCCCGATCGATATGCACAAGCTGACCTGGAGCCCCGCAGCCGAGCTTTCTGCGTCTCCGGCATGCGCCAAGGCGGGCGGCTGGACGGGCATCATCGCGGCGTTCCTCGCGTTCTACGTTGGCCAGGCACTGCTGATGGTCCGCGAGGAGAGCTGGTTCACGCTGCCTCTTGGTACTATTCCTCAGCGGGTCGACTGATTTCTTTGTCGCGTGGGCACGATGGCCGTGCTTCATCTAGAAGCTTGCGTCGCTTCGTGTATTACTAGTGTATATTAGTTAGTTGTGTATCATTATGAGGGTGGTAACGTTGATCGCGCCCGCGTGACCCATTGCGGAGAATGGTGGCGACGCGCCTTGAGCTTGACTTGATACGGCCGCGAGCTTGCGCCCTGATGCGCAACCTGTCGAGCGTGATGTTCGTCAACGTTTGAACCTTACTGACGAAAGCTGTGTTTCGTCTGGAGATAGGGAGTGGCCAATCGGCTACATGCAGATGAAAGGACATCGGTCAGTCAAAATGGTGCCAAAGTCGAACGTGGCATATGATCCTCATGGGCGACGCTCTCATCGTCCACATCGTGAACGTCTGCGCAGAGAGCTACGGTGTTACTGCTACAAAACTCATTGAATCTCGCACATGTAGCCCTGCATGTGAGATAAATAGAACAAATATATTTTTTCGCATCATAAATAGAACGCGATGAGTTTCGAGCATGCCAGGTTGGGTACTTACCCATATCACACCCTCAAGAGATCAGCCGTGGTGGGGTTTTCCGGATGGCCTCATACTGGAGTAAGGCAGTCTGTAGTTGCCGTAGGAGAATGAGAGATTTTTTACGGTTGTCGGAAGGCGGTTTGTCGTTTGCAATTGGCGACAAGTCGACAGAGCGAGCGCAATGCGGCTGATCGCCAGAGACGCGGGTGAGCACGTGACCTACACCTAGAAAGTTGAGCGCTCGTCCATCTCTGAACGCGCCACAGTGCACGGGCCGCCCAAATATCCAGCGCGCAGCGACAACGCCACATTCTCCTCGCAGAATCCTGCCGTCGCGAACTCGACTTCACTGACAATGTCACGTCAGGAATGTGGTAAGAAGGTACCTTCGCTCGAAGACCTGAGTGCGTCAGACTTGATGGAGATGCAGTCTTCCAAGCCCGAGCAAAGTGACACCCGCCAACGGTGCGTTCATGCCCGTCCCGATCGTATCATTATATATACCGACCGGGACTCATCGTATACAGCGCCCGTGAGGTCAGTATTCTTTGCTCCCAATCTAGCTCAACAAACTGATGTAACAGCGTGTTGCTCAAGCATCTTGAAGGGCTGATAAAGGCAGCCGAGGTTCAAGCTGAGTGGTGCAACAGCAATGTCTGCGTCGCGATCAACCGTCTTCCTCCTGAAGTGCTCCGGGAGATATTCGTGACGACCTGTACCGTCAAGCTGGCTCGATACAGATCTTCATACTATAGATACGACGACATCATGACCATCTGGAACCCAACTTGAATCGAAAAGGGCAGAGCAGTGTCTCTCATGCTTGTCTGCCATCAGTGGAAAGAGATCGCCTTTGAAATCCAGGAGCTCTGGAATAGCATTGAAACATACTGGGACGATAAAGATCATATCTTGCTGGAGAGGTCAGGCCAAGGCCCGCTCAAGGTGCTGGCTTTCGACAAATTGGAACCCTCTTCTGCTATTGCACAGGCTCTCCAAAAGGTGGAGCATTCATCCCGAATCCAAGAGCTGTACTGGACATTTCCCTCAGCACGTGAAAACCTTCGAATGCCAGCGCCCTCGCTGAGGTCTCTTGCATTGCACGGTGACCGGACGCCAGATGTATCACTCGAACTCTTCGACAACCACACCCCGTGTCTGGAACACCTGTCACTATCAAATGTGAATTGGCTGCCCAGCAATGCGTTCGCCAAACTGACATTCTTGGCTCTCGCCAATTGCATGGTACCTAAAGCTCCCATCAAATTACGCAGCTTGCTTGCTGGAACGCCGAATCTAGTCGATCTCATCCTGCAAAATGTGGTTGGCGAGCAGTACGGCGGAGCAGAAACTGAGCGTGCGGACATGAAGCCTGTGTCACTCGCTCGGTTGCGCCGGTTGCTGATCCACTATATGTGGGCCGATGACATCGATTATATCTTCCAGGATTCTCAGCTAAACGAAGACGTGTCCGTCTCAATCAAATGCAGGAAAAGACTCGATGATGATCAGCGACTTTTAGAGTTGGTGTCCACTTGGTCGTTGAGTGCCTTAAAGCAACCCAAGGAACTACATCTCCAGCAGGATGTCGTCGTCGTTGCTGGAGCCTCTTCTGGTCTCCGTTTTGAGGACTGGAGCTGCACGACCCTCCAAGGTTGTACCGTATTCAACTGGCCACAGGTCCTTTCCCTTTCCAGCATCTCTTACCTGTGCATATTTGACCGAGATGCACGCAGGCCGCCCGGTCTTGAACGTGTCCGCAACCTTCTTAGGCAGATGACTGCACTCGAGACACTGTCCGTCAACGTTGAGGTCCTGACGAAGATCGTCGATGCACTCACACTCTTCCGAGACCCAATCGACCCACCTCTCTGTCCCACACTGACCACGCTACGTATCGCCATCTGGAAAGATAGCGATTGTGACATCATCCTGGACTCTATCCTCCTGCACGGTGCACAGCTTGGCATCAATTTATATCGGGTTGATCGATCCTCAGCCTCGTGAACACTGGCGACCTCGTCAAGCTGTGAAGGACCAACTGCATGGCAACTTCGAGTCGGTGAATTTCGAGATGCTGTTGTATGATAAGGCATACAACATTGCTTTGCCGCTGGTTTGTAGTGAGGAGGCGCATGCTTTGTGGCCGCCCTGGCTTTAGGTGTTGTGTGGACGAGAGATTGACGTGGATTGCAGTGAGACTGAATGTATGCTCATGTCTGGGTTCTCATCTCGGTTGCTCATCGCTCATCACCAGTTATTCTGACGCTCACAGAGCGGGGATGTATTAGAGGAGAAAAAATGTAAATTGTGCTACAGCAGATGTCCACTTTTATAACATGCATTCACCCGCTGTCCATGTATGATGCCGCCCAGCGTAAAGCGCACGGCTGGCGCCCTCAGAGCGAGGTTAGCTCGCGACGACGAGGTGCGCACCGTACCTTTCTCGTTTTCCGACGACCGCTCTCGCCTTCACGCCACTCCCCGTAGAACCGAGCCCACACCCTCTGGACTCGTGTGGTCACCAGCCGTGCTGGACCGTATGCATCACATGTCCAATTTTGAGCCTATCAAGTGATATCTTCAGCATGTTTCCATCAGACTCCATGTTCCATCATATATATCGAGCACTCGTTCTCCTGTAGGATGCCACGCAGACACGAATGCGCAGGCTCTTCCAAGACTTCTTCCGCTGAACCTTCCAGCCCTGCCGCCCTTTCGACCACAATCTTCGCTCACCTGAAGCGTGCAGCAGCCCTTGTAGTTTGTCAACGCACCATCACCAGGCACGCACCGCATCTACGCCTTTGCAAATATCGCTGACATGCTCAGATCGATTCTCGCAGAAGCGAAGTCGACCTTCTCCGGATCAGATACGACGGTCAACTCTGCGAGACGCATTTTGTCTGGACGTGTACATGCAGTCTTGGCCGACTGTCCCCATCATAACGGGCATAAACCCATTCCGAAAAGCGCTTGATCGCCCGCATGATGGAGGGACCTCATCCCGATGTAGTATGTCCCATATGCGCGAATTCCAGCTCACGAAACCAATTGCATGGACGTACCGTCTGTAAGTCGCCGTACGAATGAATCTCGCTCGTTGCTGATGCCTTTCTCCGAGTAGACGCGCATCACAGACCTGCCCTGCCTGTTGGGTTGCACGCGCTGAAGCTCTGCCCGAAGTTTGACGGGGACATCAAGCTCGTCGACGACCCTCGCGTGATTAGCGCTGCGCACAACACTCATTCACACTCACTTTCATGGACATAAGGATCAGACCACCCCTTGCTCGTGGCCTCTCCTCACATCATGGGTGACAGGCGGCCAGGCCTTCTGGACAGATGAAGAGAATATTGGAAGGATCGGGGAGGAGGCTGAGGGATACAGTAGAGCGTAGACAATGGAATTAATAGACAAAATTGATCGGCGCGTACTAAGCCCGCAACGGACGACGCTCTGAGCTGTTTGAGCTAGTCAGCTGCCCCACGCAGAACGCTTACGGCCAATGAAGCATTGAAAATAAGATAAAGTTCACCAGCGAGATGCGCTCTTTACAGCATAGCGATGCTGGTTGCCATTCTGCTCGCTATTAACCGACTTGAGGGTTGGCTCGTGATGGTTTATGTGAGTACGGCAAGACGGCAGGGTCGCAATGCAAGCTTGGGACTGATCAGATGTCGTGAATGTCGTGACTACTACACAATGACATGCATTTAGCCGCTGTCCATGAGTTGATGCTGCCCAGCCTGAAGAGCACGGCCGGCACCCTAGCGAGATTAGCTCGCGACGACGAGGTGCGCATCGTTCCTTCCTCGCTTTCCAATGACCGCTCTCGCCAGGAGGTTTTTCGACGATTGCGCAGCGCCACAGACGCGTGAACGCACGTGATCCTTCACGCGCAACCTTATTCTCCAGCGCTCGTCCAGCTCTGATCTTGGCCACAACGCAACTTGGTGGCTCGCCTGCACTCTGCTCCGACCAGTATCCTGCTCTGAGGGACATTACACGAGACAGGCAACTTCGTTCCAGCATTCTGCGAGGTCCCCTCTTGTACCTGAAACAAAGCCGTGAAATGACAGACTCGCTGTACACCTCTTACGCTGAGGTGCTCTCGCTATGCACAAAGTCCAAGGACGACCTTAACAAAATACTGGATCACGAGCAGGGCTTTGCTGCGCGCATTCACCGCCTATGTCGAGATCAGTACGTGCTTGTCTCTCGAATACCCGAGTTCGTCTGATCTGCCTTCGCCCCAGATTTGCCCAGTCTGTTGCGGGGAAACCACCACAGGAGCCGTTGACACCAGAGTTGGAGGCGCTAAGGATGGAGCGTGATACTTGGGCGTTGGTGCAGATGCTGATGTCGTGAGTACCGCCTGGTCTGTTTCTGATGTCCGCTGTCTCTCGCACGGCGCATCGGTGGGTTGCCATCTGTGGTGTCCGTCCTAAACCGCGTAGCGCATGAGCCTTGATTCCCTGTGAAAATCCCGTAGGAGCGCAGTGAGGGAAGTCGTGGCGGAACGAATCCGTTAAGTTCGGACTGTTGTATAAAGTCGCAGGTCGTGGGAGAGGGGGGCATTCGAAGAGAAGCGGCAAAATTTGTCTTGGCAAGTCGCGCCCGTCATCGGTGCGCAACATCGGCGCGTCGACCATATGTGCATGTTGTGCAGCGTGACCAGCGTGCGCGCGTCGATGTGGACTCGCACTCATATCTGCCATGTGAAAGTAAGTAATTGCAGGGGCTGTCCTCTGGAAGTTGTCGTGCTCACATTATCTAAGAGTCTACATGTAGTCGAGATCAGGATGAGGTGGAGAATTCTTCAGGTATGCCGCACTTTGACTCAGCTTGTATATGATCACTGACCAAACGAGTCAGTACACCTATGGCTCCGCCTGACAGGGCGTGGCAGAGACCGGCGCTTGCGACCTGCCACGATGCGTCGATTTCCACTGTCTCCCTCGTCCTGCTGATACGGGATTTTCACTGGGCTTGATTCTGAGCTCGCATCGGTCTTGGAAGAATCTCGGCCACAGTGCACCCCAGATATTGCAAAGGATCCCTGCTAACCTTCACCCGCAGACATCGCAGAACAACCGGCCGTCCACACACGGACGCCCGCCGTCTCCTCCAATCCAACCCTTACACACCGCCATCGACGCTCGCCCAGTCAATCATCGCCGCGTCCCCGGTGCTCTCAGAGCTCTTCGTCGTCCGCGAATGGCTCCAGCAAACCGCGCCAGTGCCGGAGGTGTCCAACGCGGGGGCGCTCAACGGCTACTGGCGTTTCACGAAGATCGCGATCATGCAGGGTCTGCGCACCGGCCAGCGCACCGCGGGCATCGTCACGGAGATGGACCCTGACGCGGTCAACCGGGGTGGCGCGGATGCTAGGGGACTAGCGGGAGATGACGCGGTATGATCTGTCGCGTGCGTTGCGTTCTCGTGTGTGGACTGACGTGGTTCTCCCAGAGCGACGAGAAGGAACTTTTACATATGCTGTTCATGCTTGTGCGCGCGGGCCGATTGGCAGAAGCTGCTCAACTGTGTCGCAGAGCAAAGCAGCCGTGGCGGGCGGCGAGCCTCAACGGGTCGCTGCTGCTTCGATGGCGTGCACTCGGTGAGCGGCTTATCTGCACTGGTTGGAACTGCTATCTGAAGTTAGAGCAGCGAAGGGATGCCCTGGCGAAGAAGACTCGGCCGACGGGATGGATCTGGACGAGGGATGGACCGGCAACGTGCGCAGGAAGCTCTGGAAGACCACATGCACGCGGGCCGCGCTGAACGTACGTCCCTTCCTTGAAACGCAAATTGAAGGCTAAACGCGTGTTGTAGCCGGCACTGTCGACGACGGAGCGTGCTCTGTACGCCGCTCTCGCTCCTTCTCCACAGACTGCGGCGTCGCTCAAGGCGGCATGCCGGACGTGGTCGGACCACCTTTGGGCACTCATATCCGTTGCGTGCGAAGACCGGTTGACGGCGGCGTTTGCCAGCCTTGAGCACAATTCTTTCTGGGAAGGCGGTCTGGCTGCCGTCGATACAATGGAGACGCCTGAGAGCACTGCGGCGATGGACGGTATGGAGGTGGACGATGCGGTTTGGGAGCAGGAAGTCGTCAGTGCGCTCGAGTCGCTGCAGAACACCATCGTCGAGGAGGGGTGAGTCGACCGTTCTGAGCAAGATGGCGTTAGCTGACTTGAGTTGGGTGGTAGGCCTCCGGCGGATAACCCTTTCCATGTGACACAGTTGCAAGTGATTCTTAACCGCGCCGATGCGCTGATGGATGGATATGCGAAAGAGCTGCAAGCTAAAAGTCTTAACGCGAATTCTACAGAGTGAGTGAATTGCGAGTGTGACAAGGCAGAAGTCAGGGTCAATTTGGAATTGTGTATGCAGATATCCCGCGATGACGCGGTTCTTCGCCCATCTGTGCCTGTACTTCCGCATGCTCGATATCGCGGTCTCGCCAGGTGCCATTCAAGTCATTTTGGAAGCGTATCTGCAGGTACTCGAGGTCCGTATCCCTTTTTAGATAACTTATCCGTGTATTCATTGTGCTGAGCACATATAACAGGCGAGAGGCGAACGCGAACTGATCGCGATGTACGCGGCCGCTATGGGCACAAACGCGGTAGATCGCTACGCGTCATTCCTCACCTCGCTCGACGTCTCAGTCAGCATCTCCGACCGACGAGCCGCCCTTGCGCGCGCGCGCGACCACGGACTCGACATGCAGCGCGTCGCAGAGGCTACCACGCAGCGCACAATCGCCATGACGATGGAGGTGCGTTATTTGGGCACGTTCGCGAGAGCCGGTGACGTTGATTGTTTGGTTGCAGCAATTGCCTGGTGCGGAGGGACCGCTGCCGAGTGCGGAGGAGATGGCGGCGGCGCCGTCGGATGTGGAGATGATGCTCGTGCGCGCGATTGAGTGGACGACGTTCATGGAGTCTACGTATAAATTCGCTCTGGAGCGGACGAATGCCGTCCTGCGCTACCTCCTCGGTAAGCCCACGCATGCTCTCGCCTCCGCGATCGGTACCGTCACTGAACTTTTTCTGGCAGCAAGAGGACGATTGCAGCCGGCCAGGAGGCTGATCGGTATGCTTCCGCGCGAGCTGGCGCAGATTAATGAGCCTGAGAAGGACGCGACGGATTATTTGCATTATCGCATGTTTTTCGTGGCATGGGATTCGCTTGCGAAGGTGGAAGAGTGTAGGGATCTGGAGTCTTCGCAGACTTCGAGGGAGGGACGGGCGGCGTGGTTGAATGCGTACAAGGTGACTTCGAGGATTTATTTTTGGTTGGTGGTGCGGTGAGCTGATGGGGTGTGATTAGGACCGTCTGCGATATGCGAGGGAGCAGGTGAAGAAGCTCTTGACTGAGGCATGGTTGATTGTTGGCAATAAGAGTCCAAGTACGACTTGCGCATGGGTCTCTCGTGAAAGATACTTATTGTTTTGTAGGTGATCCCCGGCGGCGCGAATTCGCACGTATCCGCCAGATCTACGTCCCCGAGCTCATCATACGCCTGCACAACCTGCTCGTCGAGGCACGACGTCACTTCCCCGAGTCAGTCTTCGATCTCATCTCCCCATCTCCTTTTCGCTGATTCCATTTTAACTTGACGCGTCTGTCAGGAGCCTGAAACACGCGTTGCTGTTCGCGAATATCGTGGCAGACTCGCGGTACAAGCTTACCGAGGACTTTGTCGCGAGCCAGGATGGGAAGAGGTTGGGGGAGTATTTGATGAATGTGAGGGGGGCGGTGTTGGCTGGGTTGGAGCATGGAGGATCGGATCCGTATCGGGTTTTGCATTGAAAGGTATTTTATGGTGTGTGTGGCCGGGCTGGGGTTCTTCATGCGAGATTTGTGGATAGGCTGATTTCTTTTTCTGCTCACGAAGTGAATTGGATGCTGCTATACTCCGCGCGAAGTGCTACGACATGGGAGCCATATACTATGATGTGTTGTGACGTGACATGGTGAGACGATGCTAACCTAACCTGTCTCGTTGACTATGGACGACATTGCAATGAATACATTCGAGTATCATTCGCACGGAAGTTGTCTGCTGTGGTGTTAACGGACGACGTTTAAAAAGCCGAAAAGCCGTGGAGACACGGCATCAGGGCGCCGTTGGTTTCAGGACATTCAGGACGAAGTAGCTCGTGCTCGGCTGGAGCCAAAGTACTGCATTGGGTTTGAGGTTTTGGTGTTGAAGTTGACTGAACGGAGAATGGGTGGTCGCAAACAGCAGTTTGATGAACACACGAATGAACGTATTCGGGGCATCCATCCGGATGGAATGGCCATTGCTGAAGGATTAGCGGGATGTCGGACGAGCGACTCTATGAATCGAGGTAAGCGATCAACTTCCTGCATCTGTGCACTAACCGAGTAGGTGCGCTGTTCTCAGCTTTCGCACAGCAGCTGTTGAATGGCGGGGTCCTTACGATAGGCCCACGGGTTTTGAGTCTGTGACGCGATCTCCAGACAACGACCACTTGATGCTTATGGAACTCATCCATCCAGATGCTGTTCCGCCACGCCAACATGTTCTTCATTTCTTGTATATTGTACATCTCCCAGCACGTTCATGTGGTCACCATGTGGACGTCTGCGCTCTCTTCGCTCGACGTTCGATTATAAAAAGTGAGTGCATTGCTTATTCATCCTCAAAATCGAGATCCATCGCTATATCCTCCCAGGCTTTCATCGTCTGCGAGAGCCGCTCAGAATAAGCCTTAGCGTTGTCGTAGGTCGGGTTCCCCAGGAGCAAGTGCGAAGGCAACCCCCTCCCTTCTGCTCTTCCCTCTCCTCGGAGGACGTCGACCAGTACCTCCATTGCCTTCGCTGGATCGCCTTTGACGTGTTTCCAGTAATCCTTCAGCTTCTCAAGGATGCTCTCACGGAATCCGTCGTAATCTTCAACGTGATGATTCATCGAGTACGGTATCTTGTCGTTGCTGTTGGTGCGAAACCCTCCGGGAGCGACAAGTAGCACACGGATCCCAAACGGTGCAAGCTCAGCAGAGAGTGTTTCGCTGATAGCTACAATAAAGATATCGCTCAGGCTTCGCTGCATAGCGAAGAGTGTGCACCTCACCGTGGATAGCGGCTTTCGACGCAATGTAGAAGCCAGCAGTCTTCATGAAAGAGTCAGTCGTCCATTTGACAATTCGTCGAATGCACCACTTACAGGCACGTTCGCTTGCCATATAGAGCGACTGCCTACGAGCACGACCGTCCCAGCCTTGCGGCTGCGCATGTGCGGCAGGATTGCGTTCGTCACATTCAAGACACCGAAGAAATTGGTTTGGAACTGGGCTAGCGCGGCTGTAGACCTGAGAATATGCAAAGCATGATTATGCCAGGTGCTTGATGATTTCGAGCACGTATACACCTACCCTCCCTCCTCTATCATGCATTTGGACCCGTAACCCGCGTTGTTGACGAGAATATCGATTCGACCCCACACAGCCAAGGCGTTGTTCATATTCCGCTTGATGGTTTCCTCACTTTCCGTTACGTCGAGCTCCATCACATGCAGACGAGGATTGGTGCGGTCTGCCGAGAAGTCTTGCATGTGGCGCCCTGTTGCAATTACATAGTCGCCTCTCTGTAGTGCTGAGCTGACCAGGCATTTGCCAAGGCCTGAGGATGTTCCTGTATTCCAACGAACAGCGAATTGACTGTGGTCACTTTAAACAAGTGTGAAGCTGCAGAGACTACCGCACCTGTAATGAACCAGACTTTCTGTTCAATCATCGAGTCACTCGACGGCTACCCTTCTGATCAGTTTCCAGGAGAATCCAGGCAGCGAGGTAGTCAAGATGTTACAAGGGTAGTGCGATTATATCTTTCATAGTTCGATACCTCCCGTTTTGATGTAGATATCGGACTATCTCTACATCAGCCCTGCTTCAACCTGCATGTGTTCATGATCAGAACGTTGCCCTGGAATTGCGTGGGAGATGTCTTTTAGTCGGACTAACAAAACAGCATCGTAAGCACGCGGTTCGGGGCCTTCTCAGAACAATGGGCGGTTATAAACGGGCGGCACGCAGCGGCGGAGACTAAACCACGACGAGCAGCTTTGCACCGAGCTTGCGGATCCGGAACGTCTGCATTTATTCCGAGGATGCTCGCATCGCATCAGATGGCTGTCCGATAATCATGGAGATGGCCCATGGCGCCATCATCCCGCTTTTACGTGTCATATCTAACTATAGCATGGTATCACAGGCTGATATTTCCCTTACACTATCACATAAAAGTTACTGTTCGGTGTACATGGCGTCGATCTCCTGAGCGAACAAGTCTTGGGCAGCATTTCGTCTGATATTTCCCTTCTCCTAAAGCGGTCATGTCAGTAGGTTATGTGAATTGACTTCAATCGATAGTACCTTGGTTCTGGGCAACTGCCCCTTGTCGAGCACGAGAATGCGTCCCGGATTGTTAATTTGCTCTTCTTTGAAGACACGAGCATTGAACTCCTTGCTTCGCTTCACAATTTCCTCCGCGACCTGCTTTCGCTCCCGTTCGCTCAGGTTTGGTCGAATGCTTTCGACCAGTAAAGCAGGACCCGGTCGACCTTCAGCAATCACAACGACATCATGCACCAGGTCTGAGCAAGTCTTCCGAACGTGGTCTTCCACGCTCCTTGAAGGACATGTTATAGTTATAATCATGATGCAGCGATCCAGCCTGTGACTCACTTTGAATCGATAAAGCCTTCGCGCATCCGAATCCAATCGCCTGTGCGCCCACGATGCACATAGAAGCCTTCTTCTGGTTCTTCAAGAAGGTCGCCCGTGTGATACAACCCGTCTTCGCCGAAGAGCGAAATGTGCGGACTATCCAGAGCATCTGGAGGAAGCACCACTTCAAATAAGGCCTTGTGAGACTCGCTGGACTTGTCGGTCACACCCGCAAACGGTATAAAGCGGGCGGAGCATTGCGACACTAGTCTCATCATTGGAGGACCGCCGAGACGAGAAATTAACAATGGTGCTGAACACAAAGCAAGTCAGAAATATCTGCCGCATCAAGAGTGAAGGGACGAACCCGTCTCCGTTGTACCATACATTACCTGTAAGGAAAATGCAACCGCTTAGCATGACCATTGCGCTTACGAGGCGTCGCTACCTACCGTCATAGGCAAGCGCTGCTCATACGCCCACTTCTCTTCCTCACGATTAAGCGCGACTCCTGTATGCAAGATCTGCCGGAGACCTTTCAGCGTTTCCAGGACATCCATATCTTGCTTCGCTCTGCGGATATGTTGAACGAGAAATGGGGCATACGTTGCGATGCGATTGAGTCCACACTTCTTGACCATCGCGAGCAATTCATCGGTGGAGAAGGTGGGAGAGGAGGGTTGGACAATGATATCCCCATGGTAGGCCATACGGATCACAGCTGATTACGGCGGATCAGGAGAGGAATGGGCAACAAAACCTGATCACATACTCTGGAACGAGCCAACATGGGCTAAGCTACCAAGCACTATCAGAAAGCTATCAGGAGGAGTTCTTGACGCCAGGAAACTTCTGGAACAGCTCACGATTTGTTGTATCTGGTCCGTCAAATGAGCCCTGCTTCAAGCAGGAGGGATACTTGAAATCCAGGCAAGCATGAAGCAGGCCATGAGTCGTAGGGATCAATTTGGGAGCTCCGGAAGTAGTGCCAGAAGAGTGGACAATCACGGCAGTATCGGCTTTGGAAACCATGGCGAGCTCCACACTTTGTGCGTCCTCGATCTTGCGCGCTTCTTCCAGAGTCAGTGCACGAAACGTGGGCACTTTCATTGAGCTCGCAGCTTTCGCGAAGCGCGCGTCCACGATCAGTCCTTCAGCATTACTCATCGCAAGAAGATCGGAGACTACGTCTTGATTAGCATGGAGTACGCTGAAGAGCTGCGGGATGTGGCCCGATGCTGAGACTCCAAGGATGTTGAGTATATCCTCGTACTTCACACCTGTCAACCTGCGCAACGTCAGCTTTGGTACGGCGAAGTTGACAATCAATGGATACCATAATCCCACCACGGAAGAGGGTTGTACGAAGCCACTGAGGACGCCCTTCCAGTGAGAGATCGCAGCTTTAACGTCCGCTGCGAAACTCTCATACGTGATGCATCCCCACTCCATACCGGGTCCAAGGTAGTTTCTAAAGAACGGCGCTGCAGCCCTCCCGCGTAAGGTCGGGAGGACTTTCGCCAGGAAGTGATCTGTCGACATGGGCACTGGGTAAGTTGCTTGAACGACGTATGGTATCGGTCGACATCACATCTATCGCTTTCTGCCCGTTTGTTATACGCGCGCCCTGCCTGTATGTTCTCAAAGCGCGCAAGATGTGACTAGTTAACCATCAAGGACCGTGGAAGGAAGTGATTGCTTCTATCGCGATGCATCAGTATCTGTTCGCATAGAATGGAAGCTTACTGTGCACATGGCTCCGAGTTGGCCGTCCGTAGCGCCACCCACCACAGACCTCAGATCGAGACCGTACGCACATTCGCAGTAACATTATACAGCCGTCTTCGCCTTGTTTCCAGTTGCCCAGGAGTTTCATGAGTACCGTGTTGACTTTCCCAGCCAGCCCTTTGCGCGGCCGGGAGTTTGGGAGTCACCCGCTCTCTAGAAGATGGCTCCATGGGGCCAAACCGATGGCCCGTCCCATTGTAGCCGCGCCCTATTATATACACGCGCGCTACTACTCTCCCACGCCGGTGGCACAGGTCGCACCGGGGCCTCTCACATCTGTGCTCCGCGCCCAGATTCCAACATACCGGTCAATTGATCAGCCTGGAAGTACCGAATCCGCTGAGTCCTGACAGTTGGTCTGAGCAGTTCGATATCCGTATATTTCAAAATATCACCGCTATAACGAATTCTAGATCACAGTGATATCAGTAAGTTCTGATCTATTCTGATGCACGAGAAACAGACAGAGACTGCAGGCCTCTGCCGCAACGAGATTTTCATGGTTTTAAGCTCCGCCGTGGCGTGCGCTTTGAGCGCCTCGCCCGGCCAGCGTCCACTGTGGCGTTCAAGATAGGCAGTGTTCGCATGTCCTCCATCTCATATCATCACCCACCGAATCATTTCGAGACATGATGCATTAATGTCTGTAGATATCCATTACCACCCATACGACACCGGAGGGCACCCGAAATACACTTCTATCCCTGACATCGGCCATGAGGAGAGAGGGTCACATCAGTATCCGTCGGGAGACATACGAAAAGTGAAATCCGGGAAACATGAGGCTTCACTGGGGGGTCAGTATTGCTGTCACTTCTCTGGGAAGATCTCGCTGTTTTTTCTTTCCGGGGGTTTTTTTGTTCACATATGCCTCAACTTCATTATGCGACGCCAACGCGAGCGCTCGCCGTTACTGAATTGATTCACGCAGACATGGACTTGTTTTTGACCGTGTAAGGTGCCGCTTGTGTGCTGCCGTTGTCATAATAGCCGGTATTGGAGTCGATTGTCATGCGACAGAATGCTGCTTTGGCTCGGATCAAGGGATCTTTCCTGCGTTACCCGATTCCTCATGCCCTCCCATCTCCTCCGAGATGCATCTGTTGTTCAAGTGAGTTACACTGAATATTCAATGGTCTTCATCGTGTTTTTCCCACTTTGTGTATGATCAAGGAACCTTGCAGCGCTCGCGTATATAACGTCAGATGGCTTCTAACGCTACGAAGAATTCCACTATGGACGGTAAAACAGTACATCTTGCTTCTCTTCACTTCTTTATGCAATTTCCTTGGCGCGGTTACTACGAGCTAACGCGCCTTCACAAATCCTTACTGGGCAATGCTCTTGTGTTCTGGCCGTGTGGTGCGTGCATGCTTTCTTGCTGTCTTAGCCTTCACTGATAATGTACTGCTAGCTTGGGGTTTGACCATGAGCTCCTACCACGTCAATACTCCTGTTGCACCTTTCATGACTCAGATTCTCATATTCGCAATCGGATGTATCTTTCTCCATAGCGCAGGCTGCGTCTTGAATGATTTATGCGATATGGAATTCGGCCGCAAGCTGGGTAAGCCCTTAAAATACGCTAACTTGCAAGGGTCATCTGATCGAAACATCCAGAACGGACCAAATGCCGTCCCCTTGCTGCTGGAATCGTCTCTGTGACTGGAGCCCGGATCTTCCTGTTCTTGCTTTGTTCTGTCATTATTGGTATGCTCATGTACACGAACCACATTGCGTGAGTCGTTCTCATTTCTCGATGGCACGGAGACATGGCTGACTGACTCAAGGGCATTGTGTGGTTGCTTCGGGTTGTTTCCCTTGCACGCGCTATACCCATTGACAAAGCGTTGGACGTGGTGGCCACAAGGCTTGGTTAGGTAAGTAGGTGGCGTATTCTATCAAGCGAATGCTTATGTAAAACAGGTATAGCAATGAGCTGGGGACTTCCTACAGCGTGGTTGAGTGTGCAGCCTGATATTCATGCGTGTCCGATGTATCTATTGTTTTTTGGTTGCATCGGGTAAGTGGCAGCCGATTCATTTCATACCACGTTGCTCAACAGACAAACAGCTGGACAATTCATTATGATACCATGTATGCCTCGCAAGATCGGGTTCATGACACCAAAATTGGACTGAAGTCCACGGCCGTGCTCTTCGGTGACAATGTCCAGATGATACTTACCGCATTCTGCATGGCATTCCTGGTATCCTTCGTGATGGCCGGGCACTACAACAATCAGAGCATGCTTTATTACATCTTCTCCTGTGGAGGAGCTGCGGCACATCTATGCTGGCAATTGTTGACTTGGCAGACGAGCGAGATGAAGGACAGCGCTGCGAAGTACGAAGTACGTGATGATCATCTTTCGTTAGAGCTGCAATTGACTATAGTGCAGTCAAATGGAATGGTTGGTCTCATCATTTGGATGGGAATGATATTTGATTATGCTTGGAAGCGATGGTTCATATAGTACAATATATATGAACGATGAGCTCGATGATGTTGCCTGAACGGATGGCCCGGTCGTCAGATAGGAGATTGCGTCATAGGCTTTGACTTCTTACACCTCGCGAAGAGTCGCAGGTGCGCCACTCAGCTGCTGATGCCACTTTAGCTCATTTTCGTGCTGATACAATTATATGATATGTGTTTGGCACAAACACAGATGCCACTCGTATATAGACGTCAGTGCGCATAATTTTACAGGCACAAGTATTAGATATTGAGAGTCGAAGAGCTCCTGGTGATTGACAGATGACGAGAACTCATGATCAGTCCCCCAAAATTGCAACGCCGAAGTAAGCAGTTTCATATCCTGAGAATCAAAAGGGAATGGCTCTAGAAGCCAATTTGAAATTGAACCAGCGGAACACTCGCCACTCCGATGGGGTGGCAAGAAGGGAAGAAGAACGACTCGTTTTGAAGATAGAAGTTGACTATTGATGTCGGGTACTAGGATTATCACATACGTTCCCGGAGGTCTTGAGTCTTATCCTTCTGCTGTGGCAGAGTACGATAGAAACATGTGGTACGAGACCAGTCCTCATGCACATGACTCACGCGCTAATGCTCATTACGCGCTGGCCTTATAACTGATGATGATGGGATCCGGAATCAGCCGGCAACAACTGTCAGCGCTGAGGCGAAGCCATTGTGTCGCAACGTTCTAATCGGCGTGGTCATCCGGGTAGACCGGTCTAGTGCATCGGAATAATTGCGCTATTTTCGATACTATGACGCTGGGAGGTCGGAAGGATGTCTTATGTCCTCCGCACGCTATGCGCCAAACTCCGGTCCCTTCGATCAATCACAGAACCAGACTTTTGAACCAGTCATCATATGTGAGACGTTCTAATCTGCTCTAATTTTTAGCCGCTGAATTACGCTCTCCTGGTAGTCTTCGCCAAGTGATACAGGTTCTAATTGCATCATGTGGGATCTGATGCGACAAAACAGGAAGGCCGGATGTGGTAGCAGCATCTATGTCTCAGTGCTGACGCGGAGATGTCTGCGTGACGATTGCACGCTCATCTGCGACATCTGTACATGATCTCGATTCTCCGCTGACAGCTATCGAAGGTGAAGTAGGTTTGCTTCCCTTCAATTTCGAATACTGCCTTTGAAATAGGCCTTGAAGTGAGAAACACCCAACTCCGATCTTTCTGCACTCCAAAACGCTATGGATGCTGAGGGCAAGGGTTCCACTGCACTAACAAGTGCTGAAACTACCATCGAAATTGTGCCTTCTACATCACAGCGGGATGGCCAAGTCGAAGTACTCACTGTCATAGATCGGTCACCGAAGAAAACGGGAAGGGGTTGGAGATTCTGGTTAGTGTTCGTCGCACTGGAGCTTTGTGTGATCCTATCGGCCCTTGACTTGGTGAGCCGTTCAATCCTTTGATATATTCAATTTCTCACTATTTTCTACCCGTCGACAGGCATCAGTGGCGACTGCGCTACCGGTAATCATTCATGATTTGAACGGTACTGCCTCTTTCGCATGGGTATCGGCAGGGTATACACTCGCTTCTGCTTGCGTGCTTCCGATGAGCGGACACTTGGCAGACATATTCGGTAGACGGCCCGTGCTCATAACCTTCATACTGCTCTTCGCCCTCGGATCCATAATATGTGCAACAGCTAGGTCGATCAACATGCTGATAGCTAGTCGAGGTGCCTTTTTTTCCACATGTATCCTTATGATGAATCAAAAACTCAAGTTCTTGCAGTCATACAAGGCATCGGCTCAGGCGGTATGCAGACATTGACAATGACTGTGGTTGGTGACTTGGTCACTTTGCGAGAGCGAGGAACATTCAACGCGATAACTGGAGCGTAAGCTTGCACTCGACGTATTTGCAAATTGCATTCAATGACGGCTTCGTATAGAACATTCAGTGTCGCATCTGTGATTGGACCATCCATCGGTGGCGCGTTTGCTCAACAAACAACATGGAGAGGGTCAGTATGCTTGTGCTATTATTGGTTTAACTAAGGCCGTATATGTCGCGTCATTACCAGACTATTCTGTGTGTACAGGAATCATGGGGCTTATTTGTTACTGTGGTCTAAATACCGTATTTTCAGACCTCAACATACCGCTATCTGCCATTGCCATCACTGTCATCGTCATATTTCTGAGACTTTGGCAGCCCAAAGTCAATAGCTATGTAGAAAGTTTCCTGCAGCTGGATTGGTTGTGAGTTGTGGACGTCCTCGGAAAGGTTGATATGCTGACACTTTAGTCGTGTGCTTCCTATAGAGGGAACACATTGATCATAGGAGGTGGCACATCATGCATTATTGGACTGACGTGGGCAGGGTTCAGTCATCCGTGGAAATCCGTCGAAGTGCTCATTCCCTTCGTAATCGGCTTGGTATGCCTGATTGTTGCGTTCTTATATGAATTTCTCTTGGCACGCCATCTCTCCGTACGTTAAGCAACTGCGAAGTGAGCCCGTACTGAGCTATACCCAGTCCATCGTCTCGAATCGGACTAGTTTCAGCGGGTATGTGACCAGATCGTTACGTATTCCGTGCGAACTAAATTGGCTACGTATAGGTATTTTGGTTCTTTCATGCATGGCCTAGTCATATACAGTGCTAGCTGTAGGTGCTTTTCTCTCCTGGAATATTGATATCGTCGGCTGAACACATTATTCAGTCTACCTGTGCGTGCAGCGTCTCGTGGATCTCTGCTTGACACAATGTTCACATAAATGTTCATTGTAACTAGACCGGTTTACTTCCAAGCTGTGAAGCTTGCGCCTCCGGTGCTCTCAGGATTGTACATTTTACCAAGTGCTCTCACCTTGTCGCCATCTGCCATAATTCAAGGAATTCTGGTCAACAAAACCGGACGGTACCGCTTGATTGTACGTGGTTCTGTTGATCCATCTCTTTAGATCTTCATTTGTTTCCATTCTGCAGAATGCTATCGGCTGGTGCGGGATCCTGATCGGGATGGGACTTTTCTGTCTACTCCGCGTCGACACTCCCGTGGCTGTTTCTATCCCATTCCAAATCATAGCAGCTGCAGGGTTTGGATTCCTGTTCGTTACGACATTCTCTGTGCTCGCTCCGCTGGAAGTTGAGAACAACGCGCAAGCTCTGGCGTTCCTCACATTTGCCAGAACATTCTCTCAGGTAAGCATCGAGAGCATCTGCTCAGGCTTCAGCCGCACAGCGCGCTGATTGGCCATCTCCTTATGAAACTTTGCTTTAGTCCTGGAGCATAGCCATCGGAGCGACCATTCTTCAGACTCGACTTCGACATTGCCTGCCCGCTGCCTTTCTCAATCAGTTTCACGCTGGTGACGACATCTCATATGTCGCCATCTCGTTGATTAGGTCGCTGCAGCAGCCGCTGCAGGACGAAGTCAGATTGGCATTTGCGAACAGTTTGCTCACTCTGTGGCACGTTCTATTGGCGTTCTGCGCTGCAGGATTGCTCAGTGTGCTCCTGCAGAAGGATCTACCTTTGCATAACGACAGGAATGAGAGATGGGGACTTGAGGAAAGGCAAGGGCAGCCGCAAGCTGAGAATCCCAAAGAGAATGAGGATCCTGGTAAGGAGAATGTGTGATTCGATAATGTCTTTAGTCCTCTATCAGTCGTTGTTACCAATGATACACGCGATAGAACACTGCTAGGTTCTCCCTTGCACATAACGGATGCGGGTTGCCATCGTTCAACTTCACCACAAGTACCACTTCGTCGCAGCCTCAGGTCAATCAGGGCTCCTCTGCAATGAAGTCATACCCTTGTGCGCAGTGATGCTTTCCTTTCGATGGCTAACTACGAATTGCAACACAGGACATAGACGGGATGATTCGTTATCAGAAACTGATGGGAAGTTGGTAAATATATCCCACAGGGTTGGTTCGGGCAGCCCGGAGCCGCGCAGCGGCGTAAGTACCTGAATGTAAGATGGGCGCCCAAATGCCATTTTGGTCTCATCGGCGGAGCATGGGCTGAAGAAATGAAGGGCCGAAGGCATATAGCGCATGATGCTATGAGACGCCGGGGATGGTCTGAGCTAACTGATGAAATGCATTATGTTCGCGGTGTTTGCAACCGGCTCCGAGTTGAAGTACATCAAGGATCTAGCTGTTTGAAATGCAATCTCGGATGAAACAACACTCATCACTGCAGGCAGTCTAGGTATTGCGGGAACCCAGCAAATTTTATTGATGTCATGACCTGCACATCACGCGGAGGACCCTTTAAGTCTGTGTCTATCGTGAGTCCTCCGATGCTATCAGTCATCCGTGTTCCTGCGCATATGAGGACCTTTACTCTCGCCGAAGCACAACTAGTTGCTCTCTTTCTTGGAAGCATATCCTACGGAGTGCATATTGCGACATTCGCGCTCTGCATGACCGCTTCCATATGGACGAAGTCGGGCTTCAGATCGAAGATCAACTTGCCGATGGTGTTCTTCACCACCATTCTGTTTATTGTTGGCACGATGGAGGCTGTCTTCAATGTCTTGCACAATTTGAACGGCTTCGTGTACTATTCTGGGCCAGGCGGCGCTGAAGAGGAATTCCTACACATCTCAAACTGGCTCAATGTCATGAAGGTGAAGTTACGTCTTTTTATTATGTGGCGACTCTCTTCTCTTACTGTGTGCAGACCGTATGCTTGATGCTGGAGTCCACCATTGCAGATTCAGCGTTGGTACGAAGTCCGTGCTATGCAACACGATCCAGAGATAACCTACACATGTCAGATCTATCGTTGCTGGATCATTTTTAATCATACGTGGCCTGCGGTCGCATTCCCACTTCTCTTATTGGTTTCGCAGAGCGTATGCGCGACCGCGGAGATCTATTATACAGCAACTTTGGAGAGGAGCCATGCACTTGCCGATGTCTTGAGCAAGGACAGGCTCAGGCCATTTGTCACAGCCTATGGCGCCATCACGATCACTCTCAATGTCCTCACTACGGGTGAGTGTCATCAGCGATATTTGAGATAAACAGTCCCAGACTCACACTTTCCCGCGTAAGGCCTGATCGTATATCGTATATGGACAGTGCACAGAGAATCGTCCCGGTTCTTCACGCAGAGCATCGATCGCACAAGCAGTCTCCTAAGCCTCTCCGAGATCAATCGCATTCTGATCGAATCGGCGCTGCTGTATACCGTTGGAACTGCTTTGACATTCGTTCTGAGCGACCTTGGCAGCACGGTGGTTTATCCTGTGGCTGATTTTGTGAGCCACTCACCGCCTTCACAGCACGCCTTATTGACCGTCATTAGACACTCCAACTAGGTGGCATATCGTTTGACCTCATAATCATCCGCGTGAGCGGCGGGAGAGGCGTCGAACACACGCAGAAGACAGTCCAACGCGACCAGTCCGAGTTCACATTGGAATTTGCTAGGTCCAGAACACGACGACAGAGTGGTGTTGCAGCAATTCCAGTCACGAATCCTGTCGACTCGTCTAATGTGAGCCCCCCACAGACGTTGAGGGCGTGTATAAAATCCATTAATGACGATTGCATGACAGGATGACCGATCAAGCTGCATTGAAACAGTTGTTAAGCACCCACAGTTTGCTACATCGTTCGAAGACAACTCTGTCACAGGGCAATAGTCCAAGCTGAGTACGACTCACTGGGATCTGTATGGAGTAGAAATAGAAGGAAAGATACGCTCACCCTGCGATGTGCCCAAAGCGTCGAGCTGGCGTTTGACACCGCCGATGGTCAATTGAGTAAATCAACGATGTAGAAATTCGATCCTCGGACTGTGACCGTATGATTTTCGCTGATTCGACAGGCCAGAGGTCGAACGCGGCAGACACACAGTGAATAAGAAACCGCAGGCGGCAGGATACATCCTGCTGTTGGAACCGAAGGCGAGCGACTGCACAGAACTTCGTCAGTTGAAGACTGCGTATGAGCGTCCTTTGCTTCCGAGCCCCGTTACGTGATATGAAAAGCAGCGGAGCAGGTCGTCACTTCCCTCGCTTGAAATTACGGCCCTTTCCTCTTCGTTGTATCGTACGCTCTTGATAAGCCATTTACGGAGTCAGAGACTTTGCCTTAAAAATAGTGACGGAAGAATATCGCGGGATTGTGTAAGAAGGAAAAACGGCACATAGGCTCGTTCCCCTGTGCTTCTTCCTCACCGTGTTCTTATATGTAGTAATCCTATCGTGAAGCTTTCAAGGCCAATGTCCGAATCCTGAAAATAGCTCAATGGTCCATGGGCACGGATGACGTGATCCAACATCCCTGTGAGACATTGCAGAGAGGCAAAAGCAAAGGTCACTGGCTCACTTGCAATGCTGCGGCATTCTCCTCTAATCATGGCTAATGCTGACAGACGGAACTTGTGGATTAGGCATCAAGCTCAGTCATATTGGCTTCATAGGACTGTCCATACTGCCTCCCAACTTGGGCGGAGAGGTAGGTAATGCCATCCTTGCTGTGACCACCATTCTTATCCGCGTACACACTGCACGCCGTCTTGACCGGCCCCTAAAGCTCAGGAGCCGCAGACTATTCCGGGGGCGGGCGTGGCTGCAATGTTCTGAACACGCCGCGTCGCAAGGTTGCAATGATGCTCGTCGTCAAATAGGGAAAAGATCGTGTTCGAGGAATGACCGTGGTCGCAAACATCTACGAGAGACTACGGAGATCGCGGAGGTAGCCAGATGGAAGGGTTTCGGGACGATGGTTGGTATGCAGGGAAGACAAAGCCCGATGATCGATAAGGCAAATAGACGAGCCTTCGTCGCAGAGCTTCGTTTGCTGACTGGGGCGTCAGGTCAAGGCAATCATCGAGTCGGGACGAATTGAACGAGTCCTTTCCGCTTTCGTGGTATGCCCATGCATCACCAACGATGCCTTCCATGACCTCTTCGGATCCAACAAGGTAAGACGATGACACAGATGAGCGCAAAGCAGGTTCCGTTTAGAGGAGCGCTGACCAGCGGCACCGTCGTGAGCTTGCACTGGCACGAAGAATGGAAAGAGGAAGCTTGGGAGGACGGGTACCCATTGATGTGGGTCGTTGATGGGGAACGCGGATTGATATGTCTCGAGAGCGATGACCCTGCCGGGTGCTATGTGCGGGTCAGGTAGCCAATGTTGTACTTGAACGGAGAATAGGTCAAGGCAGAACAGGACGGGCTGACGAACCCGGCGAGAGCATGGACAGGGCTCGCGAAGGGCCAGGACAGAGAAATTATGCCACCCTTGACGACGCCGTGGAAACAAGATATTCCTCGATGATATCAACAGGCGCTCAAGAGGGGACAAGAAGGTAGGTCTTTAGGATTCGTCGTTGTGCGGGTATCGTAAGAAATTGTGTAGTCGACATCTGAATAGTGAACCCTCGAAGTTGCCAGGAGTGTACAATAAAATGTGCTTTTCGAGCTCCCGGTGGTAAATTACCTACGCCAGCTCACCCAACCGATCAAGGCTAACACCAGCAAGCTAGATGTCCATGCCCTGAGACCTCTGGCCTTTGCGGCCCATGTACTATGCGAGCTGTAAGAAGCCGCAACAATGATGTCCTCCAGGTTTAGGTCCGGGCTACCGTGACTGGTTAGAGGCGGCGCTCCAGCAGCAGAACTGTTTGCTGTCTCTGTTGGAAGCCCGAAGAATGGCATGTCCATGTCAAGCTCAAGCTCGGCCTCGGCGGAGGAAGTAAGCTGGGCGTCGGGTTCCAAGACGGGCCCGTCAATCGCAGAGGACAAGACTTCCGCCTGCGCTACGCCGCCGAAGAAGTCTGTCACCAGTGTATCTTCCAGAGGACGATTGAAGAGATCTGAGCGCACGCCCGCATGCGACTCGATCTTCTTGAAGTCGTAGGTGTCAAACTGCGCCGTGCGAAAAACCGTCAGGCACTAAGTAACGCAAGTTCACCCAGAGGACCTACGAGATCTTTCATTGACGCCTGGCTCGTCTTATTGATTCCCTCCATAAACTGGAGGATGTAATGCGTGAATTTGTCGATGACGGCCACGCCAATCTCATAGTCATTCTCATGCTACAATGGGGCCCAGTTGATGGAACGAATGCTCAAAATGGATCGCGGTACTCACAGAGTAAGAGTTCTCATGGACCTCGGAAGACCCCGTCGCAAGGATGTTAGGAGAGTAGAACTTCGAAAACATGCTGTTCGCCTGACAAGTGTCGATCATGAACAATATTTCATTGTAGCTGAGGACAAGCAGCGCTTCGTCAGCCTTGGGACATAACGCAGCTGTGACGGGCATACCGCTTCTTCTGCCACATCTGCTCGAAGGCATCAGCGATGTCGAACGCACTGATCTCTTCGTTGTCTTGGAACTTGAGGAATTCGTTACCACCATGTCCCGTCATGTAAACGAAGATATTGGATCGATCGTCTGTGAGTAGGCGCTTCGAACGGGGAACGGAGGGTTCCATACGACCTATACAGAGCATACTCTAAGTACTCACTGAGCCCTGACAGTATAAAAGGATTGCAGCAACGGACCCGTCAACACTCTGAGGAAGTTCTCGACCGTCACCTCATATCCCCTGTAGTCCACTTCGATGTTGTCTCCATACAGATCGAGATGCCGGCCCTGGTTCGCATACACGCAGCCGGGGAACTTGTTGCGCGTGTTGCACGCCGCGTCGTCCGCGAGCATCAAGATGATGTTTGAGTCTGGAATCCCTAGCCGTTTCACGGTGCGGTACCTGCACGTCTAGCATCGTCACCGAGTCGCGTGTCACCGATATGTGTGGCATGCACGTACATCCCCAACGCATTCGCCATGTGCTGCAGATGCTTTTAGATCCCTCTGACCTTTCGCAGTCCAGAGAACGCACCCGATAGTTGAACCAATATCGCGAAGAGCATACTAGGACTGCCCAGTTATTCGTATGGGCCGATCCACCGTCTTTCGCAGGTTGCGATGCATGATCGCTGGGAATAAGCCCATCCGCTGTGGCCGCGCCGAGCCAGCTGACGATGTACAAAGTTACGAGCAGAAGGAAACGAAGTCGCGACATGCAAACACCAGGCGTATCGCGCGATGAGCCTGAGACCGCAGGTGCAATGTGCAAGGTTCATCGCAACGCCACACCACAAACCGATTCCTAGACGCCCACCCTCGGAGGTTAGTGGTGTCCACCTCTTAATTTCTACCTAAAAACTTTGGTTTTTTTACATCTGACAATTAAATCGTACGTGCAATGCGATCCCGATGTCTCTGTGACAAATCAATGCATTTGGTCGTATATTGATTCTCATTTTAAAAATCTCGTTCTCCAGTCTTCGCGGAGAATGCGCCAGTGCACTCAGCCCGTCAACTGCTGTCTCTCTCCCATGGTGCGATTTCCGACTCGTTTTGTTCTCTGTCTCCCTTTCATCTATGATGCTGAATTTGTTAGACACGGACGGGTCTGTGACGAGCGCAGCTAATTGCCTGGCGCAGCCGAGGGCTCATCCTTTTGTGCGCGCAGCATATCTCTGTGTTCCATCGGTACGCACTTGCAGCCTATCGCCTTGAATCCTTCGCTGCTTCAGCTGGCTTTCTGGGGCTACAAGCAAACACTTGAGTGCCTCTCACAGTGTACATGTCATGTTAGCGCGCATTTTTGTCCTGGGGGACCCGGTGTCCATGGGCGCTTGCCGGGCCTCTTCGCCATTCTGCTGGTCCTTTGGCCCATGATCGTCGAAGCGCACATGTTTTCACGCAGCACGGTGGATGAAGAAGTGGCTGTCCGTCTGGATGCCTACTTGTTCATCCCCCGTTTGCCGGCGGCACGCTGACTCACCCCAATTTGAACCCTTCTCACTGATCTCAGCACAAACTGAGCCATCCCGCACTTCTCTCACGACCTTGGTTTTCCCGAACCTCTCTCCCGATCTTGGTTGCCTTCATACACATGTTCTCCCGCGCGTCACTGCCGCAGCGCCTCTTCTATGCAGCTCAATCTCGCCCGCATCTCATCGGCCTCGGCAGCTCCGCCGAATGCGAAATCCATCACTGAGACTGCGCTGCGGCACATCACGGCGAATTCGTCATGCAATTCTGAACTACACATCATAACAACACGTACGCAGCAGCAACAATGATATTGGCCTCTATATCACTGATCTGCGCACTAACTACTATAGGATGGGAATGTGTGCCCTCGCACGCTCTTGCGCAATCCTGTACATACGTGCGGTCAGATCGTCGCTTCAGCTAGATAACTCTAGGAACGTTCTGGCAACGGCAGTGAAACGGATGGGCTGTGAAGGTGTAGTTGTCACGGCAGCCAGCAACATATCAAGAGTCTAGTTTCTTCTCGCGATCCCTCATGTGAGATGCGCGTTCCTTCATTCCGAACTGCATATTTTTTCAGTTGCCGCATCCGTTCAAGTATGCATGATCGGGTCATTCATTGTGAGCCACTGTCTGCTTTGCCTCATGTGTGGACGAATTGGTTTTGCCGTATATCGGTATACGGGTGATGTAACATCAGATCATGATGGGATATGGGCTTATAAACAGGCCGACTGTCAACCACTTCACAATCCATAGTCCAATCTCTCTACCTAAACATGTCCATCACCACATCTGAAGCAATCGCTATATTGGAAGGATCGTGCGTCTCTTCAGACGTATGGAACTGTACTGCATTGAATGATGTGTTATCAGGTTCACAGAAGACTATGCGATTATCACCGGTGCAGGTCAGTCGGGCATTTCCCACTTCTTACTGACTGGTAATTGACGATTTCTTTTCCAACAGTGCTCATATGCTTCGACCATGCCATCACATTCAGCCAGGAGGTCGAGCTATTCTGGGGCGAGTGATCGTTCTCTGCATGGTTGTTCTTTGCCAATCGGATGCTTGCGCTGGTCTATGCTGGCCTTTCTGTCTGGTCTGTCATGAACTTTTATACAGTAGTGGTACGCTGTTTCATATCGCCTCAAGTTGACACATACTCAAGTTATTGATATTGTAGGAGTGATTTGCTCCCTGTTGCTATACTTATCCGTGTCTGACTGTTATTATCTCGCAGTTGTATGGCAAACTTCGTGACGAACACTGTGGTTTTCGAACTCATTGCGATAATCTCAGAGGGTAGGCGGCATGCTTCATGACATATCACCACAGCTCACACTGTAGCAAAATGGTTACAACGTTACGAGTATACGCCGTGACAGGAGGCGACCGACGACCTGTTATGCTCCTCGCTTTGATAATTGTCCTCAACGTGGTATTAGATGTCTACATTAGTACGCTTCCTCTTAACAGGACATGTTACTGATTGACGATGACGAATTGATGAGAAGATTTCTTCGAAACATCACATTCTGTGCTCATATTGAATAGGACAGCCATATGCATCCAGTCCTACGCTTCAATTTCAGCACAAGATGTCGCTACAAAGTGCGTAAATCAGTATCGCCAATTAACCCATACTTGCTAATTTGTTTCTCAATAGATGTGAGTTCGATCTGAAGAATGCTTTCTTCCACATTTCTTTGACGATCTCGCTGCAGTGGGAACAGCCAATTCAGCCTTTGCTGTAGCCGCCACCATCATGACCCTCGCAATTCTCTGGCGCAAGCTATATGTTGACCATAAAACAGCCATGGCTGACCTCCTGTCCACGAGAAATCTGTCGCTTGCAGCGCTGCTCCTCAGAGACGGTATGACTATCGAACAGTGATTATGGATTTCTGAGCTCAAATAGCATTTGCTTCCACCATTCTCATAGGGACAATCCAACTGACGTGAGAAATGGAATCAGAAATAATTTGATGACGTCTGAAGCATATCATCTAGAGCACTCCTACTACTGAACTTATTAGTGACCGTATTGGTGTTCGTGAACTCCGTAAGTGCATGTCCTTTCCGCGCACGCCATATCTTCTGCAAGATGCTGATCACTCTTCCGCACATGACTATGCATATCGCAGAATGCTGAAGAGGTCATCGGATATTTGCAATACTCGTAAGACAGTCCTTTTACATTTTCTCAACCAATGACACACTGACAATTGTACAGACTCACTTCCGTTCTAGTCTCTCGTGTCCTCCTCAACATCCGAGCCGCAGCGCGGTCCACACGTGGAGAACAATCCCAAACGCCCTCTTTTGTCCGGTCGCGGCGCGGAGTCCAGGCGCAAGACGACGTCGAAAATATGTCGTTCGAATTAAACGTCCTCAGCAGCACCGAACAAGCCCCAGAGAGCGATCGCTCTCCCCGGCAAGAGTCCACTGAACATGCTGAAATTGTTGCTGAACCCCGAAGCATGGCGAACAATGTTGCTACTGCCGGCGATGCCCAACAGGACGTAAACAAAGAGGAGGGAATGGACGATGTCGAGGAAGAGATGCTATCGGATTGGGAGGACGATGTGTGAGAGGAGAGAATGGGTGTTCGAGCCGTGCTGGAGTCAGATTCACGGCGGTGATTGTATTTTTGCTTGCTATTTGTGAGTCGCGCGTCATCCTTCGTGCGCTCCGTCTCATCCGGCTGCATCTCGCAGATCTTCTATACGGAATTTCTTGTGCATTTCTTCTCTTTGCTCCGTACGATACTAGGCCGTTCGCGTTTCAAGCTTTATCTCAGGGCTTCACAGCCAATCTCAGCAGATACAGTCGCACAATAGATCCTGTGTAATATTTGTCTTTCTCAACTACCTATGTTGCTTGTGTCTGTCATTACGTTCCAACACGCATGCGACGGCATGTTTTGTGCTTCGTTTTCTGAGAGAAGTACCCAAGTCGGTAAATCGCACGACACGCAGACGGTTGTCTCTACTGTGCAACCCTCCGTACGCTATGAGCCAGTTCCTCATGCTACGATACATGGCTGAAGAATACCGTTGGGGCCCAGCACCCCCGTGCGGAGGCCATAGGGAGCGCTCTCATGGTGAAAGCCACTTCCACAGCATCGCCATGCAATTCGGTTTATTGTTGGGAGGCAGCATACACAGGACGCCTTAAGTTTACCAGCACATTACATTGATTGAGCAGTCCGAACGTCGAAGAGACTGTGGGACGTCAAAATGACGCCCCTACCCATGACGCAGGCAACCATCGGCTATTCGCGACTATGCGTGTTTCGGTTTCACCGAGACTATCATGTTTTGACGATGGTGACGTGGCTGGATAATCAAGGTACAACGAGAGATGCGAGGTATCATCGAAGTGAGTTCCCTGGGCGATTTGCCTGTGGCGCTGGTCTCCACCAAACAACTGCAGATATACCGAGGAACTGGGAACGTGTAGGCATCGAAAGCGCAGGCGAGCGGGTGAGATCGAATGGAAACACAGCTTGAGAGAACTAATTAGATAGTTGCGTCCTGGTGCCTAGGAACCGTCTGTCTGACACCGTCTTGCACTACGACTTCATGGAATGGGCGTTGATGCTCGAGTTCTCATTTGAGCCTCAATCTCAGAACACAGCCGTCGATAATCGTCAATGCTGCCATTTAAAGGCACGACATGCCGTGCCGCCCAAGTGACACAGTGCGGCCACGACTCGATTACAGCTGTGCTGTGTGGGGAAACTGATGAGGCGTCCGTTCGCTTCCATGCAGAGGCCGTGAGGGAACATCACAACGTGATGTCGAGCTGATCCGTGGCTATAGGGAAGTAATGATCGGTGCTACGGAAACCCGTTGTAAACACAGATGGCCAGGCCTTAGCACTTTACTTAGACGTGAATGATAGGACTAGGTCATGAGAATGATGTAGACGCATGAGAAGGATGAACCTGCTGGCAGAAGAGCCGAAATGTCAGTGGCTGACTAGCATCCGAGAGAGGGCAGCTCTTCAAGGAAGAGTACTCACATAGCATTTTCAAACTTGTCGATAGGCTAGTTACCTTATTACAGATCATCTATTCTCATATCGGCGTCAAATCGGTTGCATCTTGTCATACCAGGCATGCATGCGATCTATGATCCTCCGTCGCTGAATGAAACACAATCTGAGACACAATTAAGAAGCACAGGTGTCGGCAGTGGGATTGGATTTGTTCTGGCGTTCATGACAACAATAGACTAGCCGCGAATCGACAGAAAGCAGAGCCTGCAGACCAGGCCCTTGATAGTCAGGGTTCGATGCACTGCCTGTAACGCGTGTGCGAGTTCAGGGGCAATTTCAGATGTCACGAAGAAGTCTAGTAGTAAAGCACAGTCCAAAGGAGGATCCTGGATAGAGGTAAAACTTGACGAGATCACGTCCGGACCAGCGCCGAAGAACCCAACATGCACAGATCAGTGAAATGGAATGGCTTTCCTGGGAGACCACTTCATCATTGCTGTCATCGGACATCGCTGCGAGAGTGTCTCTCACATTATTCACAAGCACAGCCGAGATCATGATATGTAGATAAGAGTTGCCTTGGGCGCATTCGACTTGGGCGCATTCGACGTTGAAAAGCGCATCCGCGACGCGTCAAACACAACATTGTGCTTTGTTTGTAGTCGCACGTGATGTCAGACCTCGATTTTTGCCGCCCTCCCGACAAGGACCCCAGACAAGGATATCCGGAGCGTTCCCGCGGAGGTTTGAAGGAATTGTCTCGTCTGCCCACGGGAGACTACGTTGAACCCAAGTGCGTCGGACGCGCCCCACTGCCAACGCGCCACAGGCGCGTGTCCCGCCGTATCACTTCGACTGGGTTTGCTAGGAAAGCTGCAGGGGTTCGATCGTCATAGCATCCAGCAACAGGTCAAGAACTTGGTTTCTTTTCATGACCTCTCATGTGAGATGAGATGTGGGATTCCTTCATTCCGAACGGCATATTTCATTTAGTTGCCGCTTCCGTTCACATATCCATGGTAGGATCATTCATTGTGACTCTTAATCCACGCCATATCTTCTTCAAGATGCTAGCCACTCTGCCGTACATGACTATGGATATGGCAGAGTGCTGAAACTGTCATCGCTTTTCTGCGATTCTCGTGAGGCAGTCCTCTGAAGCTTTCTCTACAAATCACACACTGACGATTTTGCAGACTTTTCCCCGTTCTGATCTCTCGTGTCCTCCTGAACGTCCGCGCCGCAGCGCGGTTCACACACGGAGAGCAGTCCCAAACGCCCTCTTTCATCCGGTCGCGGCAAGGAGTTCAGACACAAGCCGACGTCGAAAACATGTCGTTCGAATTAAACATCCTCAGCAGCTCCGAACGAGCCCCGGAGAGCGATCGCTTTGACGTACAAGACTCTATTGAACATGATCAACTCATTGCAGAATCGCTCAGCATGGCGGATGGTGTTCTTACTGTCGGCGATGCTCATCAGAATGTGAACGAGGAAGAGACGATGGACGATGCCGACGACGAGATGCTGTCGGATTGGGAGGATGACGAGTAAGGGGAGAGAATGATTCGCTTGCGATTTGTGAGTGACACGTCAGCCTTCGTGTACTCCATCTCACCGGCTGCATTCGCAGATTTCTCGGGGCACTTCCTCCCCGTACGGTTGTGCGTGATAAGGCTGTTGATAGTCCAAGCCCCATCACGGTGCTTTATACCCAGCTTCACAGTTATTTATTGCACTATAGATCGTACAATGTTCTTCTATTTCCGATATCGTCCGTGTTGACTGTATCTTTCATTATTTCCTGGCATGCCTGCTATGACATGTGCAGTCTTCTAAGTTATGCTTCCCTTAGGATGTTCCTCAAGTAGGCGACATCCGCACAGATGGATCAAAAGTAGTGCCTATAATTTCGTGCTGAGGCCAGAGAGGCGACAAGGGATAGTTACTGTTATGAAGACCCGACGCGAAGTGCTGTCTTCACGGCATTATCATGCAATTTACTCGATTGTGGGTAAGTGGCGCACACAGGACGCCTCGAAGTTAACCAGCATAGGATACTGACTGAATGTCCTTAACCTCGAGGAAACTGCATGATTTTAAAATGACAGGCCACATACAACGAAGAAGGTCATCGGCTTTTCGCGACCATGCGAGCTTTACCAAGGCTAGAGCATTGTAAGGGTGGATACGGGGAAATGCATAGACTCATCAGATTGAGTGCCTTGCGCAGTTTGCCTGTGATGCTGGTCTCCACCGGGAGGTCGAAAGCAACCGCAGGTATACCAAGGAAGCGAGGCCATGCAGGCATCAGAAGCGCGATCAACTGAGGAGAGATCGAACACGAACCGTAGCTCGAAACAGTATACCAGACAGTCAGATCCTTATGCTTAACAATTGTTTCTCTGGCGCCGTCTTGCAAGATGACCGCCTGCCAGAATGGGCGCTGATGCTCAAGTTCCGAGTCGAGCCTCAAATGGGGCAGAGCCGTCGATATCCTTTGTGCAACACAGTGTTCAGTATGCGGACATCATCTTCAATGTTTATCGCCGAGGACCGCTTTCCTGTCACGTTCAAGCGTGAAGTGTGCAGAGGGCAAAACATCCTAACCGGCCTTCCTTCCTCAGTCAAGATCAAGAATAACTGCCTTCATCTCAAACGGAGTAATGAAGAAGCACCCGTACAGGTTCGAGGCAATCAAAGAATGACCCACGTTGAGCATGCGCTTTCTTTATTGCTTTTCTCCTATACTTTAAAGCCGAGACTGGTGCTTATCCCGACATCGACCAGCATGACCTCGTTGAGGGGATCGACTAGGTAGGGCTGCACCCGATGCTACCCATCTTGGTCTGGATGTCTACACGAGCGTCAGAACGAACATAATTGCAAGGATACAAGGACGTACGCTGATCCGCGGAGCTTTACACATGGAGGGACACTGTACCTCGGCAACGTCTTTCGGCTGTTGCGTATCTGAACCGAGTCAGTACGTCCTCGAGCACCTTCAGCCTGAAGCATACCGTAGGGTATGTTCTCAGACACTCATCGGTGTCGGTCTGCTGTAGTCCGAGGTTCGACCGGATGATCTGACGGCAATGTGTCTTTGATCTGAACGCGAATCAACTGAGGGAGAAATAATGGTAAGCTGAGCGGAGTACGCATCAGTGTAGATACGCTCGTCCCGAAATCTATCACGGCCAGCAACCGTGCATACTGTCATAAGGGAACAACAGCTACCTGAAGTTCGTGATCACCTCCATCGGCCGATTGATGCAAACCGTCAGATCTCTCGAATGGTAACTCTGAGAGCATCAACAGTCCTGTTTGGTGAAGCATTTGCGGTACAGTAAAGGTAAATGAGGTCAAACAAGACTCGGGGTCAATGAGAATACATCAGTTGAGTCATGTCGTCAGTTTCAGGCTTTGTTTCGGTCAACATTGCAATACCGTCTCTGTATCCTCCCTCTGTGAACGCCTGCGCATCGCTGTCGATGAGTTCGTGCACAAGCAGAAGAACCGGCTGACTTACCTGGAACCCAGTCCTCATAGCACACGCTCACGATCGAATAGGTTTCCGCGCTACAAAAAGCGCGACAACCCCGACCTGCTCAACCTCAACCTCCTCAAACTGGCCTCTCAATGCCTTCTCCAGATTCTCGAAGCTATCATCTACATTTCCGAATGATCCAAGGTTGTTGTACAGCCGCACGAGGATCCTTCCCCATATGTTGTGGTCCGCGCTCCGTCCCAAAACCGTCGAGCCATACAGCACGCCGCCCGGTGCCAATCCCCTCGACAGCTGGGCAAATACGTGGCTCGCCTTCACCGGGAAGGCACCAGGAAGGCAATGGAGCAGATAGAACATCGAGATGGAGTCGAACTTGTCGTGCAAGGACTCGGGGAGAGGGTCGAACACGCTCTGCTGCACCTTATCGATCGACCCCTTGTACCCCGCCGCACGCAGGCGAGCCTCAGCGGTCTCCAGCGTGTTCGGGTTCAGGTCGAGGAAGGTGACGTTCTTCGTCTTTGCGAGCTGAGGCGCGGAGTGTGCGGGCAAGTAGCCCGTTCCGACTCCCACATCGAGGTGGGCATTCTCGCCGATGTGCTTTTGGAAGAAGGGGAGGAGCACGGATTTCGTTGGGCAGCGCCAGATGAAGAGGTTCGTGAGCGTGAGGATGCCGACGTCGTAAAAGCGTAGGAGCCAGGGCGTGTAATATCGAGCGGACGGGTCCATCCGAGTCGCGTTAATAGAGGTAGGGCTGTGAGCGGCTGTGGCTGTGGGCGCGTAGTGTGCGATATGAAGAGGACGCCACAATCAGGTAGGAAAACATTTATATCTTGTAATGCAGCGTGTTCATCGTGCCGTCTTGCTGATGACCTTGCGTCCGAGTCGTGGTGTGCGCGCGCATGATACCATCATAAATGATGGGCGCTCACTCGAACGTTATTCATACTGGATATTATGTAGATTGACTATGATACATAGTTGCAAGGTTTAAAAATACAATGCAAGAAAGAAGCATGAAGATCGTCGACGTCATTACTCGTACAGCATACATAGAAGGACATGCGGCGCGCGTAGGTACGGAGCCTACGCTCCTCAGCAATAGAGAGCACTCCTTAGACCTTGGCCTCCACAGACTGTACAGATGTCGTTTCGTTGACCTCTTTTTCCAGGACTGCACGGATTTCAGTGAGTACGGGATCATTAAGCATAGATGAAGGCAACCGCACCTCTTTCTTGTCGCTTGATCTCTGCCTCGCGCCGATCTGCCGAAACGGAGCCGAAGATGATGTCCATCTCTTCTAGACTGCGGCCTTTTGTCTCTGGGATGAGGCTGAAAGGAATAGCACATACGTCATCTTTTGCGATTCGCTGGTAAAGAGTCGTAAACTCACGCAGAGAAGACAGCCAGACCGGCGATGTCGATGGTCGCGAACATGAGGAAGATCTTGTAGCCCATCTCAGTCACAAGCGTTGGCGTCACCTTCGACAACACGAAGTCTGGCGGGACAGCGATCAGCAGCCTGGCTCGCTTTATGAGACATGGGATCACTTACTAAAGAGCCACTGGGACGCGCTGGCAGTGGCGAGACCATAGTGTCTGGTTCTCGTCGGGAAGATGTCTGCAACGTAGACCCATCTGCATGGATGTTAGCACTTATCTCTGATACCAATGTACTAGATGCTCACGGCAACGGACCCCAACCAAGCGAGTAGAAACAGACAAAGATGTATAGCATCGCGGCCATGGCCTTGGACGCTACCGAGGGCGTCGCAGAATCTGTCACCGGTGGATACGTCTTGAGAAGTGCACCGACGATGAAGAACATTACGCCCATTCCGAGGGCAGATATGAGCAGCGACCACTTGCGACCCAGGGTGTCTGCGAGGAAGAACACGAAGATGATCGTCGCCACGACCTTGACGATGCCATAAATACCCGAGGCCAGCAACGAGTTGGAGGTTCCATAGTAGCCGATCTGGGCAATGATGAGAGTGTGTGAGCAAGGGATCATCGATCAGGCCTCGGAGCGGCAAGTCCACCCGACTTACCGACTGGAAGATCTGCGGGGCATAGTAATTGACCGAGTTCTGCCCGCCCCATTGCTGGAGGATAAAGATGACGACGGCAATGAAGAACCGGATAAAGTTGCCCTTGCCAAACACGGCTTCCTTCACGCCGAGGCCCTTGCGCAGCTCGCGCTCCTCCGCAATAGCAGCCTCAATCTCAGCCATCTCGGATAGCACGCTCTCATCATCGGGCGGGAGACGACGAAGGTAAGCCAAGTTCGCGAGGGCCTCGGAGGTACGATCCTTCGTCGCAAGCCATCGAGGCGACTCCTTGACGGTGAGGAGACCAAGGGCCATGATGCCGGCGGGTACGAGCTGGAAGCCGAACGGGATGCGCCACACCTTTGGACCGTCGGGGATGTGCAGACTGATACCAACTGGAGGACAACAACATTGTAAAGGAACGACAACAAGCAAACAAAGTTGAAGGACTTACGGTTGATGAAATACGAAATCATGACACCGATAGCGACCATGATCTGGAATAGACCAGTGATGCGACCACGGACATCTTTCGGGCTGCATTCCGAAACAAAGGCCGGGGCCACGGCAGAGATCGCGCCGATGCCAACACCAGCAACTACTCGACCACCGTAGATGTAGCCAATGCCACGCGATCCGCCAGCGACTGTCTGCAGGATCTGTCGGACGTAAAAATCATCAGAAGTATGTACTAGGCAGAAAGATAGCGGGTCACGACATACCGCACCCACGGCAAAGAGCATCGTGAACGCGAACAAAGTCCACTTGCGGCCGATAGCAGCTACAAGCCACGTTGATCAGCCATAGTTCGCACGGTTGTCTCTAGGGCTGTATGTCGCGGTGACCTACAAGAGATAGGCGCACTGCCAATGGCACCGAAGAACGCGCCTGCTTGGAGCACGGAGACAACATTCGAGGCAATAGTGTCCTCTTTTGCGGTGTTAACCGAGCCATCCGCGTTGGTGAGCCCAAATGCTGACTGAAAGTACGTTTGATCGACGACGCCACCACCAACTCCACTATTGGCGATTGCCGATCAGCCACGAACAACAAGCTAGAAAGGCACGCAGACGTACGTGTCGTATCCGAACAAAATGATGCCCCAGTAGACGATGAACGCGAGCCCTGGATGAGACCTGATTAGTCTGAATCACAACAGGAGACACTTCAGTACACACAATAGACTCGGATGTTCTGGAATCTGCTCAGAGGCCTCTCACCCATCGTTTGCGACGTGAAGTTCGGTCTGCAGGAGGACTCGACGAAAGAGGGGACTGCAGGAAGACGACCCTGGCCCACCCATTCTCATCAGGCGGGGCTTATAACCATCTCATTCAGCGCGTAGGGCGCCTGCCCCGCGGGCCGTCAAATCGAGATCGTGGGGAAGGTCATCTACACGTGTGCCTGAATGCCTCCGGTCCGGCACGGGCCGTCCTCCCGCCCCGCATTTTGCGCGATGCAGCCGACGTTCGCCACCCCTACCCCGCATTCCCAGCATGATTCTTGCCGTCCCGACGCTCTGGGAATCGACATGAGATTGATTTTGTCATTTGCAAGCGTGATGGGCCTCTGGCCACGTTTCGCTGTGGCAAGGAAGCGCGGAGATTCATCGTATCATTTCACTTGCGCTAAAAGCTGCATGAGCGTTCTGCGCTGCTGTTCTACTTCTGTGAAATGCGCCCGTTCTCACGGCGCAAGTCCATTCGCACGAAATTTGAAGCCGATGAACGCAACCAGATGCGTATAGCCTTCGCGACCCTCGATCTTCATCATGTCGCGGCAATTTTACCTCGGATGAAACTGTTTCAATAGTGATGAAAACGTCTCGCGGACACCCACAGATTCTAGCCGTCAAGGATCCGCTATTCTTGCGAGCGGGATTAATTGTATACGAATGCCTACGGTGTGTTACGGTGAGCCGCAAATCTATAATTGTCACACGAAGATCTCGGCTTACGCACCAATGTCTTTCTGTAGGCTGCCAGCGCTATCATGTAACAAATGAAACGCCGCTACAAATTGTCGCGACGGGAATTTCCAAATCTGAGAATACAATCGGGCGCGTGATCATCGCCGCATCTGGTTAAACTGCGACATATAAACGTTGAGCCGCGAGACCGCCTCAAGCATAAAAATGGTCCGCGCGCAGCTGACACGATTGAGGTCTTGTATGGAAGCTGTGTATATTCGCCGGCCAGCCGTCGGATGCCGCCCGGAATGTCCAATCACATGGATTCATTTCGGCAGCCCACCAGGAGAAGATTGCGAAAGAAACTTCCCCGCAGTCCAGAAGTCATGCGGCCGGCAACCTTGTATTGCAACTCGGATCCGCCGCGAAGCTCTCGAAAGGGGACTTTGTGCGACGCGGCGAAGCTGAAACATGCGGTTATGGTGACAAATTTTCGATTAACAGACGGAGGGTGAATCAAATGACCTTGAAAGATTGCATGGCACAGCCTTGGCGGAACGTTGCGTTTGTGGGTGTCTGTCACCACCTGAGTGGCGGCTGGTCTGTGATTGATCCCTGAGCGCAGCGTTTGTACTGATCTGCCTGTGGATGTCCGACAGGTCCCTCCGATATGTAGCGGAATGGGAGACACGATGTACATCAGACCGAACCACCTCCTTGAAGCACAAGCATGCCTCTTTGAAGCGCAGCCTCTAGAGCCTCGTTCTTACTTGCAAAGCGTAGCAGCGCATTTGTATCACGGACGATCGATCGTCAGCGGAGTGGATCCACAACTAATCCACAACGAGGCTAGCTGTTGCCACGCGCCTCTTCTGAGCTTCGAGTGACCGTACCGCAGCGGCCCGGGCAAGGCGAGTGGCTCAGATGGCAGAGTCGGAAGGCTGGAAAATGACACTAGCTATGAGCAAAGAGATGACGGCATATCGGTGGATCATCCAGTAGATTGCAATTGTTCTCGCGGCAGCGAGGAGCTGGCCCCTATTCGGAATCATGCACCAGGACTACAGCAGATGTTTCGTTGCGGATCGTCGAAGGACAACATGGACCGGGAGGAAACGCATGTGCTCTTCGTTGCTGCCGCAGTAGGCTCATTTCTCCTTCTCTGGATCAATTATGACTTGGATACCCTTATCCTGCGAGACATAGCTGAAAAGATCCGTTTGCTTCGAACAATTAGTTTGAATTCTGGAAGCACGAGGCTATCCTCGGGCCTTGAGAAAAGAAAACGAAAGAACTGGCTCTAGTCCGCCTCGGGTGTTGAGCAGTAAGTTACTCTCACAGATTGCCCCTTCGTTAACGAGACATCGACGAGGGAACTTGGCATGAGCTATCCTGTGTCAATGATCTACAGCCATTATTCGTGCAAAAGATTTGCACTGTGGTTTGGAAATGCCTTGGCAAGGCTGAGACGCGAATGGCACTTCTTGTTTAATCCTGCGGCGGAAAATATATGATCGAAGACCTGCTCGGTAGGTTTCATTGTGTACGTTCAGCTTACAATGATCAACATACACAATACTCACTGATTGAAAGGAAGGAATAGATAATCTTCAGAAAGATGAGCGACACATGCTTGAATGACCTCCGAGTCCTGGCTGACCTTTTCAAGCATTACATGCTTTGCTTCTGTAATCTCCGGCCGAAGAGTAGTGGGTCTGCATGCCATATGCAGCATGCACGCAAGATGTTCCATTATTCGAGTGAGTTGTGCTTCAAGTTAGCGTCGGTTTAGTGATTAACTTCTTTCGCGGCGCATATAACAGCATTGAGAGCGACCTTTCAACCTTGAGCCATGTTGCTGACCAGTAAAATATGCAAGACTAAGTATTTCACGGTGTCAACGTCTCACTGTTCGTTCTTTGAGCACGAATTATCAAGACTCACCTTCGGACGCTGTTGAAGGATCAGTACTGCACGATGATTGCAATTTTACACGAGACAAAGTGGGCGCAGGTGAACGTCACCGTTTTCATTCAAGTCGCTTTAACACCCGGCGGCCCGGACCCGAGGACATAAGCGCTCTTTCCACGTGTCGAACAAGCGCCTCCCTCGCTCGGCGCTTGTCACCGTGACCTTTTCACAGATCACAAGTATATGTGCCTAGCGGCAGACATTATTCGATGCCCCCGCGATATGCGCTGAAGGCCGCCGCGTTGCAACTTCCCCCCATCGCTCGAGTTGTGCTGCACAACTTAGATGCAGTCATAGGTGAGTTCACTTCGATTACAAATCCACATCGTTGCAGCCAGAGAAGTACCTGATCCACAAAACTCAGCATCCGAGCTCCTACCCTGATAAATGATTCCCATCGGCTTATTCATTGGTTGCTTCATGTGAAATCTCCGCGGTGCACGCATGGATCTCCCGCTTGACGGTTCACCTCATATTGTCTGGTGACTCTGGTCCCCGGAGGCTATCCCCGATTGTGCATGGCACACAGCAATGACGGGATCTACGCCATCAGTCGGCATTGTCCGAGTACCTTTGTGAAACATTGACAACTAACACTGGGCCCGGCCTGCAGCTGGACTGAATACGGTCCATCCCTCTCACACTAGTGGTAACCATTGCCTCATCCAGACTCAACACAGCAAAGAGTCTAAGACTCGACCCTTTGGGTGTCGAGGTAGATCTCAAATGAGCCACCGCCTCAATATGATCCCGAGCAAGGGAGGGCGCTCTGCAGTCTAATTGAGCGGGTGATCATCACAAAGCAAGCGAGTCTCTGGACGCAAACGACCTTGCTTTGGTCGACTGGTCATGCTTGCTACCTACGTGCTAGTGCCACACATAAAAGATGACCGCCGCAAAGTTCCCTCCGTCCTTTCGGCTGCAACCCTCGACCTCTGCTCAAAACCGTCTATCATAAGGTCCTTTGCGTGACGTCCGCAAGCACGATGATCTTTCCAATTCCAAAGCTGTCAATATCAGTAAACGTGAATCACGTACATAACTCTCTCACCAGAGTTGTCACGCCTGCACGCCCGTCCTCCTCCTCCAATCATCACCACACTGCGGCGAAACCGTCTGATTCTTCGAATGCTGTCGTGAAGGTGAAGGCTAAGCCTACGGTAAGTTCCATCTTGTGGTACGACACATTTTCGATTAAGATTATTGATTATTATTCACAACAGAGTCAGAAGCCCAGTGCGACAAAGACGTCGACTCCTGTAAAGAAAGCTCACACCGTTACGACAACGTCAAAGAGTGCATCGTCTCATGTAAGAGTTCCCTGACATCCTCATTCTTGCACACGCACTGAGTATGGCCATTAGGCAAAGAAATCGACCGTCACCAAGACGTCCGTGAAGGTCACGACGAAACCCAAGCATTGAGAGCTATTCAATAACAATGGAATACATACCTACGTCGATGTCTGCAGGGCCAAAGGTCAGTATGTGGGGGACAGGGAAATCTAAAAGGCTTCCCAGGAGCAGAGAATATTGAGCAACTATATCATCTCGTTTACCAAAGAAATTATAGGAGCCCAGACATCGGATTATCAAATTACTTTCGGAATACATTGACAAAAAGTGCTGTTATATCGACTAATGTATGGCTAAATAATCACGCAATGAAGCCTTCGCTCCTCCAAAATCGCACCCATGCTGATGCATGCTTCTGCGATAGGGGCTCCAGGTCCTTGAGGGTCGGACAAGCTCGAACGGCTTCAGAAGTTGCCATCAGGGGGAGGCCGCCCATTTCGACGGTTTCTACGCCCGCATCTTGGGCCTCCTTCGTTTGCACGGCACGAGTTCGGAAGAAGTCGAGCAATTTGATAGCAGGCTACACAATCGAATTGAGTGCCGATCGTAGAACATCATTGTCTATAGCGAAGGATACTTACGATGTCGGAAAGTCCCTTTATTGATGAGTCCTTTGCAGAGTCTTCAAGCTTGGCGATCCATCTCTCCATCGATATGACGGGCAGATCAATCCCCAAAGCAACGGCGATCGCATGGAAAACGTCGTGAGATGGAATTGGTCGAGGATGCGCCAAGTTGATCAGTTCGGGAGGGTGCTCAGCCATCACGAGATCCATGATGCTAGAGGCGAGCGCTGATATTGGAATCCACGAGACGGCCTGTTCCACGATGTGAACGATAAGACTACAAGAGTACACGAAGGAACTCACCCCATCCATGGCAGGGAAGGATTCAAGAGCCATGCTACTCTTGACGAGGATCGGAACCCACTCTGCGGTGTTCCACGTACCGGTGTCGGCCGAACCACACACCTGCCCAATGCGGACGACAGTAGTGCGCCAACCAGCGCTATTGGCCTTGGAGAGTATCTATCAAGTCAAGCAGGTTCAATCATACTGCATGCATACACAATGGAGGATTGCACATACCTGCTCGACAACATACTTTGACATCCCGTACCCAGTTCCGGCAGCTACAGCCGAATCTTCAATAGGCCTTTCCGGTACAATCGGACCGCGTTCTGCCATATTCCATGACTGTACAGCGGAGATGGAGGATGTGAAGATGAGATGTGCTCTCGGTAGCGCTGTCATGAGTCGCACTACGGCACTGATGTTGCTTTCAAAGGAGGAAAGCTTCAAATTGAAGTCCACTCGCCACGCTGAGTGGACAACGTGTGTCACGGAAGAACGAAGCTGTAGGGGAACCACTTAGCAGATGACCGCATACGAGCGAGATTACAGCGTACCTCTTGAAGGACAGCTTCTTCCAGCCCTAGGTCATCCCTATCAAAATCGACTCCCAAGAGAACGAGCTTCCTATTTGAGAGAAGTTCAAGAGGCACTTTAGCAGCAGCAAACGTCTTTCGATGCCGCTCCAACAGAGATGAACCGCGGTTGACCGCAACGACACGCGACACTCGCTCGTTCGCGAGAGCTTGAGCAAGAACGTTTGCTCCTACATTCCCGGTCGTTCCAGTGATCATAACGACTGCATGACGAGAACGGTCAACGTTGTCAAACTTGGGCGCTGGTGGCAAGCTGGCGGTATATTTCTCTACTAGCGTGGCTATTTGCTCTTCTGGAGATTGCGTATGCATGCTGGTAGACTCTTCCGGATGCACTAGCTTGGAGATCGCATCAGCGAGTTCACCCACTGTGGGATGAGAGAAGACAAAGTCGGAGTGAATCTCAAGGGCAGCAGAGCTGGCCGCAGGGTCGGGCGACGCTCGGAGTGCGCCTATGATCTTGTTGCGCAAGAAGGTTGCACTGAGGCTGAAACAACTAAGCATGAGCGGGCACAGTATAACGTTCATGGAACATTTGTATTCCATACCTGTCAAACCCTTGCTCGAAGAGATCTCTGGATTTGTCAATCGACCGGTGATCATTCAACAATGTCGCTTGATCGATCAGCCAACTCGTTAGATCTGACCCTTTCCAGGAAGGTGGTGGGTGAGCGGCATCGGAACTCGAGCTTTGCTCTACTGCTTCATAGCTGCGTTCAAGGAGTGCCGTGAGTCTCAAAGATGTGGCAATTGCAGAAGGGGATATATACTCACAGAGCATTGATTTCCTTCTCGTACAGTGCGAGTGATGGGGCGCGTATGACCGTTCCTTTCCCCGCACGAACCAAGGGACGCGACGCGTCCGTCACCAGAATCATCTCCTTGTAAATGCGAGCGAATGCCGGCATCACGCGATTAGCCTTTTCCACGTCCGGCCTGCACATGTGGACATGAGTTGCGGTCAGGAAGATGTCATGGACCATCAGCTCACCATAGAGCATTCCGAAACTGAGCAAGCACCGACTCGTCTTGCGGAGAAATCGCTACATTTGGTTGGGGCTCAACAAGCAGCCCGATTTGCGCGCGACCTCGCCCAAACATGAGAGCTCCCTGCACTAAGGGGCTCGAACCGATAGAGTATTCTTGTTCGACCGTTACTTTCTCGCCTGACAGTTCAACGATGAGGTTTTAAAACACTGCAGACGAGATCATGATGAATACTTGCCTGTACTGAGGATGATGAGGTCGTCTTTGCGACCAACGCTGAAGATGAGAAATCAGCATTAAATGATGGGGCATAAGACGTAATGAGATTCAGATACATACATTCGCCAGAGGCCTGGCTTTGATGGGTGTGGCTCCCATAGGTCAGACGTTGCATATCCATGCTCGCCATTTGGAAGATTTTCCACGCCCAACTGATGTCCGGGACAAGACTACGTTCGAAGGACGGTCACTCATCAATTTCGAGGAGCAAGTGAGAGTCGACGTACCAGAAACTGCAGCTCGTACGTACCATTGCCCTGTGGCACCCAGCGCGGATTGCATTCCTTGACTATTTGCATATATTTCCAATCAATGCGCGCCTTGCTCTTGACAGCGCATGTGTTGTTCGGGTCATCATCAAAGTCGAATATGCGCACAGGCGCACCGAACTCGGTACCGCCGTATATTGGATACAAATTGACACCTGCGGATACTAGTGTTGCTCCCGTAGCATCAGCTAGAGGACCGCCGCTGAAGCACTAGCAGTTCCAAGGAGCGTAAACACAAGGCGGACTTCACGAATATATGTCCGGACTTACCACCGCGGGTAGTGATGCGAGGTACTGTACGCTTTTGTCGTCTCTTGCCAAGGCCTATTCGCAACGTTCATCAGATACAAAACAACATGGCAGAGAAGGTAAGCTTACTTCGAGAAATGTAGGAACGAAGACGAGCACGTCGATGCGCGCACGGCGTGCAGCCGCAACAGTATTCTCCGGAGTTGGGACCAACGGTGGCAGCGAACGATGTGCTCGAGGAAAGAACAAGGCAGCGTATTGACCGGACACGAGGGGAGCACACAATTGAATGATGACCCCAAGCGTGTGGAACGCGGGCAGTGCCATGGGACCGAAATGCAAGCCCCGATCTCTGGCATCCACAAGAGACGACGATCGAGACCAGGATAACAAAGTGTTCCGTGTCTGAGGGATGGGTTTTGGAAAGCCCGTGGACCCAGATGAGTGAAGATAGAATAGAACATCAGACGGCGAGGGCGGAGCAGGCATCGTGTATGCTTCAGGGACCTCAGTGACAGAGGAGTTGACGAGTTCCGGAAAGATGTCGGTGATATCTGGCAGGTCATGAACGTGCACTTGGTATTCTGTGTTTGATGACCGGACAGCATCGACGAGGTGCGCAAACGTAGGCTGGAATATGACATGATGACAGCCGATGCGCTCGAGCATGTTGAGAACCGCAGGAGCGGAATTGCGAGGCATTATGGGGAACGGGACGAGACCTGCGCGCACCAGGCCAACTAATAGTGCATGGTAGAGGACTGTATCGCAGTTTATCAACAAAGCGACCACAGGCCTTCCAGGTGTTGAATGTATCGAGTGGAAGAGACGGGCTACCCGGTGCGTGGCGTATGCAAACTGCTGGAAGGATATTGTCGTGTTGCTAAGTTTCTCGTCCTCAGAGATTAGGTGATACATAGGACGAGTAGGATTGTGCTGTGCATGGAAGTCCAAGAATCCGGGAAGCACAGGGATGGAGCCATCGAGAGGAGGAGAAAGCGGAATATCAACAGTAGCCATAACTTGCGAGCTGGTGAAATCAATCAGAGTAAGTTGGGGTGCACCTCAGAACAGGCCTTGGTTATATAGCTTTCTCGCGCGCAGAAGATTATCAATTGAGCGCCCGGTCTCAACACCACTGATGTACGTAACGTCAAAGTTGACAGATATACTTACTAGTTCAAGAGTGAAACACACCGAGGTAGGAGAATCTTTCTTGTGGAGGCCCGGGTTGCAACCGGCATAGACAATACAGTACCGTTCTGAGAACCTCTTCCCTCGGCGAGACACCATACGCAACTGCCTCATGCTTGCTCCACGCATTGAACCACATCGGGCTGATACAACGGCATGACCGAACCATCGCCGAACTGCATGGCCAATGATATTCTGGTCAGTGATCGCGACAACGACATCAGATCTAGCATGCCATGAATAGAACTATACGAAGATGCAGTTCTGAGTCGTGCTTTGTGGCGTGCTAAAGGAGATTGCGACCCACCATCATGTGGCAACATTTCCTGGAGGCAGGCCAAACATAGACAAAGCTTGATCCTACCATCGACCTTGCGAGTGGATGAGCCCGCCAAAAATGCGTTCTGGCAGGTACCTCCGTTGTTCGATGTATCGGCGCTCTCTCGGATGCTTTCCCAGAGAATCTCGCGAAGAAGCACCGGTCAGGCCAGTTCAACCCCCGAGCTGCTGGTCAGAGGGTTCACGCGTCACGACTTCCGTATAGGCTCTAGCACGTATGAAGCGCTATGCGATGTCAGTCAAGGGATGCTGGCCTCGGGCACCCTACCGAGAGTCTGTATTATCCAGCCTATCCGGCAGCTGTCAAGGACTCAGACGCACGACACAGCTTCATGTCCGCACAATTGCTTGCGATCATCCGTCCGATCTGGCTTATATAGCGCTGGGCGTGAATACTGCGGGACAGCGGTGTTTGTAAATCAGCACCAGCCTGGCCAGCCGACGGTGATTATGACATTTTATTTTAGCAGCATGTCGACGGCGAACAGAATCTGGCTCACCTGCGGCTATGAAGATCGATTGAGCCACGAATGGCTATCGCATACTACTCTGGGGCACTAGAAAGACCGCCTAACTGCCATCGCGACGCGTTCTAGGCCAAGCAACCTTTGATCCTTGCTTACACATCCTTGAATGCCGTCCAGTTCGGCAAGGGCTGGAGGACGCGTCCCGGATCCGAATGAACACGTAGACGGGTGGTGACGCCATGGCTGTACTCCTGCGCAACATGACAGAGAATCGAAGTCTTACACCACGAGTAACCGCAAGAGCTCACAGCCTCGGGGTAGCCTCGGTGAAGAAATGCTGATCCGAGCCGGTGCGACCCCGACCCCGACGGACGTTGAGCGCTGAGAGCTGAGAGCTGGGTACCCGAGCGTCAGGTTCTCAGGACCTTTGACGTTAACTCCGAGGAGCTCATAATAGGAATGCAATGACCGCATCTCACAAACATAGCCTTAGGTCGTACGGCCGTGGTGGTCGGACCAGAACGCAAGTCTGATGATTCGAGAAAAGGTTGTATCGGGTGCTGGAAGCCATCAGTCCATGCAACGTGAAAAGGGACATGAATCGTAAGGTACGTACGGGCGACTTTAACCTCAGCGACCATACGACGAGCGTGGATACGAAAGATTTGGGCCACGTAGATATGGCGACTACTTGCACGGATGGGCCTCGTGGCCATCGGGTGCCACATGCCTATATAGAATTTGTCTTTCCTTTCCCCTCTCATGCTGCTCAACGCCAGGCAAATTATGGCAGTTCAATCAATAAAAATTGGTTTTTTATGCTGATGCAAATAAGCCGGATCCTCAGTAGTTTGGTTCTGGCGCATGCGCGGCAGCTTCAGCATTCTCTTCCGTATCTGTTGATGAGTTTGTTGCCGATGTAGTGATGTGAGGAGCGTTCCTCGTTTTCCTCGGGCCGTTCTCCATCTCCTGTGGAGTGTTATATATTGTTGGTGGCGGTAGTTTCGACATCGGAGAGGCAAGAGCATTGCCCGTAGGTGGCTGCTAATGATCTTGAGGAGAGATGACAAAATATATGTCCAGAATACTCAAAGAGAAAAAAAAGACCTCGAGCAGAGAGATGAAATATGAACTTGTTGCCGATATCACGGACGCCCCATTACCACGATCATGTGATCGTGTGCGCCAACTCCACAAACCTATGAGCTGTTGGATTCTGTTTGAATAGCTGCAGCCAGGAGTTTTTTCCGTTGAGCATATCCATCGCCAAACGAGCACTTGCGTCTATCGAAATCGGTATAGAGCTTCCTACTGCTCAAGCACATGTGCAACCGCTGACAAAGCCAGCACACCAACCTGTATCGCGCATGCCATACCGCCCACTCGTGCGCACGCGGCAAATATTGATGCTTTTCATGACTGGTACCATCTCGTCATATGCAACCCACCTTCGAAGAGGCATTGAAATACAACGATTCAAATCAATGGCATCACGGCGCGAGGCGTTGCCACATTGATCATTGGCCCAGAACACGCTTCTTTCCTCTAGATCTCGTGCTCCTCCCACGCACGCGGCCGTGCTACGTGCCTCACCCCAGCTTGAACATCCTCTCTTCATCCACCATCAGCACAGGCTAAACCTTCGTTGAACGACCTGCCAGTGCTTTGTGCCGATAAGGAACATGGCCTCCCCGATCAAGCTGAATGTCACGGTAAACGTCAGCAACGTGCACGATATGATCGTCACGCAGGCGAGACCACCAGCGCGACAATCTTCGAGCTCTGCTCGTTCTACTGCCGCGAAGGCATCCAATTCTGCGAAGAAGGTTACATCTAAGCCTACGGTGAGCAGAGATGGTCGAGCCAACCTATATTAGTGGACTAAGAAGGACCACCGAACGTAGGCTAAGAAGCCCGCCGCAGCCAAGGGATCAGTTCCTGCCAAAGCTACGTCGTCTCAGGTGAGTCATAGAACCATGCGTGCACATCGTATTCACACTTTTATCGTGTAATTCAGCCCAAAAAGCTGGCCGCTGCTAAGACCGCTGCGAAGACCGCTGCGAAGGGAACAGCAAAGGGGGCTGCGAAGGCAACGACAAAGGAAGCCGCGAAGGGAACGGCAAAAGGGGCCGCGAAGGGAACGGCAAAGGCAGCCGCGAAGGAGACGACTAAGGTCACGGTGAAATCGGAGCGTTGAAAGGACTATTTCGTGTGGGTTATTCTACGTGCAATGTGCGAGCAGGAGGCGCCTATGACGGTTATCCGGAAATCGAGCGTGATCGCACGGGAGGCCTTCGAACCAGCCGGCGGGCAATATCAATAACGAGTTGGGTGTAGATCTCCGGCCCTCAGTTTTGTGCATACTGCGGAGCCGTGTTTCACGCTGCCTGAACACCATGAGGATTAACAAGCAATACATAACTGCAGCGCTTGTGTTCAACTGACAGCTGTTTACGGAACTCATTCGTGCGATGTGCACTTGGCTACGCAAGCAGCACCTGCGTTGATCGTAGTGAGCTGCTGCTTGGCTAAGGTCATATCCAGCTTTGATACATTAACACTGACGATTTCGATGGACCTGATGGACATCCTGAACTCTGTTTCAGGAGGTTGCACGAGCCGCAATACAAATACAGGCGATTTCAGAAGGTTCTGGTATTTTATCAATCTGCCGCCTCCACAATGCCGAGATATTCACACTAAGTCACAGAACAGACCATTCCGCTGTCAAATAACGTACGGGTTCGGGCCTTTGTTCTCGCCGGTAAACAGCATTCCCAGTGCGAGGTGTTTCCATCTTGAGAGACCAGACCGCGATATGCACGTTGAAGAAAACGTCTCCTCGGCTTCTTTCCTCTCGTGCTCCTCACATGCGGCAGTATTTCGGCAGATAAAGGATGTGCATCACCCCAGCAGCAGCCCTCTCTTCATCCCCCATAAGCACAAGCTAAATCCTCGCTGAACGTTCAGCCAGCACTTGAGGTCGATAAGAAACATGTCCTCGTTCTGCCTGAATGTCACCGTGAGCCTCCCTAATGTGCGCACTTCGACCGTCACGCAGACGATAACTGCAACTGCAACGTCAACATCCACCGATACCGATACCCCTCCTACGACGGAGAAGACATCCGATTCTGTGAAGAAGGTCACGCCTACGGTGAGCACAGATAGCCGTGCCAACCTATACGAGTGGACCAAGGGCTTAACAACGATCGATGTAGGTTAACAAGTCCATTGCAGTCAAAGCCCCCGCCAAAACTCCGGCCGCGAAGGAAATGGCGATATCGAAGCCCACTGCAGTCAAAGCCGCTGCCAAAATCCCGGCCGCGAAGGAAATGGCGATGTCGAGGCTTTGAAGGACTATTCCGCATGGGATATCCTACGCGCGGCCTGTGAGCAGTGCAGACGCTGAATCGGAGTGCTAGAGTAATGGGGTTGATGTCCAAAATATCGAAAAGGGAAGGAGTTTTCGGACGTATAGGCGCATATGCCGCATTGTAAAGGGGTACACTTTGTTGAACAAAGTAGCAGGGTACGAATGGTCGCTTTTCGTAATTTACTTCTCTAGTTTAGAACCCGACGACGCGCTGACTTGTCATTCCGGGGTATTGAGAGCTCGGAGAGGGCATCATCAATGCGTGCAGGGCGCCTACTAGTATGACTGACGGTCGGCCACCCACAGAACAGACCATTCCGCTGTCAAAGAGCATGCGGCTTCAGGCCTTTGTTCTCGCCGGCGAACAGCGTTCCCAGAGGAGGCGTTGCCATTATGAGGGATCAGAACGCGACGTGCACGTTGAGCTGAAAGCGCCTCCTCGGCTTCTTTCCTCTCGTGCTCCTCACATGCAGCAGTGTTGCCGCAGATAAAGGATGTGCCTCACCCCAACAACATTCCTCTCTTCATCCACCATCGGTACAGGCTAAGTCCTCGCTGAACGTCCTGCCAGCGCTTGACGTCAATAAGAAACATGGCCTCGTTCAAGGTGGATGTCACCATAAACCTCCCTAACGTGCGCACTACGACCGTCACGCAGACGATAACTGCGACTGCAACGGCAACATCCACCGATACCGATACACATCCTACGACCGAGAAGACATCTGATTATGTGAAGAAGGTTATGCCTACGGTGAGTACAGATGGCCGTGCCAACCTATACGAGTGGACCAAGGGCTGAACAACTACCGATGTAGGTTAAGAAGCCTACTGAAGTCAAGGCCGCTGCTAACACTGCGTCCCCGAAGGAAATGGCGATGTCGAGGCCCACTGCGGCCAAAGCCGCTGCTAAAACTCCGGCCGCGAAGGAAATGGCGATGTCGAGGCTTTAAAGGACTATTCTGCATGAATGATCCTACGCGCAGTCTGCGAGCAGTGCAGAAGCTGAATCGGAGCGTCAGAGTCATGGATTTGATGTCAAAATATTGAAAAGGGAGGCAATCTGAAGTATAGGCACATATGCCACATTGTCAAGGCATAGACTTTGTTGGGCAGGGTAGCAGGGTACGAACCATCACTTATTGTAATTGTCTTTTTGGTTTAGAACCCGTCGACGCATTTGCTTGTCATTCCGGGTACTGAGAACTCAGCCTAGAGGGCATCATGGTGCCTCAGAACAGACCATTTCTCTGTCAAAGTGCGTGCAGGAACTCAGCCTAGAGGGCATCATGGGGCCTCAGAACAGACCATTTCTCTGTCAAAGTGCGTGCAGCTTCCCCTTGTTGTCGCGGTGGCCGGCATGCCCAGTGTGAGGCGCTGCTATCTTTAGGAACCAAAACGCGGCATGCACGTTGAAGAAAGCGCCTCGGCGGGCTTCTTTCCTCTCGTGCTCCTCACATGCGGCAGTGTTTCGGCAGATAAAGGATGTGCCTCACCCCAGCAACATTCTTCCCTTCATCCACCATCAGCACAAGTCCTGCCGGTACCTTGATGTCGATAAGGAACATGGCCTTCCCGTTCAAGCTGAATGTCACCGTGAACGTCAGTAACGTGCACAATACGACCGTCACGCAGGCAAGAACACCAGCGGGACAATCCTCCTCTACTCATCCAACGACCACGAAGACATCCGATTCTGTAAAGAAAGCTGCATCTACGCCTAGGGTGAGCATAGATGGCCCAGCCAACCTACATGAGTGGACCAAGGAAGAGGCTGAACAACCACTGGCCGTAGGCTAAGAAGCCCACTGCAGTCAAAGGCTCGGTTCCTGTCAAAGCGGCATCGTCTCAGGTGAGGCATAGAGCCGTGCGTGCATTTCATATTCGGGAGTTTATTGTGTTCTTCAGGCCAAAAGGCCGGCCGGTGCCAAGACGCCGGCCGCGAACGAGGCAGCGAAGGGGGCTGCGAAGTCGAAGCACTAACAGAGTATGTTGTTATTCTACCTGCGAGCGGCGCAGAAGCTGAGTTGACACGATACAGTGATGATGTCGATGTTAACATTACCGAATGGGAGGGAATCTGACGTACGGACGCATTCGCCGTATTGTCACGGCGTACAATTTGTTGGATAGGCCAACAAGGCACGAACCGCCTCTTTTCGTAATATCATTCTCGAGTCTTGAATCCGATGATCCATTGACTTATCGTTCCGGTACAAAGTTTAAGAACGCCAGGAACAACGCGTGCATTCCCCGGTGATGAAGGTGATCGCATGAAAAGCCTTCAAACCAGTCAGCATGGAATATTAAGAACAATTTTGCATGAATGAGGTTTCCGGCTCTCAAACCTGCACAGCCGTGTTGGGCGCTGTCTAAACAAAACGAGGATCCAGAAGCAATACATAACTGCAGCGGGGTCCGTGTTCAACCGACATCCGCTTGTGGAACTCATTCGGGCGATATGCACTTGGCTGCGCGAGCAGCACCGCATTCGCGATGTGCGTCAGTCAGAGTTGCGCGGCGACCTGTGTTGATCGTAACGAGCTGAGGCTGCTGGGCTAAGATCATACCTAGCGGACTGATACGTCAAGACTAATGATTTTGAAGTAGCTGGTGGACGTCCTGAGCTCTGTTTCAGGAGGTTGCACGAGCCGCAATACAAATACAGATGCTTCAGAAGATGATCTTGATGTCTCATCAATCTGCCACTTTCACAATGCTGGGAGAACCTCAGTCAGCCCACAGAACAGACCATTCCGTTGTGAAAGGGCGTACGGCTTCGGGCCTTTGTTCTCGCCGGTGAACAGCATTCCCAGTGTCGGAAACGTTGCCATCTTGAGGGACCAGACCGCGATATGCACGTTGAAGAAAGCGTCTCCTCGGCTTCTTTCATCTCCTGCTGCTCACATGCGGCAGTATTTCGGCAGATAAAGGATGTGCCTCGCCCCAACAACATTCCTCTCTTCATCCACCGTCAGCACAAGCTAAATCCTCGCTGAACGTCCTGCCAGCGCTTGACGCCGATAAGAAACATGTCCTCGTTCAACCTGAATGTCACCGTGAACCTCCGTTCCGTGCGCAATACGACCGTCACGCAGACGATAACTGCAACGGCAACGGGAACATCCACTGATACCGATACTCCTCCTACGCCGGAGAAGACATCCGATTCTGTGAAGAAGGTTATGCCTACGGTGAGTACAGATGGCCGTGCCAACCTAGACGAGTGGACTAAGGGCTGAATAACTACCGATGTAGGGTAAAAAGCCCACTGCAGTCAAAGTCGTCGCCAAGACTCCGGCTCCGAAGGAAATGGCGATGTCGAAGCTTTAAAGGACTATTCTGCACGAATTATTCTACGCGCAGCCTGCGAGCAGTAAGAGGCTGAATTGGACCGCCAGAGTCATGGAATTGATGTCCAAAATATCGAAAAGGGAGGAAATCTGGTGTGTAGGCGCGTACTACGCTGCATTGTCAAGGCGTACACTTTGTTGGATAGGGCAGCAGAGTACAAACCGTCACTTTTTGTAATTTTCTTCTCTGGTTTAGAACCAGACGACGCGTTGACTTGTCAGACTCATTCCGGACATTGACTCAGAGAAGTCATCATCAACGCTTGCAGCGTGCCTTAGTATGACGGTCAGCCACCCACAGAACAGACCATTCAGCTGTCAAAGGACGTACGGCTTTCGTTTGTTCTCGCCGGTGAACAGCATTCCCAGTCCGAGGCGTTGCCATTATGAGGGACCAAAACGCGACATGCACGTTGAAGAAAGCGCCTCCTCGGCTTCTTTCATCTCCTGCTGCTCACATGCGGCAGTATTTCGGCAGATAAAGGATGTGCATCACCCCAGCAGCAGCCCTCTCTTCATCCCCCATAAGCACAAGCTAAATCCTCGCTGAACGTCTTGCTAGCGCTTGAGATCGATAAGAAACATGTCCTCGTTCAAGCTGGGTGTCACCGCCGTGAACCTCATCAACGTGCGCAATACGACCGTCACGCAGACGATAACTGCAGCGGCAACGGGAGCATCCACCAAAGCACATCCTAAGATCACGAGGACATCCGATTCTGTGAGGAAGGTTAACCTACACCTACGGTCAGCATCGATGGCCGAGCCAACCTACATAAGTGGACCAAGGAAGGGCTGAACCGTAACCACTGACCGTAGGCTAAGAAAATAAACCCACTGCAGTCAAAGGCTCGGTTCCTGTCAAAGCGGCATCGTCTCCGGTGAGGTGTAGAGCCGTGCGTGTATTTCTTATTCTCAGATTAATCAGTGTGTTCTTTAGGCCAAAAAAAAAACAGGCCAAAAAACTGGCCGCAAAGGGGACGGCAAAGGGAACTGCGAAGTCGAAGAACTAATAAATTCTTTTGTTATTCTACCTGCGAGCAGCGCAGAAGCTGAATTGGCACAGTGGAGTCATGGTGTTGATGTAAACATACCCGAAAGGGAGGGAATCTGACGTATAGACGGGTACGCTGCGTTGTCACGACGTAAGATTTGTTGGATAGGGCAGCAGGGTACGAACCGTCTCTTTTCGTAGATTTATTTTCGAGCCTTGAGTCCGACGATCATTGACATGTCATTCGACGACATCGAGAGCTGAGAAGGGGCATCATCAACGCGTGCAGGGTGCTATGGCGGTCAGCCGGAAATCGAAGGCGATTGCACGAGAAATCTTCAAACCAGCCAGCAGGCAACATCAATAACGACTTGGATGAGACTTCCGGCTCTCAGTGGCGTGCCTCCCGCACAGCAGTGTTAGTAGCTGCGTGCACAAAACGAGGATCCAGAAGCACTACATAACCGCAGAGCTGCTTGGCTAAGGCCATACCTGGCGAATTTATACATCAAGACCGACGATTTCGAAGTGGTTTATGAGGTTACACGAGCCGCAATACAAATACAGACGCTTCAAAAGACCTTGATATCTCATCAATCTGCCACCTTCAAAATGCTAAGAGAACCTCAGTCAGCCCACAGAACAGACGTTTCCGCTGTCAAAGGACGTACAGCTTCCCTTTGTTCTCGCCAGTGAATAGCATGCCCAGCGCCTTCGGCGCGTTCTCCAGACCATTGACGATATGATATTGCTGTTTCAACTTCCCTTGCTTCATCAGTTCCGCCAGATACTGTTTGCCTTCGGCTAAGCGCGGGAGATAGTCGATTCTGCAGAATGACGACGCGTGGGAGAGGTGTCGGCTGAACGTGGTGGCGTTAGTACTTACAAACTGAATCCCTCCATCTTGGCACGCTTCATGCGCAGCTGGACGTGGTTCGTAAGCGGCTTGAGCTGCGTCGAGTCTATCATGGACAATTTATCAAGACAGCACGGTCGGTGAAACGTGAAGATGCTTACTGTACTCAGAAATGCTTCCTGTATCATCGCATAGAGGAGTTGTCAGTCAATGAGGACGAGAGGCGTGGACTCATCTTACCGCACAACACGACACGCGCATGCGTGTTCATCAGCGTCAGTGCAAAGTCGAGCATATCTCCGCCGACATTGTCAAAGAACAAATCGAAGCCGCCAATCTCTTTGGCGAGGGCCTCGTGGAATGTCGGGCTCTTGTAGTTGAACGCCTTGGTCACGCCGACCGTCTTCTCGAGATATTCGCACTTAGCCTGCGAGCCCGCAATGCCGTAGACTTTGGCGCCTTTCGCAAGACCGAGCTGGCAGACGAGCGATCCGGTGGCCCCTGCGGCAGCGGAGACGAGCAGAGTCTCGCCGGCCTGGATTTTGCCGACATCTATGAGACCCTGGATCGAGCGCTGTGAGTAGGTTGGCCCGGTGACGCAATAACGTTCGACACACGAAGTAAGCAGTGAGCCCTGTGCACGGTTTGTGAGCATAGCTCCGAAACAAGAGCTAAAACACAAACCGATATGGCCCAGGGCTCCTAACGCGTCGACAATATTAGCGTCATCTGGTACACTTGACAAAGCTCAGGAAGTGTCTGCTAGTGAGCACATTTTTGTGACAACCTACACGACCTTGGTGAACTGTTCGGCATCAGCTACGACATACTCCGTCCATCCTACGTTTCTTCATCAGCGACTGCACTTTGTAGGCCAAGAGTGCATAGACAGATCGCTCACCGACAAATCCGCTAACGATGTCACCCGGGACAAGAGGGCTGTTCTTGCCGGACTCGACAACAGTGCCGACCCCTATGCACCGGACGGGTTCGCCTATCTGCGTCGGCGTGGTAAATGACTTTATATCGTCGAGCAGCATGCGCAGCGCAGGATCAACGGAGAGATATTGGATGCGTATGAGGACTTGGCCATCTCCAGGCTTAAGGTCAAAAGGCAGGGTTTCCTGTCGAAAGGTGGACGAATCCACGGGCCCTGTGGGTCTCTGTACGAGGATGATACGGTTGTAGTGCGACGGAGTCATCTTATTTGCTGATGGATATTGCGGAGGAGTTCAAGAGGAAGATGCTTCGTGATGTTAACGTTGGGCGAGGACACATCAGGTAGATTTATAGGACTCCCGCAGCGACCAGTGAGTCAGCCTGAGATTTCCCGGGTCGGCCGCTGATTAACGTCTTTGCTGGTTGCCGAGCGAACACATCATACTCTCCTGCGGCTTGCAGGCTGCCGCATCAGTGGCCCAAACAACGCGTCATCTACGGCTTTGATCAGACGCTGGCCAAGAAAAATGCTCGACATTGCTGTGCTTTTTGTTAATAAAGCGTCATAAAATACGATACGACTTGGCCAGAGTCAAAAAAAAAAGCACGTTGATTGATCACCTGGAACCCCAACTCCCTGTTTCGCGATGTCCAATTTGACGGCTCTACATCGCAGCATTCTCAGTCCGATCATGATCAGCTAAGGAATTATTCGTTAGTATAGCCATATTTGCACTATCGTGGTACACAATGAACACTTGGAAGCAACAATGCGAGATATGACGCAGCGCAAGTCGTGCACAAGTGATTATTGCAGTGGACGCTGCGTGGCTAGTAAAATGTGATCGAAAGTTTACGGTGTTCAACAACAATACATACTAGCGGCACTGTGAATCAGAAACGCATTCTCTGGCGGAGAAACTTTCAGTTTCATGCAGCAGTAACAAACCACTGGTGGGTCGAAGCGCATATATGAAAGCTTTTGTAGTAAGTGCATCTGTGCGACTTGCGTTCGGCGCCAAAATCTGAGATCTACTATCCCGTCTTCGGTTACGGTGGCTGCCTGCACTTTGCTCTCGTACACTGACCGTGGCCGTACCCAGCGGTTCCATTGCGACTAAGCGAACTCTCGGCTACGCTCGCTTGCTGTGTTCACTGCTCACCTCGCCACCGGCAAGCCTGGGTCGGCAGTTTTCTCCAGTCTTCGCTAGTTTCAGCCGCTGCGCAGCATCGGATTTAGTGCTTCTTGCAGCGGGCTGCGACAACAAGGCAGCGCTCCTTCAAACCTGTGCTACACCCTCTTTGCTCTCGATTTTATCTTTGCGATCTGCGCTGGGCTCATATTCAAGCGTCTTGTTCGACCCACATCCCCCTTGACGACGAACACTTTGTTATTCAGCCACTCTCCGCTCAGGTCGATTACAAGATACTCGTTGATTAGCCGCAGTAAATGGTGAACTCAACGTTATGCCCATCCGACAACAGCGAGACGGTGGAGCAGGATAGTTTCTGGAGCAACAATGGCATCGATTGGGATGCGCACCGAGTAGGCTGGCTCATTGCTGGCGTCTGTGCAGTGGTTGTACGTCTTTTCTTTGCGAATAGAGTGGCTGTGCAAAGTTCACCGGAATAAACGCGCGTTCATCAGACGGTTCTGCTCACCGTGATCAACGTGCTGCAACATGCTAGGTGAGAACCCTTGAGTTTGATCCCCGTGGTGACAGGCTGATGTCGGGCTTCGCAGACATTATACCAATCCTGGGGAGCAGCGTCAGATGTACGGCTCCTCCCTCATTTCCTCTTTGCGCTCCCATTGATTCTTTTGGGATGATGATGATTTGCCACAGCCTCCGGGTCCTGTACATGCCTGCTGTGTATGCTGTGATATCCTTCTTCTCGTACCGATACTTCCGAAGCTACACATACTACTCGCTCATTGAATCTGGTGCGTTGTGTGACTTCAGCGCTTCTACCTGATTCTTAATTCCATTACCAGCGTATGAGGTGTGTGATGATCGTAGATGAAGGCCAGTAGGAGCCTGACCAGACGCCCAGTCCGTAACCCTTAGCGCCTTCCTGTGGGTACCTCATCTCTACCCCCACACGCCTATCTGACAATCGCTAGACTCCTACTCATTGAGTACGTTGCTGCAACGACGAAAGACCACAATGTCGACAACGCAATATCAAGTAAGGAGAAGAAAAAACTGCCTCTTCCGGTTTGTCTTCAACTCTCCGCGACCGCTACTATCGTTGCTTATGAAATGTTAGTTTTGTTGCTTGAGATACAGACCGACCAAGGTATGTATTGAGCGAGTGTGAATGTCTCATTGCTCACCTCGGCGCGTAGGCCTACTTCATGTATACCCTCAAGGTAGTCTCGTTGTCTGGTACGTATGAAAATATAGCCTACTCACCGCGATATACAGTGGTCTGTTCTCCAATATGTGATCATTAGGCCGCGTGAGTTGCCACAGCACGTGGTCGACAAGTTTACTTCGTTGATGCTCAGTATCTCGCCGGTGTCGTAGTAATATCGATTGTCGGCATCATCTGTCAAGCAGAGGGTGTCCTATGCGAATCTGGATCTTGGAGTTTCAAGACTGCGAATGCGTATCTCGAGGTGGTTGATGGCGTCAGTATAACGTATGCATTCTGAGCTTTCTGTCCCAACTGCCTAGCCTCATGCGTGTCAACTTGAATACAACTTCTCAGCATCGCTCTGTACGGCCTTATCATCTTCTATGCTCTCACGAAAGAAGAGTTGCAAGGCAAACGGCCGCTCTCGAAGTTCCTTTCCATCAAACTCATTGTCATGTTCACGTTCTATCAAGGTCTGGTTGTGAGTGCACATTGCTTCTGCGTTAAATGAGAGCGCTTAATTATCTTCAGTTCGATGCACTCGAAGGGAGAGTCATCCATGGTACGTCGTCGCTGGCTTCGAGAGTACACTTTTCATCACACATTCTTTCCATCAGCAACGGAATACTGGACGGAGACGAACATCGCGGACGGTCTGAACGCCCTAGCCACTTGTATTGAAGTGCGTCGGTATTATCATGTGTCCCGTGTTTGTGTTTCGCAAACTGATCTTGAGTAATAGATGGTGTTCTTCTCGGGCTTCATGTTGTGGTCATTTTCCGCATCTGAATACAAGCAGTCGGGTGTGACCACGAGAATTTGGCGGCCACTCTGGGATAGGTGAGTAAATTCTCGACTGTTGAAGCAGCTCCTCACTCACAAACCCTCTCTCAGCATCAACTACAGTAAATAGGCGTCTATCATCGTCTTCACACGTTCCCTTACTAACCATCCCATCTTCTATTAGGCGACTTCGGTGTCGAGATCGTCGGCTCGCTCAAGTTCTTCTGGGACTACATGCGGCACAAGCCGTACACGCGCGGCCCGCGCGTCACCACGGTCGACGCGGACGGCAAGCCGTTCACACGGATGAACTTCGATGAGGCGTTTGGCGTCGCTGCGAACGGCCGCCCGTACACGTCGTACGGAGCTGACGTGGACCTGAGCGACGAGAATATTCGCTTGGCGCCGTATTCGTATGGAAGTCCCGAACAGGCGGTGGCGATCAAGGCTGATGGAATAGAGTCAAGCGAGGGTTTGGTGGAGCCTAGGCCTCTTGACTTGCCGGGGAGGAAATCGTCACGGTCACCAACACTCCGGTGAAGCATCGAGTGTGGCATGTCTGTTCGGAATATGTTTGGATAGTCGACACCCATGTGGGTCCACCGCGGGACTGTGTCTTGATCTGGCGTACAATATGTTTTCTTCATTTTTTTCATCGTTCAATGATTATACCTCTTTTGAAACCAGTACTCAGCAAAGGTTGTGCGACCACGGAACGTTTAGACCGCGTAGTTCGACGAGTTGAATTCTGGACTTTGATGCCAGTTGCCATTTTGGGCGTTGGGCGTGGCTGACATCCTTGTTCGCGGCCGTCGTCGTTGCGATCCTTGTCGCCGCTATTATTCTCGACGTTCTCGCCGCTCTGCGCTCCTTTTTATTGCTCACGCTCCCTGTACAATACTCTCTTTAAGCTATTGCGGCACACCTCTGAACAACAGAATGGCGATTGGTATGAAGAAGATCCGCTCAGGACATGTTCTGCGTTCCAGCAGGAAACGCGACAGTGAGTCCTAGCAGCAGACGTCCAATGGATGTACCTGAAGTCTTTGCAGCCTGCTCTTCTGGAGGATTTTACAAGTCTCCCAGCTCGGGGGATGTCATCTCGTCGACCAGTCAGGTCAACATCACCTGGGATACTTCCTGCTTGAACACGACGGCTGTGGACATATACCTGTTCGCCCCGGACACAGAAACGCCGCGAATACACGCGTGGGAGGGAGTCGACTATGCATTTGGCAGCTATAACACAACATTTCAGCCATCTTGGTGGAATTCAACGTCGAGTGTCCGTCTACAGCTCGAGATTATCGAGTCCGGCGATACCCTCTTCATGGCGACCCTCCCCGCAGGTCCCATCTTCAATATGACCTACAGCGGAAGCCAGAATAGCAGTACCTCTCAAGACAGCTCATCTGAGGCGATCACGAAGGTAGACAACGTCCCATCCACCTCTCATGGACTCTCCGGTGGTAAAACCGCTGCGGCGGTGATCTTGCCACTACTGGTGGTCATCGCCATCGTGGTTGGCGTGTACGTATGGCGAAGTCGGAAGAAAGGCAGGAGCGAGCGGAAGCGGTTCAGCGTTGCGATTGACAAGCGCATGTCGACCATCTCGTCGGAGTGGAAGTCGGTCACTACGGCGGGCGCGACGGCGGCGATTCGGAACAGCATGCATGTGTCCGAGCGCACGTCGACCTCCCCGGAGAACCGCTCGTCGTTTTCGCTCAGCAACATCCGTTCTTCGAGCACATTTGCGGTGGAAAGCGGGCATGCGGGCATCGGCACGCGCGGGGTGCAGATGATGACGGAGAAGCCAAGTTTGGACTTCTCAGCGCCGCACATGGCGCAGGTGCGCCCGAACGTGCGCACGTCGGCGTACAGCGCCGCGGACAGAACATCGCGTGTCTCGCGGGTGTCCTTCGCGCCGGATACGCGTCCGTCCTCAGAATACCGCCGCACGCGGGCATTCCATGCTGACCATGTCCCTCCGCTTCCGGATGCCTACACGCGAGATCCCGGAGAGATGTCGCCCACGCAAACGGAGGGTCCCATGACTTTAACAGTAGACGACATTCGGGCGCGTATGGCTGGTCAGGACGTACCGCCGCGTACGAGCATGGATGCAGTTCTCCCTGCCTTATCTAGTGAGTCCACAACAACGAATACTCTTGCATGTTACTTATGCTCTTCTTTAGTGATGCGTACCGGCAGGTCCAGCGCAGAGGACGAGATGGTTTTCCCTGGCGCTTCCACGTTGCCACCTTCCCAGCACACTACCTTACCCACTGCACCTGAGCCAGTCCACCAGTCCACCGTATCTCCGATCGCGAGCACCATCCCCTATGTCTCTGCAGCGATGTCCCCGGACGCCATGCTTCGTGCCTATGCTGACCAAACGCTACGTTCACCGCCTCCCTCAGCAGCTCTTGCACTGCTTCCGCCCGCTGCAAATCTAGGGAGCGGCACGATGCGTATACTTTACACGCCTGCATCACCTCCAGATGCTGCTGCGCCGCACCCACCCCCGCCGGCTTCACCTGAGTCCCTGTATCCGACTACGCCAGAGCCACGCACGTCTGCCGCGGTCGATGCGCAGAGGCAGAGTTTTGCCACATCTGCGGAGGAAACGCACCTCGGCGAAGAGAATGTGCACTTTGGCACTGCGCAGTAAACTCGGCGGATTTGCCACTGGGTTTCACAAGCAAGCAACCCGTCGTCCCAATCTAACCGATCTGAATTCGATGTACTGTGTATGGTTGTACTTCCGACGCTGAACACATCACGGGACTGTCCACTATTAGTTCTCGACGAACGGTCCCAGCTATCTACGGCGATTATTCTCGTTTCTTTTCTTTTCGGTACAACCTCGTACCTCGATTCTCTCGAATTTGTCTTTGGTCCTCTCTCTGGTACTATGCCTCCTGTCTGTGACCCTGTCCCTTCAGCGGCTGACTCCCATCGTCGATCGCCTCTCACGACGAAGTGCCGCGATTTGCGCTATGGGCCACTCTCACACGTCCTAACATTTATTCTAATATGTCGCTGTGCGTTTGCGTTTGCTTGTTGAGTTATCTGTCAATTATATTCCCGACCTACTGTCTAGCAGAGTCGCTCCTGTGTAAACATATTTCTATCATCGTTGACGATAACAATTCCATTTCCTTCGATTGAGATAAGGGATCGCTCAATGTTCTGATACAGATGATGTTCAGTGCATCTCAGTATGAATGATTGTACTTAACGGACGGTTCTGCAGCCACCGTTCCGCAGCAGAACGACATCGGCGCTGTAATACGCGATGTTGACGCGCAACTGATCCGCACCAACCACGCAGCCTTGACAGTACACTGCTCGACATTCTTTAGTTCTGAGCATACGCTGTATGACCACCCCAGATCTCCCCGGGGCTACTGGGTCCTTTCTTTTGCCCGAGCTGAAGCATTGCTCTGGTCAATAATGTTTCACATATCTCACATCTACATAACGACAGCAATGGTATGAATACACAGAAGTTGTACAGAGGATGGGACATATGCTGGCAAAACAAGGACACTCAGTTCAACGCAAGACGTTCAAGACCTTGAGGGATCTATAGAGCAGATTAGATGAAATCGTCTCCTGAGCTAATTGCTATCTTACCTTCCAACCGTGGGTATTCGCGGCTCTCTTGTATCCTTCGAGAGCCTCGTTCATGTTATAGGCCCTGGTAGCAGACCACAGTGAGCTGGAAATGACGTGCGAACGGTAGGAAGACGAACTGATCCCAGTTACTCGCAAGGCGAGCAGGTCGTGGATCGAGGTTTGATATCGCCAGCTTTATCTGCAGCAAGATCGCGGATATGCTTGCAGCGAAATTAGCTTGCGAGCGTGCCAAGTGGACCAAGGCATGTTTTCACCTGTAGCTTGGTAGCCAGCCTAACGGCACCTTAGTAATTGTAGATGAATTTGCTTTGCGAAATGTAACTCACCATCTGCAGTCAACAGATCCATGCACATCGATCCTCCTGTACAAGTCAAAATGTTTCACTTCGGCAAATATGTGAACAAGCGGGCAACTTACCACCAGTGACATGGCCTCCTCCGCCCTGATTTGTTGATGTTCAGCTAAGCATATATGGCACAAGGAAACTACCTTACACGTATGAAGGGAAGGAACCGCGGTTTCAAGATACGGAAGAAAGGCGGCGCATGCGGATAGCTCGGTGGAAAGCGTATCTCGAATACGATAGAATTGATACCTCTGTCAAATCAGCTTTTAGCAAATTGCCCCACAGCAACTCTTCCGAAAACGAACTGGGCTTCCATGTCCTTCGCGATCGGTAACTCTTTCTCAAACGAATGCAACTCGACAATCCACTGGAAGAGATTATCGCCGATCAGATCAGGAGGCATATACCAGCCGAGCTCCCTCAGGCTCTTCGCTTTTTCTTGTTCGCGGAGCATGGATTTCAACTCCTTCTGCAGCGCCATGGTCGCCTGTGGAGTCGCCTCGCTGGGCGGAGGCAGTAAATGTTCAACAGTCGCGTTGACCCAGGCAGCATCGTGAACCCAGTCGTCCGCATTGGTGGGCTCTTCGCATACTGCAGGATCCGGAGCGACCGCTTGATAATCAAATACTCTCATGTCGTCTTCATCGAAGAGGTCCATTGCATCGGATTGCTCTTGCTGACGGACCTCGAGAAGCTTCACGAGCTTGTAAGAGGGATCTGGAATGCGAATCGACGCCGTGGACATAGTGATGGGATGACGTGGATCCAAGGGGACAAATGGGATCACTTCCTGCTCAACTTCCGTCTCAGTATTATCCTCTGGAACCTCCTCGGTGTTTGAAGCCGATTTTACAAGGAGATAACGGCTGAGAGATCGAGCGCTCTGCAGTTATAATCTTGCTGCAAATCACTCGAGATCCGTGACGTACCACATAATCCATTCGGTATCCTTCACGACGAAAAATGGGTTTGTCCTGACAAACTGTTGTGGAAGGTTCACGATTTCTGCCAGAGCACAGCACTGCTGAGCACCGATCGAACTGTTCGACCAACACGACGTGCTCGTCCTGGCATACGTTTGCATCGAGAGAGATCCTTCCTTTGAAAAGTACACGCCTGTGCACCATTAGCCTGCGCAACGATAAATCACATCCTAACGTACCGTCACCGTACGCCCGACCGTTAGCAATAGTCTTATACCATAGGCCATGGCGGATGATCTGCGAGACTTAGCTGGAACACATCAGCGACAGAGTCGACTCACTGAATGCCAATTCTTCAGCGGAGAGCCATGGAAAGCCTGTTACAAACATAATTAGATTGCCTGTGAAAAGCCGCAGGTGTAATACGAACGTAGAGCGCAGGATAGTCTAAGGCGTTGGGATCCTGGTTCTGGGCCGCCTTCAACGCAGTCTTGAATCGGGCTTCTACATCAGGAGCTCCTATGCTGAAGCGAAACTGTCTCCAAGTAGAATCTAGAAGCAGTCCACAAATTGTGTTAGCTGAAAATGCGGCCAGATCGGACGTCACGCACCGATGCCCTGGATGCAATCCACAGGGCTTAGCTCCTCCACATGAGCTGTGCATGATGCAATACACCTGTTTGTCATCAGTAATGCTGATTCGCTCAAAACAATCGGGGTAACACTGTACCACCGAAGCACCAGCCAAGCGGCACTAGGGGTCTGGGGGTTCATGTCGTGAAGCCTCGGCTTCGCCTTACCAATGGTATCATGTTTATCTAGAAACTTCTTTACATCCGCAATCTACAGGCAGAAATCACGATCTGTGCCGGCACTGAGATCAAAGGAATAAGTGACAGGACGTACTGGAGGCAAAGTCTGTATGAGGTTCGCTATGGCTGACTGCATCTGTTGGAGAGGTCAGTCGACCGCATCGACAAGCATGATATGCAGAACTGCTGTACCTGTGGTAGAGTCAAAGTGTCGAAGTCGCAAAGGCTATCGGGCTCGCCCGTCGGTGCGCCTCCGGGGTTGGCCACTCGAAGACCCATTCCGATGGGCAAGGGATTATCAAGTGCCCCTTCCCGCGCTGCCACGAAGGCTAACGAGACAAGAAGGTCGACAACCTCGGGGTTGGCACGAATCTCGTACTGCGGCGAATGGTGTAAGCGAGTTTGCAGGAACTTATGGTCTAAGCTCAGAAGACGGACCTCAAGCGACAGACCACGATTCAGGAAGTAGTATTGGTAAGTACAGAGCCTCGAGTCACAGACGTATGGCTTCAACGTTTCGTACTCTGTGTTCAGCCTATCATGACACACAATGCAGTAGCGAGAACAAAGCTTGACCATATCTCAGCGTTCGACATTAAGGCGGAGCCAAGCTTGCCCACGCACCATCAGTCGACGAATTAGATAGCAGAATGCCAACAAGGGCAGGTTGATGTGTCCGTCAGACTGACCAGAGAGAAGTGGATCCGGAGGTAGATTGTAGCTTTGTTGCAAAACCGCCTCTTGTTCGTCAGCTGCTCGTACATGCTGGAGTGTCGCATCAGTTGCTGATCCACAATCCAACACTCGAGAAACATTACCATCCAGACAAAATTTAAGGCATCCTCTGGCCTTTGCTGCATCTTCTCAGCTTGCCAGCATAGCATTTCTGCGCCTGCCCATCCTAGGTCATACTTCAGCCGTAGCTGCATGACACGGAGGAAATAGTCATTCATTAGCGACTCGAGCGATGCGCTCAGACTGAATGACTGGAAAGTTGACGGATCGGGCTGTGGCTCCTCGTCGTTGTTTTCAGAGGCGTCGTCGCCATCATATGATACAGGAGCACCAACAGCAGAAGCGGTTTGTGCTTTTGAATTTGATTTGAGGTTTTGAACCTCTTGTTTCATTCTGAACACGCGTACTGCATCCATGGCGTCCTGCTTCGTGGGCTTGTAGTTGGGAGTGAGTCCGACCCGGAACTGCAAGATGGCATCTCGCATAGAAGCTTCTGGGTGCAGGATGCCATCACGCTCGAGAACGGGATAAGTGCCTCGCATACCCGAAATGAGCATTGTCAGGTGCTGGCTCTGGGATAGCAACCGACGGTCCCATGCCATCAACGCACGAGCAGGAATGTCTCGGGTGAGCGCGACCACTGGCAGCGAGACAGAAAGTATAAACTCGTCTGTCCCGAAGGAAATGTAGCCAGGCCGATAATTCCAGACGATCATCTCATTGAAATCTCTGAGCAGAGAGAATCACGGATCATTGCATAAGATGAAAATGTTGAAAACTCACCGTTGCATGAGATTCATGTCGATATTGCTCTTGTTCTTGGCTGTGATACCGAGATTGTCCTCCGAGTAAGTGTCATAATCTTCAAATATTCCATCTACGTCTTCTTCTTCATCTTGATCCTCTTCTTCGTCGACTGAGTGTGGTTCTCTATTCAAAATCTTAGCAAAGGTGGTAAGAAGCCCGTCTAATGTGTGCCTAAGGCTAAGGGCTCCCTGGCGTGGGATTTCATCAATTGCTTCCTTGAATTGTTCGGGAACGGGTTCATCTGATGAATAACAGAACAGCACATGGTCGCTAGGGTACTCAGATGTGTCTGAAAAACGGTTCTGACTACATACTCTAACCAAGCGATGGCATCACGTACCGGATACTAGGAAGTTCAGCGAAAGAACATGCACACCACCGGTTCGCGAAACGCGACAGTTGAATGTCCCTTCCTCCTCTCCGAGTTGTATATCTGCATATGCCGTTATACAAACTCGCCATATGACGAGAGCTGCTACTCATCGTTGGCCAAATGCTGACATACCAGTGAGCCTCAAGCCCCTATGTTCGATAGATGCCCTCTGCACAGCCTCTAGATCTGCCAGAAACCTCTTTCGCCCTCTCAAATTGGTACTCTTTGAAGTAACGCCGAAGTCGCTCGGATCTCCCGCTGCTGCCATACTTGGATGTTCAGAAATCGATGGAGATGGTGGCGACGGTATGGAAAACGTGTAATCCGCCATCCTCTGGTGCTTCGCACCTTTCTGTGGCTCTTTATCCGAACCGCCGGAAACACGAGGCCTCTTTGAGGACATTGTACCGCACTATGTAAACACGATACGACGGTGATTCCCAGTACGAGGGTGGGCGTTCATCCCAAGATGTAGTGCGGTACTGCAATGCCACGCGCGCGCCACGCAGCAACTCCCGAATCCCGAAGCGCCACCACGTGACCGCGACGCATCGGTGGCTTCAAGTTATCACACCGCAGACATGAAGCGATTTGCACATGTGGCAAATGCTTAGCAAATGTCAACAAGTTTTTTGCCTTTGTGATCTCAATTTGCTATGGTTCCTTCCCACATTCTGTATTAAGTATTTGCATATAATATGTTGGAGGCAGAAATTTAAATCATGAAATGACACCATTTTCAAACTCACCAAATACATTTAGAATTTGAGTGCTGTTGAATGTAATCATACATTTTTGAATTCCAAACCATCACATGTATAAAATACCCAGTAGCAGATGAAGGTGTAATTACGAATGACTTTCATTGTAGTAATCTTGGTTAGAATGACTTCAGTAGGGAAGTAGAATGTAGGCATAATTACACCTTTGTCTGCTACTGGGTATTTTATACATGTGATGGTTTGGAATTCAAAAATGTATGATTACATTCAACAGCACTCAGTTTTTAAATGTATTTGATGAGTTTGAAAATAGTGTCATTTCTTGAAATATATGATTTTAAATTTCTGCCTCCAACATATTATATGCAAATACTTAATATGGAATGTAGGAAGGAACCATAGCAAATTGAGATCACAAAGACAAAAAACCTGTCGACATTTGCTAAGCATTTGCCACGTGTGCAAAACGCTTCATGTCTGCGGTGTCACTTGGTTGAAGAGGCGCTGGGCACCGGTTCCAAATGACACGAAAACTCAATCACAGTAGCAGAAGATGCGGTGTGTATCACTTATGTGAACGTAGCTCTATATTACATCTCTGCAGCCTCATGTTGGTGAACAGCAACAATGCAGGCAAGAGCCAACTAGGATGAATCACTTAAAGAAACGAACGACATTGAGCATTATCGTAAAATGATGAATACATGTTGCAGATACGGGAAGCTGTCCCAGACTTCTTCCATGTCATCTCGAGACCCGCCCAGACGTTGGGCCCTCGTTCTGTTGCCGTACACGGCCTACAGCAGGGTAAGTCTCTGATCCGCCACGTTATGAAACATCGCTGACTGTGTGGGTGCATGCATTGTCGAAAACAGGGTTGAGGCATCCATCATCTGAGAAGAACCATCACCAGTGAGGGCAGCTCCAGCGAGTGCAGGACATGGTGCGGATGTCGTCGAATGAGAAACTGCGGTCTTTGTGCTTTCTCCTTGCAGTGAGTGCCTTACCGATAATCACTGATGGTGTATGAGCAAATACCGCGACGGCTGAGAAGATGTGTGGGGTATGCCGACACGATTGCATCAGCGGAGATCACGTTCATGATGATGGTCGATCAGAAGAAGCATAGTGGGTAGAAGGCCAATTCGTTGTGGCTACGCATAAGATCGACGCAGATGTTTGGTCCGGTGATTCGAGCCATACGGTCCATTCCCTGTTTCAACCAGGGGTATGTTGAAATATCAAGCCTAGTATACTTAAGTATGGACTTATCAGCTGATATTTCCTTTTATGTACTTATCGAGCATTAGCGCCCGTAAGAGTTTTCACCCGCTTTGCTTGTTCTGCGGGCTTCAGTCCTTCTATCATCAAGGAGCTGAAGCCTATGAGTACCGATACTGTCCTGCATGAATGCAGCTTACATACTAATGTATCGTAGTTGACTCTAGGTACATACTACTAATATAGTCCTTCTATCATCAAGGAGCTGAAGCCTTTGACTCTAGCGTGTGTCCTCCTGTCCACTCCTTTTCCATCCGTTTACAGGTTATGAGCCCCACCGGCCACTACGAGATGTCGCTCAGCAATCATGAATCATCAGTCAGGATCCCCTGCCTTGCGGAAGATGGATCAAACTGGGTGCTCTATAAGGAGCAACTCAGGTCCGCCGTGACGGCAAAGAAGCTGGCGCGATATCTCGATGGCCGTGACAAGGAGCCTACTGCACCCACGGCTCCAGGGGTGGATTCCGATGCAGATGAGGCATACGCGGATGCATACAACACATGGGCAGCCGGACATGAGGTGATCAAAACGCTTCTGTACCAGACGCTACCGGAAATGCTGAAACTCCGGATTATCCCCGAGAAGAAGGTGTCTGGAGCTTGGAAGATAGTCAACACTGAGTATGACAATCGCGGTGACTTCGTCCAGGCTGAACTGCTCTGACGCATGCATGCTCTCTGCTGCACCGAGGAGAAGGACCCTCGACCAACCCTAGATAAGCTCCAGAAGCTTAAGGCCGAATTCACGACAGCTGGCGGTGTTCTTGACGACAAGCAATACCACGTGCTCATCATCAGCTGCCTCCTGGAGTCTTATCGCCCTGTCATATGCACCATCCTCTCAGCTGCTCACCTGGCTTCCATCCAGGCTACTGGCACCACCACAACTCCCACTCCCACCATCACATCCGATGAACTCTTACACCAGATCTACTCAGTCGCACGTGACAAGTTCACCCTGGATGAGTCGCAGAACACTGCAGAAGACTCCGTGCTCATGACGAGGTCAGGTGGAAAGGACGTGAGGAAGACGTGCAGCAATTGCAATAAGCCTGGCCATCTGAAAGCGGACTGCTGGGTGAAAGATGGTGGAAAAGAGGGCCAAGGGCCATGGAGCAAGAACAGAGGGAGGAAGCACGACAAGGGCTCAGGGGGAGCCAGTGCAAATGCGGTAACAACAGGCAATGACGAGGCATTCGCATTCACCATTGCGATTAATTTTTCGAAGGTCGAGGGAGCGAAGCTCCCGAAGCTCACCCGGATCCTCGATTCAGGTGCAAGCCGACACTTCAATCCAGTACACTCGTTTTTTACCACATTCCGGGAGATCGAATGCAAGCCGATCACATCAGCTGATGGCCGTGTCTTTTATGCCACTGGTGAAGGTGACGTCTGCGTCGCTCGCTACTATGCACAAGGGAAAGACAGTCAAGTTTACCCTATGCGACGTTCTCTATGCGCCGTCTATGCCTTTCGCCCTCATCTTCATTAGCCGCACTACAAAGGCTGGCTACACCATCTGTTTCGAGCACGACGGGTGCCATGTCATCTCTCCTCGAGGTACCACCATGTTTGTAGCCGCCGAGCGCAACGGTCTGTACCTGCTACCCGGATCGCCAGTCCCATCAGCGCCTGTGAAGGAGACAGCATTAACGGTAATGCTATCACTCACTGAGTTCCATCAACGCATGGCCCATGCCTATGTCCCTGCCCTCAAGAAGATGGTTGAGGCTAATGTCGTCACCAGAGTATGACTCGAGGACATGACCACCAAGTTCTGCGAACCTTGCATAAAGGCGAAGCAGACCCGTGAGTCATTCTCGAAGGTGCGCTCGAGCCCGCAAGTAATCGCGTATGGTCAGCGCGTGCACACGGATGTCTGGGGGAAAGCGCCGGTGAAGTCCCTCGGTGGCAAGGAGTACTATGTCTCCTTCACCGACGACTACTCAGACGAGGCAGTTGTATGCCCTATTGCCCGCAAAAGCGATGTACTCACACAGTACAAGGCCTACAGCTCATGGGTGAAGGCTCACCGAGGTGTCAACTCCATCAAGGAACTGCAGAGCGATAATGGGGAGAA